ATATGATACTTAGTTATCTGACAGCTTACAAAGAGATCTGACATTTATGATACTACTTTGACCAACCACAAGCATCTTGTTGCCAAGGTGACCACCTTTAGACACCTACACACGATTCTATTTATGAAGACAATTACTTAGGTAAACACCATTATTGCTCCGTAAACATCAAATCATACTAATCAGTTAGTATGAAGAATTCAAATGTGCACCAGTGTTGTATTACAACAATCACCTATAGTTTATTGCATCCAGTCCACTTCTCCTCCCTCTCTCTCTCTCTCTGTACCTCCCTACATCCCCTTCTCTTTCATTATCTGACTTTCTTGACTTTTTCACATTATTTCTGTCCAGACAAGGACAAGGTCATAAATACATGCATAATAGGACCTGACTGAAGATGACAAGACGAACATGTGAACATCCATCAGGTCCGGATGGCGTCAGCAGACAAATCTCTTTTGACAGATGTGCATCGGTAGCACCAGCCTGGCATGTCCTTAGTCAACAGTGGTGTGGTGGCATGGCAGCATGTGCAAAAGTTATCTTTTTCCATGTGAAACACCACTCTCTGGTGGTCAGGAGGAGTAATTAATTTATTATCAAGAGCTGAGCCATACAGTATTTACCACAGTTGTTGTACGGAAAGTGTGTGTGAGTGAGTCAATATTATAACAAGGAAGTAAAAGTTACTATAAGTCATTAATTGAAAGGAAATATGCTGTAAGGTGGTCTGTATCCTAACTTGAGATTGACACCCCTAACTCAAGTTTCCACCCAAATCTTCCATCAATGCATGATTTACACAAACAACAAGGTTCAGCATGCACATATCAAGTTTGAATTCCAAATCAAATCACATTTTATTTGTCACATGCGCCGAATACAACCTTACAGTGAAATGCTTACTTACAAGCCATTATCCAACAATGCAGTTTTAAGAAAAATAAGTGTTAAGTAAAAAATAGATAAGTAAAACATTTAAACAACAAATAATTGAAGAACAGCAGTAAAATAACAGTAGCGAGGCTATATACAGGGGGTACCGGTACAGAGTCAATGTGCGGGGGCACAAGTTAGTCGAGGTAATTGAGATAATATGTACATGTACAGTGGGGAAAAAAAGTATTTAGTCAGCCATCAATTGTGCAAGTTCTCCCACTTAAAAAGATGAGAGAGGCCTGTAATTTTCATCATAGGTACACGTCAACTATGACAGACAAATTGAGAAAACAAAATCCAGAAAATCACATTGTAGGATTTTTTATGAATTTATTTGCAAATTATGGTGGAAAATAAGTATTTGGTCACCTACAAACAAGCAAGATTTCTGGCTCTCAAAGACCTGTAACTTCTTCTTTAAGAGGCTCCTGTGTCCTCCACTCGTTACCTGTATTAATGGCACCTGTTTGAACTTGTTATCAGTATAAAAGACACCTGTCCACAACCTCAAACAGTCACACTCCAAACTCCACTATGGCCAAGACCAAAGAGCTGTCAAAGGACACCAGAAACAAAATTGTAGACCTGCACCAGGCTGGGAAGACTGAATCTGCAATAGGTAAGCAGCTTGGTTTGAAGAAATCAACTGTGGGAGCAATTATTAGGAAATGGAAGACATACAAGACCACTGATAATCTCCCTCGATCTGGGGCTCCACGCAAGATCTCACCCCGTGGGGTCAAAATAATCACAAGAACGGTGAGCAAAAATCCCAGAACCACATGGGGGGACCTAGTGAATGACCTGCAGAGAGCTGGGACCAAAGTAACAAAGCCTACCATCAGTAACACACTATGCCACCAGGGACTCAAATCCTGCAGTGCCAGACGTGTCCCCCTGCTTAAGCCAGTACATGTCCAGGCCCGTCTGAAGTTTGCTAGAGTGCATTTGGATGATCCAGAAGAGGATTGGGAGAATGTCATATGGTCAGATGAAACCAAAATATAACTTTTTGGTAAAAACTCAACTCGTCGTGTTTGGAGGACAAAAAATGCTGAGTTGCATCCAAAGAACACCATACCTACTGTGAAGCATGGGGGTGGAAACATCATGCTTTGGGGCTGTTTTTCTGCAAAGGGACCAGGACGACTGATCCGTGTAAAGGAAAGAATGAATGGGGCCATGTATCGTGAGATTTTGAGTGAAAACCTCCTTCCATCAGCAAGGGCATTGAAGATGAAACGTGGCTGGGTCTTTCAGCATGACAATGATCCCAAACACACCGCCCGGGCAACGAAGGAGTGGCTTCGTAAGAAGCATTTCAAGGTCCTGGAGTGGCCTAGCCAGTCTCCAGATCTCAACCCCATAGAAAATCTTTGGAGGGAGTTGAAAGTCCATGTTGCCCAGCGACAGCCCCAAAACATCACTGCTCTAGAGGAGATCTGCATGGGGGAATGGGCCAAAATACCAGCAACAGTGTGTGAAAACCTTGTGAAGACTTACAGAAAACGTTTGACCTGTGTCATTGCCAACAAAGGGTATATAACAAAGTATTGAGAAACTTTTGTTATTGACCAAATACTTATTTTCCACCATAATTTGCAAATAAATTCATTAAAAATCCTACAATGTGATTTTCAGGATTTTTTTTTCTAATTTTTTCTGTCATAATTGACGTGTACCTATGATGAAAACTACAGGCCTCTCTCATCTTTTTAAGTGGGAGAACTTGCACAATTGGTGGCTGACTAAATACTTTTTTTCCCCACTGTAGGTAGAGTTAAAGTGTTAAATGTGCAACCAGAGGGAAAAAAAACTCTAGACCACCTTTACTCCACACACAGAGACGCATACAAAGCTCTCCCTCACCCTCCATTTGGCAAATCTGACCATAACTCTATCCTCCTAATTCCTGCTTATAAGCAAAAACTAAAGCAGGAATCACCAGTGACTTGGTTAATAAAAAAGTGGTCAGATGACGCAGATGCTAAGATACAGGACTGTTTTGCTAGCACAGACTGGAACATGTTCCGGGATTCTTCAGATAGCATTGAGGAGTACACCACATCAGTCACTGGCTTCATCAATAAGTGCATCGATGATGTCGTCCCCACAGTGACCGTACGTACATACCCCAACCAGAAGCCGTGGATTACAGGAAACATCCGCACTGAGCTAAAGGGTAGAGCTGCCGCTTTCAAGGAGCGGGACTCTAACCCGGACGCTTATAAGAAATCCCGCTATGCCCTCCGACGAACCATCAAACAGGCAAAGAGTCAATACAGGACTAAGATTGAATCGTATTAAATCGGCTCTGACACTCGTCGGATGTGGCAGGGCTTGAAAACTATTACAGACTACAAAGGGAAGCACAGCCACGAGCTGCCCAGTGACACAAGACTTCCAGACGAGCTAAACCACTTCTATGCTCGCTTCGTGGCAAGCAACACTGAAGCATGCATGAGAGCACCAGCTGTTCCGGATGACTATGTGATCACGCTCTCCGTTGCCGATGTGAGTAAGACTTTTAAGCAGGTCAACATTCACAAGGCCGCAGGGCCAGACGGATTACCAGGACATGTACTCCGAGCATGTGCTGACCAACTGGCAAGTGTCTTCACTGACATTTTCAACATGTCCCTGACTGAGTCTGTAATACCAACATGTTTCAAGCAGACCACCATAGTTCCCGTGCCTAAGGACACTAAGATAACCTGCCTAAATGACTACCGACCCGTAGCACTGACGTCTGTAGCCATGAAGGGCAATGCAAATAGTCCGGGTAGCCATTTGATTAGCTGTTCTGGAGTCGTATGGCTTGGGGGTAGAAGCTGTTAAGAAGCCTTTTGGACCTAGACTTGGCGCTCAGGTACCGCTTGCCATATGGTAGCAGAGAGAACAGTCCATGACTAGGGTGGCTGGAGCCTTTGACCATTTTTAGGGCCTTCCTCTGACACCGCCTGGTATAGAGGTCCTGGATGGCAGGAAGCTTGGCCCCAGTGATGTACTGGGCCGTACACACTACCCTCTGTAGTGCCTTCCGGTCGGAGACCGAGCAGTTGCCATACCAGGCAGTGATGCAACCAGTCAGGATGCTCTCGATGGTGCAGCTGTATAACTTTTTGAGGATCTGAGGACCCATGTTAAATCTTTTCAGTCTCCTGAGGGGGAATAGGCTTTGTCGTGCCCTCTTCACGACTGTCTTGATGTGTTTTGACCATGATAGTTTGTTGGTGATGTGGACACCAAGGAACTTGAAGCTCTCAACCTGAATTCAGTCCCATAATGAGTGCATGCAATTCCCATCGCTCAAAACAAAAAGAGAAAGAGTTCATAATTAAATTGGATATTCAATTATTTGGCCTTATGCTGTGACTTTAGTAAACCATTATTGTACATTGGACATACTCGACTTTGACCTTAACACACATCAAAAGGACCTGCAGCAACAGTGAGAGAGGCGTAGTGTAGCCAATGTGTCGGTCTCCTTTTATCAGCTTGAAAATGTCACCCATTTGACCCTCTAAACTGTGCTATACCGAGAGCTTGCTTTAAACAGGGATTAAGTCCTGTCCCAAAACTCACATTTATATGTATGAATGTCTGGCAGATAGCAATCCCAACAATGACAACCTTTAAAATTCATTATTTCAGGCTAGAATGACTGAATATGAGCATTCCTCTCAGAGGACAGTATCAAAACTATTACAGGCACACTTTCCCAAGCCCCTATCAATGTAGAACATATTGCAAGAAAGCATTACCATTTGACTTATATATTTTTTGTTGAACCAATGTAATTTAGCTTGAAGAGGACATAGAGTATTTTGGTAGGCATAGTTCCAATTCCTGTACTAATGCACTACGCAATTGCCTTTTCAAAAATGTTAACCCAATCTTAATAGTTTTCTTACCTTGAGAGGGGTTAATTAATTTGAATTTTATTACAAGCTCCACAGCCCTCAAACTCAACTCTGGACCTCGAAGCCAGTTCCACTGCATTTTTTCTAATCAGGAACTGATTTAGACCAGGGACACCAGGTGGGTGCAATGAATTATCAGGAACAGAAAAGCAGCAGGCTCTGGACCTGGTATGGTAAGAGCTGAATACCCCTGCTCTACAGAAAGCCCTGTGAAGTAAACAATGAATGGAGTGTTTGCAAAAACCTTTGGAATTCAGCCATTTGTTTTTAGCCTGGATTTTATCTTCAGCCACTAATCCAATTCAGACCATCCCAACTCACTACTACTACTACTACTACTACTAATAATAATAATAATAATAATAATAATAATACATGTCATTTGTATAGCGATTTTCATTACAGAGTTATCTCAAAGCTCTACTAAGAAAAACAACATACATTTAGAATCAAGGCAGGTAAAATAGCAATAGTGGGCTAGGTGCTAAAAATTCATTTGTGAGAAATATAGTCTGAAGAAGTGGGTTTTAAGGCCTGTTTGAAAAGTTCTGAGTGAGCAGCTCTCAGATGGTCAGGGAGATATTTCCATACGCGAGGGGCAAGTGAGCAGAAATCTTGGTGTCACGATCGTTATAAGAAGCAGACCAAGGCGCAGCGTGATATGCGTACATCTTTTAATGAGTACTTTATACAAATAACAAAACAACAAACGATACGTGAAGTCTACAGGTTCACCAACACAAACCGATACAGAACAAGATCCCACAATAAACTAGTGCCAAACGGCTGCCTAAGTATGGTTCCCAATCAGAGACAACGAGAATCAGCTGCCTCTGATTGGGAACCACCCTGGCCAACATAGAAAACAAGAACTAGAACGAAACATAGAAAATACAACATAGACACTACACACCCTGACTCAACATTAAAGAGTCCCCAGAGCCAGGGCGTGACAGTACCCCCCCCCCCCCCCCAAAGGCGCGGACTGCGACCCGCGCCAACCAAAATCAAGAGGGTAGGGGCCGGGTGGGCATTCCGCCTCGGAGGCGGATCCGGCTCCGGGCGTGACCACCACTCTCTCGCTACCCCCCCCGTAGCGCCCCTGGTCTGGTCTGGCCCCGCTGGCCGGAGCTGGACTGGACATCGGTGGAGCGGATTGCTTTGGCTCCAGTGTGGAGCAGCTGACCGGTGCCGGACCAGGCACCGGTGGAACAGGCACGGACCGTGCCGGGCTGACGACGCGCACCACTGGCTTGGTGCGGGGAGCAGGAACAGGCCGGACCGGGCTGGCGACGTGCACCACTGGCTTGGTGCGGGGAGCAGGAACAGGCCGGACCGGGCTGGCGACGCGCACCACTGGCTTGGTGCGGGGAGCAGGAACAGGCCGGACCAGGCTGGCGACGCGCACCACTGGCTTGGTGCGGGGAGCAGGAACGGGTTGGGCCGTACTGGGAACACGCACCACTAACTTAGTGCGGGGAGCAGGAACGGGTTGGGCCGTACTGGGAACACGCACCACTGGCCTTGTGCGGGGAGCAGGAACGGGTTGGGCCGTACTGGGAACACGCACCACTAACTTAGTGCGGGGAGCAGGAACGGGCCGGACCGTACTGGGAACACACACCACTGGCCTTGTGCGGGAAGCAGGAATGGGTCGGGCCGTACTGGGAACACGCACCACCGGCTTAGTGCAGGGATCAGGAACGGGCCGGACCGGACTGGTGACACACACCACTTGCTTGGTGCGAGGAGCGGGACTGGGTTTCCTCATAAACCTCCGCTCCCTCTGCTGCCTACTCAGTTCCTCTCGCCGTGCCTCTACACTCTCCTTCTCCCTTATCGCCTCCAGTAGCTCCTCCCTCTGACCAATTAACTCCTGCTCCCTCATGACCAATAGCCCCCGTAACCTGGTGGCCTCCTCTCCTATTCTGCAGATACGCCCTGTCGCTGCCTCCTGCTGCCTAGCCTGAGTACGGGGAGTTGGCTCTGCTCTCCCTCTAGGCTCCGCCAACCTCCCTTCCAGCCCCCCAAACCTGGTGGCCTCCTCTCCTAATCCGCCGATATGTCCTGTAGCTGCCTCCAGCATCCCCGTCGTCCATGCCGTGTGCCCCCCCCAAAAAAATTATTGGGGTTGCCTCTCGCCTGTCCGACGATGGCACTGTTGGTGCCGTACCTCCTCTCTCGCCAGGGCCTTAACTTTTGCCCATGGCCCTCTGCCCGCGAACATGTCCTCCCAAGACCACCATTCGCCCACCTGGGACATCGCCAACTTCTCCAGTTCCTTACCCGGCGTTTGCTCCTGAACACGCTGCTTGGTCCTGTTTTGGTGGGATCTTCTGTCACGATCGTCGTAAGAAGCAGACCAAGGCGCAGCGTGATATGCGTACATCTTTTAATGAGTACTTTATACAAATAACAAAACAACAAACGATACGGGAAGTCTACAGGTTCACCAACACAAACCTATACAGAACAAGATTCCACAATAAACTAGTGCCAACCGGCTGCCTAAGTATGGTTCCCAATCAGAGACAACGAGAATCAGCTGCCTCTGATTGGGAACCACCCTGGCCAACATAGAAAACAAGAACTAGAACGAAACATAGAAAATACAACATAGACACTACACACCCTGGCTCAACATTAAAGAGTCCCCAGAGCCAGGGCGTGACACTTGGGCCTCCATAGTTCGGAGACATGTCTTGGGGACTTGAAACAGTAGAGAGTGGCTGAAGCGGAGAGTGCGAGGTGGCTCACTGATTAAAATGAGGTCGCTGATGTAGGTGGGACTTAATCCATTTAAGGCTTTAAACATGAGCAGAAGGATTTTGAAGTTGATCCTGTAGTTGACCATTAGCCAGTGGAGTTGGGATGATGTGGTCTGACTTCTTGGTCCTAGTCAGGACCCTGGCAGCACTGTTCTGGATTGGCTGGAGCCTCTGTAGTGATTTGGCTGGGAGGCCCCCAAACAGCGTTACCATAGTCGATCCGAGAGAAGATGAAGGCTTGGATCAGTTTCTCTGCATCTGGCTGGAAGAGTGCCCTGGGCAAAGTGTTTTAGATGGAAAAATAATGGGGGAAAGAATTATGTTTTACATATGTGTTTTTATGCTTCACTAGCCTATCCACAAACTGCTTCAATCTTTACCTTAGTGTTACATCTACTATAAGTCACCAGTGCCTGTTCACAGCCATTTGCCTCATTGTCATACTAAGTGTGTGCTTCAGGTGCCTGGTATGCAGGCTCGGTGGCAGCTGCCTGTTTCACACACACGCGCACACACACACAGTGCAGGGGAGTGATGTGTAAGACAAGCTCCTGTCTGTCAGTTTCCGCACTGACAGATGAAAGCGAGACAGACAAGCACACTCTAGCATTTATATCCTCCCATCACGGCTCTAACGCCTCGCTCCTAAATCAAGACATCAATCTGGTCAGGAGTCTTCAGTCTTCAGCTGCGGCACACAGGTAGGTGCTGTAATATCTGAATATCTGGCACTTTGGAGGGCTCTGTGACTTTAATAAAGTAGTAGACCCTGCCTGCTCTCTGTTTTGCTCCAGGCGAGGGATTCATTTTAGTTTATTACCTGGTGCTCTTTTTATATGCCCATTCAGATAACGTCACTGACGTGTATTAAAAAAGGATGGAGTATGAGGGGTTTGGGGGTAGGCAAAAGAGGATGCTACAGTCCAGGAGATCATGAGAAGTCTTCAAGACTTGACGGCTACAGTGTCTATGCTATTGATCAAACTATATCACTATTTGTCCATGAGTCAGTGAACTTGAATACAGCTGTTGCCTAACAAACCAACTCAGAGCATTACATGTGTAAGTGTGTTACTTTAGCCAGCCCTAATTTGACATTGTTTGTAGAGGCAGTAAGGGGCCGGATGAATGCAGGGGCTTATTGGGGCTGAAGCCCCTGGGCCCAGGCCCGTGGGGGACACAAGAGGCAGCAAAAAAAATTAAAAGAAAGTTGTTTTTATTTTTTATTAAGGAAATATATACTGTATATATTATATATATATATATATATATATATATATATATATATATGTAGTATATATTTAATATTTTTCACTGCAACCGCCAACCACAGGAAGATTCTGGAGCCCGCTCTCAATGAGTGTAGACAGCCTGCTGCTGCCTGCTGCCGCTCTGCTAATCATTAGATGGGGGGAGGACCAACTGGCAAGTGTCTTCACTGACATTTTCAACCTCTCCCTGACTGAGTCTGTAATACCTACATGTTTCAAGCAGACCACCATAGTCCCTGTGCCCAAGGAAGCGAAGGTAACCTGCCTAATTGATTACTGCCCCGTAGCACTCACGTCGGTAGCCATTACATTTACATTTACCTTTACATCATTTAGCAGACGACTTACAAATTGGTGCATTCACCTTATAGCCAGTGGGATAACCACTTTACAATATGTTTTTTTTTATTATTATTTTTTTTTGGGGGGTGGGGGGGGGGGGGTAAGGGGGGGTAGAATGATTACTTTATCCTATCCCAGGTATTCCTTAAAGAGGTGGGGTTTCAAGTGTCTCTGGAAGGTGGTGAGTGACTCCGCTGTCCTGGCGTCGTGAGGGAGCTTGTTCCACCATTGGGGTGCCAGAGCAGCGAACAGTTTTGACTGGGCTGAGCGGGAACTGTGCTTCCGCAGAGGTAGGGGGGCCAGCAGGCCAGAGGTGGATGAACGCAATGCCCTCGTTTCGGTGTAGGGACTGATCAGAGCCTGAAGGTACGGAGGTGCCGTTCCCCTCACAGCTCCGTAGGCAAGCACCATGGTCTTGTAGCAGATGCGAGCTTCAACTGGAAGCCAGTGGAGTGTGCGGAGGAGCGGGGTGACGTGAGAGAACTTGGGAAGGTTGAACACTGCTGCGGCATTCTGGATGAGTTGTAGGGGTTTAGGGGCACCATGAAGTGCTTTGAAAGGCTGGTCATGGCTCACATCAACAGGATCATCCCGGATACCCTAGACCCACTCCAATTCGCATACCGCCCCAAAACATCCACAGATGACGCAATCTCAATCACACTCCACACTGCCCTTTCCCACCTGGACAAAAGGAACACCTATGTGATACGGGACGATTGAGCTAACGTGCGCTAATGTGATTAGCATGACTGTTATAAGTAACGGCAAACTTTCCAGGACATAGACATGTCTTATATGGGCGGAAAACTTAAATTCTTGTTAATCTAACTGCACTGTCCAATTTACAATAGCTATTACAGTGAAAAAATACCATGCTATTGTTTGAGGAGAGTGCACAACAACAAAAAACGTATCACGGCAACTGGTTTGATACATTCACCGCTGAAGGTAAATAATGTACTTACATTCAGTAATCTTGCTCTGATTTGTCATCCTTAGAGTCCCAGAGATAAAATGTAGCATAGTTTTGTTTGATAAAATCCATTTTTATATTCAAATGTAGGAACTGGGTTCTACAGTTTGAACCCCTGCTGTCTTAGTGTATAAGCTAATGATCCATCATGTATGACATTCCTGGGAGTGTGTAAACTTACATTTTGTATTACCATATTATTTTTGTATGTTCTCTATAGTTATGTACTTGAAAATGTATCAATTGACCAATTCGGCACATTTGGACAAAATAGTCCAGTTTTGCAATGCTTCACTGGATCAATCTGAAACTTTGCACACACACTGCTGCCATCTAGTGGCCAAAATCTTAATTGCGCCTAAACTGCAATATTATATTTTAACCTTTCTCTTGCATTTCAAAGATGATGGAACCAAAAATAAAATAGAAACGCATGTTTTTTTTGTTTGTATTATCTTTTACAAGATCTAATGTGTTATATTCTCCTACATTAATTTCACAATTCCACAAACTTCAAAGTGTTTCCTTTCAAATGTTATCAAGAATATGCATATCGTTGCTTCAGGTCCTGAGCTACAGGCAGTTAGATTTGGGTATGTCATTTTAGGCGAAATTTTTAAAAAAAGGGTTCGATCCTTAAGAGGTTCAGCTTCTACCCCCAAGCCATAAGACTGCTAAACAATTAATGAAATGGCCACCCGGACCCCCCCCCCCCCCCCCCCCCCCCTCCATTTGTTTTTACACTGCTACTACCTGCTGTCTATTATCTATGTATAGTCACTTTACCCCTACCTACATGTACAAATTACCTCGACTAACCTGTACCCCCGCACATTGACTCGGTATCGATACCCCCTGTATATAGCCTCGTTATTGTTATTTCATTGTGTTACTTTTTATTATTTTTTACTTTAGTTTATTTGGTAAATATTTTCTTAACTCTTTCTTGAACTGCATTGTTGGTTAAGGGCTTGTAAGTAAGCATTTCACGGTGAGGTCTACACCTGTTGTATTTGGCACATGTGACAAATAAAGTTTTATTTGATTTGAGTTTGACAGGTGGTAGGGGGTCCATGTAGGTAACTGGGGGGCCCTGCCTTGATTGGGTAACTGATAAATAAAAAATCATCATAAATAAATGTGACTGGTCAATTGTGTGAGTCGGGGGCTGGGCCCAAGCCCCTAACTCACAAGAGGCAAAATAATTTATACAAAATTAAAATATATATTTTTTATTATAATTATTTATTCCAACCACAGGAGCCCGCTCTCAATATTCAAAATATACAGAGCATAATTTAGACACAGAAGATCAATAGTTGATCAAAAATAACTGTGATTAAGTTTTATCACAAGCACATACAGGTATCTGCGAAAATTAAGGAAACACCAACATAAAGTGTCTTAAAACGGTGTTGCGCCCATGAACTGCCAGAACAGCTTCAATGCGCTTTGGCATAGATTCTACAAGTGGACCTAAAGCATGCCAAGAAAATGCACCCCACACAATAACATATACTTTGTATCCCTAGTTTACTCAAGTTTTTCCTGAATTTTGGCAGTTACCAGTATGCCTACAGTCGGGATGGCCGCAGTATGGGCAGCATGCAAGCCAAATATAGGCTAGAGCTTGTTGCATTGTGTCCATAGACATATAACCTCTTACCCTGGCAATTTAACTGTTAAACTCATGGGAACACTAGCAATAGATACCAGTCCTGACTTGAATGAGAACTGCCATCTATGGATTATGTTTCTATGGTTGGTTGCGGATGTCAGTTTGCCATTTGCAGATTTCAAAATATAATCGTGGGGAAAATGTACAGTTTGGAAAGCAAATGCCTACTGCTGAAAAGCGAAGACTAATCTGTATGTAGAACCAATAGAAAAATGCTTCTGAACAACTCCCAATTTGTAGATAACAACTGCACTATCTTTCAAAGTAGCTCATCTTGAGATAGGCTATTGCTACGACGAGCGCATCAGCAATCAGCCCATGGCTTCATCTTCATCATTAGGTGAGTCAGTGTGCCGCTGTAAAAATAAATAAATGGGAGCCTGCATTAGCCTATGATATATAGTGTGTATATATACAGCACCAGTCAAACGTTTGGACACACCTACAGTGCCTTGCAAAAGTATTCATCCCCCTTGGCGTTTTTTCCTATTTTGTTGCATTACAACCTGTAATTTAAATTGATTTTTATTTGGATTTCATGTAATGGACATACACAAAATAGTCCAAATTGGTGAAGTGAATTTTTTGTTTGTTTGTTTCAAAAAATTCAAAAAAAATAATAACGGAAAAGTTGTGCGTGCATTTGTATCCACCCCCTTTGTTATGAAGCCCCTAAATAAGATCTGGTGCAACCAATTACCTTCAGAAGTCACATAATTAGTTAAATAAAGTCCACCTGTGTGCAATCTAAGTGTCACTCACATGATCTGTCACATGATCTCAGTATATATACACCTGATCTGAAAGGCCCCAGAGTCTGCAATACCAATAAGCAAGGAGCACCACCAAGCAAGCGGCACCATGAAGACCAAGGAGCTCTCCAAACAGGTCAGGGACAACGTTGTGGAGAAGTAAGATCAGGGTTGGGTTCTAAAAAAATATCAGAAACTTTGAACATCCCACGGAGCACCATTAAATCCATTATAAAAAAATGGAAAGAATATGGCACCACAACAAACCTGCAAAGAGAGGGCCGCCCACCAAAACTCACGGACCAGGGAAGGAAGGCTTTAATCAGAGAGGCAACAAAGAGACCAAAGATAACCCTGTAGGAGATGCAAAGCTCCACAGCGGAGATTGGAGTATCTGTCCATAGGACCACTTTAAGCCGCACACTCCACAAAGCTGGGCTTTACGGAAGAGTGGCCAGAAAAAAGCCATTGCTTAAAGAAAAAAATAAGCAAACACGTTTGGTGTTCGCTAAAAGGCATGCGGGAGACTCCCCAAACATATGGAAGAAGGTACTCTGGTCAGATGAGACTAAAATTGAACTTTTTGCCCATCATTACTCCGAGAACACCATCCCCACAGTGAAGCATGGTGGTGGCAGCATCATGCTGTGGGAATGTTTTTCATTGGCAGGGACTGGGAAACTGGTCAGAATTGAAGGAATGATGGATGGCGCTAAATGCAGGGAAATTCTTGAGGGAAACCTGTTTCAGTCTGCCAGAGATTTGAGACTGGGACGGAGGTTCACCTTCCAGCAGGACAATGACCCTAAGCATACTGCTAAAGCAACACTTGAGTGGTTTAAGGGGAATCATTTAAATGTCTTGGAATGGCCTAGTCAAAGCCCAGACCTCAATCCAATTGAGAATCTGTGGTATGACTTAAAGATTGCTGTACACCAGAGGAACCCATCCAACTTGAAGGAACTGGAGCAGTTTTGCCTTGAAGAATGGGCAAAAATCCCAGTGGCTAGATGTGCCAAGCTTATAGAGACATACCCCAAGAGACTTGCAGCTGTAATTGCTGCAAAAGGTGGCTCTACATGATTCCATATGTATAATTTCATAGTTTTGATGTCTTCACATTTTTTCTACAATGTAGTACATATGAAAAATTAAGAAAAACCCTTGAATGAGTACAGTGGCTTGCGAAAGTATTCACCCCCCTTGGCATTTTTCCTATTTTGTTGCCTTACAACATGGAACTTCCATATGTTTTTGTTAGCTGCATGTGCAACATAACTCCACCAGTCCTACCGATGATATAATTTACGAAGATTATACCTTTTTTAAACATTCTGTCAAAAAATAAAGGTTTTTTGTCAATTAGTATATTTGAATTTAACCACAATATTTGTTGCATTATTTGTTCTGTCGTTTCTGGAGGATTAAATTGAAATTGCAACCAACTTTCTATGGCTTGTTTTAGAAATAGTGATATTTGGGAGATGATTTCCTTTTGAAATAACTGCAAATGAGTTGTTGTAATCTGAATAAAGGGAAAAAGGCCTTTCTAGAACATTGGGTGAGACAATCTTACTAATTTGCTTGAGAACCAGTTCGGATTTAAGTATAACTTTTGTATGACTGAAGCTTTTAGTGATATGTCTAATGCTTTAATATTTAATCATTGCTGTCCTCCGAATTCATATTCATTATATAAATATGCCCTTTTAATTTTGTCTGGCTTGCCGTTCCAAATAAAATTGAATATTTTTTTCTCATATAATTTAAAAAACTGTTCGCTAGGCGTAGGCAAGACCATAAGCAAATAGGTAAACTGGGATAATACTAAAGAGTTAATCAGGGTGATTTTTCCACAAATTGACAGGTATTTTCCTTTCCATGGTAGTAAGATCTTATCTATTTTTGCTAACTTTCTATACAAATTTATTGAGTGAGATCATTTATTTCCTTTGGGATATGTATTCAGAGTATATCCACATCACCATCAGACCATTTTATTGGTAAACTACATGGTCATGTACATTTTTTATTTTTTAGTGATCCAATACGTAATATAGTACATTTGTCATAATTTGGTTGTAATCCAGAGAGGTTAGAAAATGTATCTAGATCCTCTATGAGGCTGTGGAGGGATTATAGTTGTGGATTTAAAAGAAAACATGAATCATCAGCGTACAATGACACCTTTGTTTTTAAGCCCTGGATTTCTAATCCTCTGATATTATTATTGGATCTGATTTTAATAGCTAACATCTCGATGGCCACAATAAATAGATATGCCGATAGTGGACAACCTTGTTTCACTCCTCTTGACAGTTTAAAACCTTCTGAGAAATAGCCATTATTTACTATTTTACACCTAGGGTTACTATACTATACATTTTATAAGAGATTCTCCAAAATTGAAATGCTCCAGGCATTTATATATAAACCCCAGTCGAACTTTATCAAATGCCTTTTCGAAGTCTGCTATGAATAGCAGGCCTGGTGTCCCATATTTTCCATAGTGTTCTATTGTTATTGTTATTATGGGTGACTCCGTCAATTGTAACCAGTTTCATTAAGTTCTTTTTGGTAGCATTCCTATGTTGAAGATTAAAAAATAATTTTGTGCATTTTCCCCATATTCCATCCAGTTTGCTTTATTTTATAATATATTACACTTGATCTTTCTTTAATAAGTTTCTCCATTTCTTTTAGTTTTTCCTCTAATTTATTCTGAGCCTCTATGTTAGAGTTTTTATTGCCATCTATCTGTTCTGTTAGACTTTCTATTTCCTTTCTTAGTATAAACTCTTTTGACCTAAATTGCTTTTGTTTTCGAGATGAGTACTGAATTGCATGGCCTCTAAAGGCACATTTAAAGGTGTCCCATACAATAAGGGGATTCGCTGTACCTATGTTATGTTGGAAAAAGTCAGTTATAAATTCCTTTGTTCTAATTATAAATAAATTATCATCCAATAGGCATTGATTACATTTCCAATATCCTCGCCCACGTGGAAATTCAGTAAGAGTAATGTATATGCATATTATATGATGGTCCGACCGCATTCTGTCCCCTATCAACACTTTTTTGAGATAAAAAAGTCAAGACGGCTAGCTTGATTCAGTCTCCGCCATGTATATCTCACTAGATCAGTATATTTAAGCCTCCATATATATACTAGTTCTAATGTATCCATGACATTCACAATTTCCTTAAGAGCATGTGGGTGATTGTTTGTGGTGTGATTTCCTTTACGGTCCATTGAGCTATTTAAAACAGTATTATAATCCCCCACCATAATATTATTGTCTTGAATTGCTTGCAGGGTTGATAATTTATTATATATATTGTCAAAGAATTGTGGATCATCATTATTTGGTCCGTAAAGGTTAATGAGCCATATCTGTTTATGGTCCAATAACATATTTAAAAGAATCCATCTACCTTACGTATCTATTTGGACAATTTGCACATTCGGATCGAAATTACTATTAATTAATATCATCACCCCTTTTGAATTTCTTTGCCCATGGGAGAAGTATATTCCCCCCCCCCCCCCCCCCCCCCCCCCCCCCCCCCCCATTCTTTTTTCCACGCTACTTCATCTCGAATTGTTGAATGAGTTTCCTGTATACAATAGATATTAAATTCCTTCTCTTTGAGCCATGTAAATATTGTTCTTCTTTTGTTATTATCAGCTAAGCCATTACAATTATAACTGGCTATACTTATTTCACCTTACACCATAATGAGATACAAGTTTCAAGTCTATTTATCATTATATATGTTTGTAAATTTACCAATAAAAAATACCGTAATGATTGAGTGTCCATATAGCTGTACCGTGATATTTGCATTGCTACGGAGTAACCCTTCAATTGTTCTCCATTAATACCCCCGCTAAAGCCCCTCCCCATCCCAAGTTGAGCCGTCATCCCAGTGATCAGCATCCCACCCACGTCCCTCCGGATCCCTAAGGCCCCGAGAGGCCAGTATCCATCCATCGAAAACAGCACACAGTGCCACCCACAAAACAGAAGCAGATTAACCGCCAAAAGCATTTCCAATGCTTTCACCTCTATATATATATATATATATATATATATATATAACTATTTTTAAAAAATTATGCATATCCTATTTTCCATCATTATCAATTAATATGCGTAATAATGTCGGCAGTTCATGCGTAGGATTCTAACATATAACCCGGATTGCCATTGTATTACATTTAATTCATTGACAAGCAATTATTATCCTAGGAAATAATGCCCGTGGTCCATCCCATACCCCCCCCTCCCTCCCAACATCCCCACCCCCCCACAACAGATGCCAGACAAGCACACACGCACATACTCACATACTCCAACACACTCAACCCCCCTCCTCCACAATCCACCATAAAATCAGATACTCAACGGCTGTTATATCCCAGAGCCCAACTCGAGTAATAACCTGATTTACGAGTGCACATACAGTTAAAGCTGATTGAGAAAGCATGCAGATTGAGCAGAAATTGATAACAATGTGAGATTTGATTAATCTACTTAATCTATGTCAAGTCCTATGTGATGGAGATCAGATCCACCCTCTTCACCTGAGACACAAACACTCTGATCCCCTGTTGTAACCATTTTCCCAAGCATCTCCGTGCGGTCAGACCTTTGATTATTTTGTGACACCTGGGCCCTGAATACTTATGTAAATGTGATATATCCGTTTTTTATTTTTTATAAATTCGCTAAAAATTCTAAAAGCCTGTTTTTGCTTTGTCAGTATGGGGTATTGTGTTCAGATCGATTTAATCAATTTTAGAATAATGCTGTAACGTAACAAAATGTGGAAAAAATCAAGGGGTCTGAACATTCCTAATGCACTGTGTATATATATATATATATATATATATATATATATATATATATAATGTGTCACTTCATTGGCCTGGGCTATTCTTTGTTTGAATTCAAGACCAGATTGAGTTTGTCAGTGTCAGAGTAGCCACTCATTTCGGTCATTTGTGTGGTATTAAAAAATATTCTGCTAATGTCTTCTGTCATGTACATTATGTAGAATTGCATGAAATGCATTTTTAAAAGGCAAATTGCTTTCGGACATAAAAAAAAAAACTAAAAAACGCTTGTGCTCAACTGTAGCCTATGCCACAGGCATACGTTATTATGGTTTCATTATAAAGGGGCTTTTTCTTCAACAGTAAATTTATCACGCATCGAATTGCATCTTGGTGCACGGACAAAGCCCCAAGGCCTATGATTTCTTAATACGGCCCTGGAGGCAGCCATGTCAAGATCATCTGTCAGGTTTGTTGACATGACCTTATCCAAGTCCTTGTGCTTACATGGCAGCAGCTACATTTCCTTTGGAGCTCCCGTGTTGTTATCAATCAATGGGGGTCAGGCGAACGCCAAAACAGAGGGAAGAGGGGATAGGGAAACATTCTCACCTTTCAGAACATGCTAAACAGCTTGTGTTATCTGTGTCACGCCTGTCAATTGTTGATTGACTTCAAGGTCAGAGTATTTTCTTACACGCTAACCGCTAACTGACGTCAGCCATCTTAGCAGCTTAGGCGGTGACAGTTGTGCTTTGCCTTGACACTTGAAGGTACTTCAGCCGCCGCAAGCTAATGCTAGAGTCACAAAGCGTCTGGTGTTCTGGCAGTTGACATCAGATTGAGAGTAGCAGACGGTAACCAAATCTCACCTCAGGCTGAGTTGTAAGATTCAACATTTTGAGGGGAGTTTTTACTTTGCCACTGAACCACTGTGAGTTGTTGGCAGATGTACAGCTCTTAAAAAATCCTCCCTGATACGTTGATGGGTTAACAAACGACAGTTTTCTGTACTCACTAAGTACTGAGTTAATATTAAAAGTATTGTGTGTCGTCGGGTGTGTTTTGTGAGTACCCTGACTACTCCTTTAATTTGGGGATCTGTCTTCATTTAGCAGTTTCCTGGAAACAAGGTGAGTTGTATTGATTTGGTCAGAAGCTGGAGCTGGAGGTCCCTGCGGCTGTGGCTCCAGACTGCAGTACTTAACGTTTCACTACATCACCGACTGTTTTCACCTCTCCATGCAGGCATTTAGCAGCAGTAATAAACATTTTAGGATCTGAAGTGGACCTTGACTGTGGTTCCCCCATCCTCTTTCCCTTTCTCTCCCTCACCCCAACTGTAATAATAGTGGATTAAGGGACCATTACAGCAATCTAGCCGTAGCAACAGAAAACAGTGACAGAGTGCATTTGTCGTTGGAATCCTCACTCAACCTGAAGGCAGCATCCATCATTCCCATAGGCTCGTTATTATCCCTCTCTCACCGCCCAACCTAAAACATCAATCTTAATTGGACATTAGCGTGGCCACTTGCGACACTCGCCCCCAGAAACCATAGATCATTGCCACACACAAAAGCAACAAACAGACGATGAGAGAAAATATATGGCCAGTGTTATCCCCTCTCAGCGTTTGTGACACGATGGATCGCTTGCTCTGCGTTGCGGGAGGAAGGGTAGGCCAGCGAGATTTGGCCTAACATTGATTGTCTAATGGCACACATTCAATCAAATGCTTTTCGAGCAAGTGTTTGGTTCAATGTGATTGTGCTGGTATACTGCAAGCTGTATTAGAGCTGGTATGGAATGATCATTTATCTTTGTGCTCAGTGGGATCTAGCTCCATGTCAAAACAATCTTATTTGTGATGCAAGTTGCAATCCTGGAGCTTTAGAAACCAACTTGCAATCATCCTCCCTATTCAACTCAACTGTGCCCCCCAGTGGTATGGTGTCAATCAAACAGCTGATGCAATAAGACATAAGTCATAGAAACAGAAATACCCACAACAACCGTACAAGCATATGTTTGTGTGAATACAAAAAGCCATATTATTATCCCAGGAAACATCAGGTAGTCTTTATCTCCTCCTCTCCTGTAGCACTCTAAGACTCCCCACCTGGTGTTTCGAAGAAGAAACTCCTAATGATCCATCTTTACATAGAAACACTTCAGCAGAATGGAGGCCATCATTTATAATTGGACTTCCACAGGTGCACTTGTCCACAGTTGATGTTGCATTAGTTATTCACCTGCTTACCTCCAAAAGAGACCCATTATGCCAAAAAGCCTCCAAGCAACCTGTCTCGCCTTTTGTCTTCCATCAAATTAATAGTGTTATTTGCTGTGCCGCCCTGATATGTGCTCGTTCATAGCTGTGTAACTGGCATCCAATGGTGTGAAAAGGCCAACACATGGCATCTGAATGAGCACTGTGGATTGTGATCCAAGGGCTTCAGAACCAGTTGGAATGTTAGATTAATTTTACGCATTTCTGTCTTTGTTCTCTCTCTTGCTCTCTCTACCTCAGCAGTGCACAACGTCAGTCCTCCAGGGTTGTAATTCTGCATGGTTTGTTTTCCTTCCTGACACTTAATTGATTAATTAGAACACTGTTTGACCAGAGAATGCCCACACCTGGTTTCCAAAGTCTATACTGCATTAGTCGCTGATTTTAAATGTCTAGAGCAAAAACCAGCGAACCCTGCGACCTTCAAGAATGTTTTTTAACCCATAAGAGTCTATGCCCTGTCTAAGCTGGGGGTTGGGTTCTACTAAGCTATATGGAATTGTTTCAAGAAGGTCATACCAAGGATAATTTTAAAAAAACATTATTTGTAGCCTTACTGCTATTAGCCCATACAAATGCATTGAATAACAGATTCACTACATGGAATGACAGATAGTCCCAAAAAATATCTAAAGGATGTTTGTTCTGAAGTTTCTGTCCTATATCTGAGAGATATAAGAAAGATCAGGAAAAAAAATATATATAATTTTTTACATGTATTTAACCCCTTATTTTTGCACTAAACAGTCTCCATATAAACTCCCTTAAACATTTTTCAACTGGTACCAGGGGACCTTCAGACGAATCTTGTGAGGCCTGTGGGCATCCTAGAGCAAACCGTTTGGACACTACAGACGATTTTGTGAGAAGACCGATTTTCGGGATGTCTCATGGTCTGACAAATACCACTCTAGCTCTGTCACCTTTCACCGCAGATGCGGAAGTGCGACATAGGCGGATGAAGTGGATTGAGACGTATCCAATGCAAAAAATATATCTAGCTTAAACTGACAGATTTTTATGGGGATTGTTTTGTTATGCTAATTAGATTCCGTCGGGGACGCGGACATCGACCTCTTAAATTATCTTTCATTGTTTAGTTATTTTTTTTTTATTGACACTAATTGGCATACCATATTATTTTTCTCCAGAAAACATCAGATACATGGGCTACACATACAGAGACAGAGGGGCACTGTTTCGCTTGCTCAGATGCTTTATCTGAAATTGATGCATCTTTCTGTCAGTGTGCGTCTCGGTCAAATAAATTATCAATAATTAAATATTTTATTTGGACGGGCAAGGAGGTACGGTAAAGGAGGCCAGGCCCCCTAAGGCCAGCCCATAACGCAGGCCCTGTCCAATCCATGTGTACAATCACGCAGCACAGTGTACAGCAAGATGTTTAGCAGCTACACCGGCGGGCCCCGAAAGTTTACCTTGACATGTGAATAGTTGCAGTTTAGATAGCCTTAGCCAGCTAGCTAATATAAATAGCATTCCTCTCTGTTTGAATCAGGTTGTTGAGTAGGCTAAATTAGCTGCATTAGATAAGTAAGTGAAAGGTGAACTAAGAAAAAAAGTAATCAAATATATCTAGATTTTTGAAGAAATTAATTTGATCAAAACTGTTCAATTGTCTTTCTCTCTCTTTGAGTCAACTACTCACCACACTGTATGCACTACTAGCTAGCTGTAGCTTATGCTTTCAGTACTAGATTCATTCTCTGATCCTTTGACTTACTGTGTAAGTCTATGGAAGGGGTGAGAACCATGAGCCTCCTAGGTTTTGTATTGAAGTCAATGTACCCAGAGGAGAATGGAAAATAGCTGTCCTCTGGCTACACCATAGTGCTACCCTAGAGGATGCTGTTCAGGCTACTGGAGACCTTCAGTTATTAATCAGTTATTTGGTGACGTGATTATATTTTGTATAGTTCTAAAAAGGATAACTTTTTTATGTTTCACTATTTGAATTTTGCTGAAATTCACTGAGTAGGAAGGTCCTCCCCTTCCTCCTCTGAGGAGCCTCCACTAGCAACCTTTGAATTTATTGTTAGACTGATAATGAATAATTACTACATTATTTGCTTTTCACATGTTGTCCACATTAGCTCTGTACTCAAGCCATTTATTGTAGCCAGATCAAGTAAAAGGTTAATTGTCACATGCTTTGTAAATAACAGGTGTGGACTAACAGTGAAATGCTTACTTACTGCCCGTAAGCATTTCACTTCCCAACAATGCAGACAGAAGAAAATAGAGAAATAATAGAAAAGTAAAACACGTAAAAGTAATAATATATAGATATACAATGAGTAACGATAGCTTGGTTATATACAAGGGGTATCGGTACCGAGTCGTAGTGCAGGGCTATGAGGTAATTGAGGTACAGTTGAAGTCGGAAGTTTGCAAACACCTTAGCCAAATACATTTAAACTCAGTTTTTCACAATTCCTGACATTTAATCCTAGTAAGAATTATCTGTCTTAGTTCAGTTAGGATCACCACTTTATTTTAAGAATGTGAAATGTCAGAATAATAGTAGAGAGAATGATTGATTTCAGATTTATTTATTTTATCACATTCCCAGTGGGTCAGAAGTTTACATACACTCAATTAGTATTTGTAGCATTGCCTTTAAATTGTTTAACTTGGGTCAAACGTTTCGGGTAACCTTCCACATGCTTCCCACAATAAGTTGGGTGAATTTTGGCCCATTCCTCCTGACAGAGCTTGTGTAACTGAGTCAGGTTTGTAGGCCTCCTTGCTCGCACATGCTTTTTCAGTTCTGCCCACACATTTTCTATAGAATTGAGGTCAGGGCTTTGTGATGGCCACTCCAATACCTTGACTTTGTTGTCCTTAAGCCATTTTGCCACAACTTTGGAAGTATGCTTGGGGTCATTGTCCATTTGGAAGACCCATTTGCGAACAAGCTTTAACTTCCTGACTGATGTCTTGAGATGTTGCTTCAATATATCCACATAATTTTCCATCCTCATGATGCCATCTATTTTGTGAAGTGCACCAGTCCCTCCTGCAGCAAAGCACCCCCACTGCATGTTGCTGCCACCCCCGTGCTTCACGGTTGGGATGGTGTTCTTCGGCTTGCAAGCTACCCCCTTTTTCCTCCAAACATAACGATGGTCATTATGGCCAAACAGTTCTATTTTTGTTTCATCAGACGAGAGGACATTGCTCCAAAAAGTACAATATTTGTCCCCATGTGCAGTTGCAAACTGTAGTCTGGCTTTTTTATGGCAGTTTTGGAGCAGTGGCTTCTTCCTTGCTGAGCGGCCTTTCAGGTTATGCCGATATAGGACTCATTTTACTGTGGATATAGATACTTTTGTACCTGTTACCTCCAGCATCTTCACAAGGTCCTTTGCTGTTGTTCTGGGATTGATTTGCACTTTTCGCACCAAAGTACGTTCATCTCTAGGAGACAGAACGTGTCTCCTTCCTGAGCGGTATGACGGCTGAGTGGTCCCATGGTGTTTATACTTGCGTACTATTGTTTGTACTGATGAACAAGGATGAACCAGACTTGTGGAGGTCTACATTTTTTTTGGCTTATTTCTTTTGATTTTCCCATGATGTCAAGCAAAGAGGCACTGAGTTTGAAGGTAGGCCTTGAAATACATCCACAGGTACACCTCCAATTGACTCAAATGATGTCAATTAGCCTATCAGAAACTTCTAAAGCCTGGAATTTCCCAAGCTGTTTAAAAGCACAGTCAATTTAGTGTATGTAAATATCTGACCCACTGGAGTTTTGATACAGTGAATTATAAGTGAAATAATCTGTCTGTAAACAATTGTTGGAAAAATTACTTGTGTCATGCACAAAGTAGATGTCCCAACCGACATGCCAAAACTATAGTTTATGAACAAGAAATGTGTGGAGTGGTTGAAAAACTGTGTATGTAAACTTCCGACTTCAACTGTAGATATGTACATACAGTATAATTAGAAATAAAGTGACAGATAGTAAACAGTAGCAGCAGCGTATGTGATGAGTAAAAAAAGTTAGTGCAAAAAAGGGTCAGTGCTGATAGTCCAGTAGCTATTTGATTAATTATTTAACTAACTATTTAGCAGTCTTATGGCTTGGGGGTAGAAGCTGTTCAGGGTCCTGTTTGTTCCAGACCATGCCTATTTGTAAAGGTTTCAGAGCATAATCCATTAAAAAGGTCAGATATGTCTTGTGCTGACAGTTCATGAACTTGGGCATCAAACCCAGTGGAACCCTGGGTGGTGATGGATAGTACTGAACAGGTCTCTAACTGGCTGTGAGTGATTACTCTCAATATTTCAGAGGCAAATAAGGACAAACTGATTGTATAAGCTACAGTGACAGATATGCTTCAAGTTGAGAAGTAAACAAGTTTTAATCATGGCAAACTTTTTATGAATCCATTGAAGGTTGGTTGTTATCTTGATTTATTGATTTATTGGCTGATTGATTGATTTGTTTAATTCATTAATTTGTTTGTTCATTTGGAAATATGTAATCATAACATTCCAAAGATCATGTCTCTTGTTTAGTTCTGTTTATATTTACAAAAAGGATTTAGGGAATTATGGACAGATAAGTTATGGAGAGTTTGTGAGGATTTTCATCAAGATGTGTGATATGAAACAATGTACTCCTGAGTGGCGCAGTGGTCTAATCGCAGTGCTAACTGTGCCACTAGAGATCCTGGTTTGAATCCAGGCTTTGTCGCAGCCGGCCGCGACCGGGAGACTCATGGGCGGCGCACAATTGGCCCAGCGTCGTCCAGGGTAGGGGAGGGAATGGCCGGCAGGGATGTAGCTCAGTTGATAGAGCATGGTGTTTGCAATGCCAGGGTTGTGGGTTCGATTCCCACGGAGGGCCAGTATAAAATGTATTCACTAACTGTAAGTCGCTCTGGATAAGAGTGTCTGCTAAATGACAAAAATAAATAAAAATACAAATCTAATCCCAGCCCGAGTAGAAATAGACTAAAGTGAGCAGCTCTATTTACAGTGTCAATTCATGAGATATAATGAAGGGCTGTGTTATGGCACCTGATGTCTTTGCCAGGGCTAATATGAGGAATTATATTCAAACGCAAAAAACAGAGTGGGGTGCTTCAGGGAGAGGATTCAGAAACTGTATAACTACACAGTAGACATACTAGGTAACTATTTTGAAACAGTCTACGAATGGGCAGTTTATTTTCATTGCCTATTTCAATAATCATTACCAACAGTTGCAATATACAGTTGAGGAATTATGGTTACCAAAGTATTGCAGAGTCTCGCTCACCAGCATGTGTCTATAGCCTATACGTCTGGCATACAAGGCTATATCTGCATGAGGGCAACATATTGTAGTGTGTTTCCACACTTTGAACTTAGATGTGGTTTTATGTGTGAGTACCAAAGGTCAGAAAGGATCTTTAAGGATGTGGCTATAGCTGCACAACTAACATTATGGCTGAGTCCCAACACCATATTCCCTACATACAGTGGGGAAAAAAAGTATTTAGTCAGCCACCAATTGTGCAAGTTCTCCCACTTAAAAAGATGAGAGAGGCCTGTAATTTTCATCATAGGTACACGTCAACTATGACAGACAAAATTAGATTTTTTTTCTCCATAAAATCACATTGTAGGATTTTTTATGAATTTATTTGCAAATTATGTTGGAAAATAAGTATTTGGTCAATAACAAAAGTTTCTCAATACTTTATATACCCTTTGTTGGCAATGACACAGGTCAAACGTTTTCTGTAAGTCTTCACAAGGTTTTCACACACTGTTGCTGGTATTTTGGCCCATTCCTCCATTCAGATCTCCTCTAGAGCAGTGATGTTTTGGGGCTGTCGCTGGGCAACACGGACTTTCAACTCCCTCCAAAGATTTTCTATGGGGTTGAGATCTGGAGACTGGCTAGGCCACTCCAGGACCTTGAAATGCTTCTTACGAAGCCACTCCTTCGTTGCCCGGGCGGTGTGTTTGGGATCATTGTCATGCTGAAAGACCCAGCCATGTTTCATCTTCAATGCCCTTGCTGATGGAAGGAGGTTTTCACTCAAAATCTCACGATACATGGCCCCATTCATTCCTTCCTTTACACGGATCAGTCGTCCTGGTCCCTTTGCAGAAAAACAGCCCCAAAGCATGATGTTTCCACCCCCATGCTTCACAGTAGGTATGCTGTTCTTTGGATGCAACTCAGCATTCTTTGTCCTCCAAACACGACGAGTTGAGTTTTTACCAGAAAGTTCTATTTTGGTTTCATCTGACCATATGACATTCTCCCAATCCTCTTCTGGATCATCCAAATGCACTCTAGCAAACTTCAGACGGGCCTGGAAATGTACTGGCTTAAGCAGGGGGACACGTCTGGCACTGCAGGATTTGAGTCCCTGGCGGCGTAGTGTGTTACTGATGGTAGGCTTTGTTACTTTGGTCCCAGCTCTCTGCAGGTCATTCACTAGGTCCCCCCGTGTGGTTCTGGGATTTTTGCTCACCGTTCTTGTGATCATTTTGACCCCACGGGGTGAGATTTTGCGTGGAGCCCCAGATCGAGGGAGATTATCAGTGGTCTTGTATGTCTTCCATTTCCTAATAATTGCTCCCACAGTTGATTTCTTCAAACCAAGCTGCTTACCTATTGCAGATTCAGTCTTCCCAGCCTGGTGCAGGTCTACAATTTTGTTTCTGGTGTCCTTTGACAGCTCTTTGGTCTTGGCCATAGTGGAGTTTGGAGTGTGACTGTTTGAGGTTGTGGACAGGTGTCTTTTATACTGATAACAAGTTCAAACAGGTGCCATTAATACAGGTAACGAGTGGAGGACAGAGGAGCCTCTTAAAGAAGAAGTTACAGGTCTGTGAGAGCCAGAAATCTTGCTTGTTTGTAGGTGACCAAATACTTATTTTCCACCATAATTTGCAAATAAATTCATAAAAAATCCTACAATGTGATTTTCTGGATTTCTTTTTCTCATTTTGTCTGTCATAGATGACGTGTACCTATGATGAAAATTACAGGCCTCTCTCATCTTTTTAAGTGGGAGAACTTGCACAATTGGTGGCTGACTAAATACTTTTTTCCCCCACTGTAGTGCACTATTTTAACCAGAGCCCTATGGGCCCCGGTCAAAAGTAGTACACTACACTCTTAGAAAAAAAGGTGCTATCTAGAACCTAAAAGGGTTCTTCGGCTGTCCCCATAGGAGAACCCTTTGAAGAACCCTTTTTGGTTCCAAGTAGAACCCTTTTGGGTTACATTTAGGGACCCTTTCCACAGAAGGTTCTACACAGAACCCAAAAGGGTTCTACATGGAACCAAAAAGGGTTCTCCCATGGGGACAGCTGAATAACCCTTTTTTCTAAGAGTGTATATAGGGAGTAGGGTGCCATTTGGGACAAGACCTATGACAGTCTTTGCAGGACATCTGACATTGCAGTCCAAAATGCCATCTAAGCACTGCTCCCTCCAAACCACGTTGGGCAGCAAATATGTGAAACTTTCTTCAACCCCTACATTATCAACCCTGTTTTCCCAACCCTGGTACTTGTCATTGCTTAACCCCACTACCTATAAATGAGTGAATGTTGAAGGTGCAATTTTGGTGGCCCTTTCAGTCAGGACTGGGTGTAGGATAAGAACATTAATTTAATATAATTTTATTACAATTTACTACAAGAGCGGTACCGGTAACCTCTGCATATAGCCTCGTTATTGTTATTTGATTGTGCTACTTTTTATTTTATTTTTTACTTTAGTTTATTTTCTTAACTCTATTTCTTGAACTGCATTGTTGGTTAAGGGCTCGTAAGTAAGCATTTCACTGTCTACACCTGTTGTATTCGGCGCATGTGACAAATACAATTTGATTTGATTTGAAGAGCAGAATAAGACTATGTGTCCGAGGCAATTAATTTACAAAGTGATTCACAAGTGGTGAGGGAAATGTTGCACTTGAGCCGTTCAACACAACAGTCATAAAAATAACTTTATTCATTACATTGGTATCTGTTGACGTAGAACAAATACAAGTTTACCTGTTGACAAATTACAAAATCAAGTACAGTAAATAGCATAACCATAAAGAAAAGTAGGAAATCTGAGGTTGAAATTAAGTTGAGTCACAACGACCAAAAACCTCAGTCATACATGAAGAAACGACATCGCTCAAGTTAACCACCAAGCTTTTAATTCTAATGGAGGCTTTTTTGAACAATTTCTCTGGATACAGAACCCCTTCCCTCACTTCTCTCCCAGGTTGAGTCTTTTTGACTACCCCACCCCCCACCCCCCACCCCCCACCCCCAATTGGTGTCACATTGATGGTTCAGTCAATTGGTGGTTTAGTAATGATTACATGATGCAGTCTCCTTCAACTCATGGTACCCCTGGTGGTTTGGCTCTGTAAGGAAACAGAGAGGGGAGTTAGGAGTGGGAAGGACCACAAATTGTATCTGCTCTCTTGCTGTAGTTCCTAATAAAAGCCTCTTTTAGAATGATAGGCTTTCCAGTCCTGGGAAAAACTCTTTAACACGTAATACTTATTTATATTAGGCCTACTGGTATAGTAGTACATGTATAAGAAAACAATTTGTGGACAGTTAATATTTGTGCAAAGCATTTTTGTATCACAGTTACTGAGAACATATACAGTATATTATGGTATATTCTTATGTTCGCTATTGTTTTCTAACAGTGTGGATGGAAAATTTTGAGTCAAAACTGCTATCTCAAGTGAAGTCCATTACTACTATTGTCTCCTCATCCAATATTCAGTAAGAGTATAGTTGCTATTCAAACTGCTTACACTACCATCCGGTATTCAGTACAGTCGCTCTGTACTTAATTTGAACATCATCTGCAGTCTCGCAGAGAGAGCTCCTTCACTTTATAATTTTCTGAACATCCCAAACGATATAGACGAACAATCCCACTAGCAGAATACGTTTGAGAGTGTAGATAAAAGTTACGGTACCCAGACTCATATTCTCCTCCACCAGAGGTCTGGACTCGGTGCAGTTGACCGCGTTTCCCCGGGCCGCTCCTAAAATGGTCATGATATCCACCAGGTTGAGCTTCCCTTCCTCCTGCAGCTCCTCCACCTCTTCCTCCAGCTCCTGCACCGCCTCGGCCCTCTCCTCGATCTCCTCTGCCGTCAGCATCCCTGCGCCCTTCACGCCGTTCCCCTTCCCGATCTGCGGGGGCGCCAGCGAGCATACAGCCCTCAGCCTGCCATAAGACTGCAGATGCGCCACGTTAGCTCGCAAAAACAGCAGAAGAACGTTGAGGTCGTTGAGCGGGCAGCCCAGCTTGCGACCGCTGTTAAGTCCCAATGCAGGGAGAACTTCGTAGACCGACAATAGAGTCGTATCCCAGCAGAAGAGGCGGACCAAGCTGAACAGCACGATAGGCACCAGCAGGACATAGATAGCGCCGTTAGCCACGCTAATAATCTGGAAGACCAGTTGGCCGGTCATTTTACACTGGACCAGCTCAGGGACCCAGTTCTGGTCGCGTAGCAAGCCGGTGCGGACAAAGCAGCTGAACTCATCCTGGAGAAAGGCGGATAGGTGGAAGTAGACGAGGTAGAGGCAGGCGGCAGACATGAAGGTGAGCAACAGGAAGCCGCGCAGAAAGAGCATGCTGACCAGGAAGTAGGAGCCGTGCTTGCTCTGCATGTACCTCTCCAACAGGGGATACTCGAAGTAACGCTTCCGCTTGGCCCTGAAAGAGACCATGGAAGAGATGGGGTTAAAGGACAGTTGGCTCAAACACACTTTCATGTTATTGGCTCCGTTGTTTGGTAATGGAGGTTGTATGAGGATCTAAGGCATTTATCATAGTATTCAAGATTTAAATAGTCAGTCACATAACTGTAGTTAAAGCCTAAATAGTGTCTTGTTTTCAGATACTTTTGGCTGTTATTAGCTTGCTTTTGTACTTTTGTAAGCTAATAAGTGCATGTTTTGGTTTTTGCTCTAGCACCACACAGTGGATTCAAATAATCAAAGCTTGATGAGTTGGTTATTTGAATCAGCTGTGTAGTGCTAGGGCAAAATCCAAAACATGCACCCAGGGGGGGCCCCAGGACCGAGTTTGGGGAACCCTGGTGTAAGGCACCTCCCCCTTTCAAATGTTTATAGAACAAAAACAATCAAAAAGTAGGATCCTGATTTTTAAGACTTAGAAACAAATAGGTGGAGATTTACAAAGAAAAAAATCAGGGGGTAAGAAACAACTTTTTTAAATAGAAAAGATTCATAATCAGCATGAGTGACATATAGGCATCAGATTATTTGGATGAGTCAATGTATGGAATGTCCAGTAGATCTTTTTTCATTTTGCATTTGAAGGAGTTGAAGCTGTTGCAGTGCTTGAGGTAGTCCGGGAGACAGTAAAAATAAAAGAAAACTGCCCTACAGTATGTAAGTAATGGAGAATTTACTAATCTTGTACGGAAAAAAGGGGTGTGGAGATCTGTGGCCATTCTTGTAGAATAATGACGAACCTGAGTATTGAATTTGAAAAGAGTTTGAAAAGAAACAGGGAGTAGATTTATTTTGAACTGGAATACAAATAAACAGACTTGAAGTTGATTGATGTCATAAATATTGAGGATTTGAAGGTGATGAAAGAGTGGAGAGGAACTGGCACGACTTGTCGGAGTGAGTTGCCATTCTCACAAAACGCTTTTGAAAAAGGAAAATGTTATTGAGGTTGCTTTTATAAGTACTAGCCCAGACTATATTGCAATATGACATGAATGGATAGGTTAAGCTGTAGTATACATTCAAAATTATTTTTCTTGGGATAAGATGTTGAATTCATCTGATGACACCAATACTTTCACAATTGTATTGGAGACATATTAAATGTGATTTTTCCAATTTACTTTTTCGTCAATGAGGACTCCTACACTCAGAAAAAAAGAGTTCCTAAAGGGTTCTTCGGCTGTCCCCATAGGAGAACACTTTTTGGTCCAGGTAAAACCGTTTTGGGTTTCATTTCCACAGAGGGTTCTACATGGAACCCAAAACGGTTCTTCCTGGAACCAAAACGGGTTCTTCAAAGGGTTCTCCTATGGGGGCAGCTGAATAACCCTATTAGGTTCTAGATAGCACCTTTTTTCTATGAGTGTAAAAATTTGGTGGATTGAACACGATCATTGTAAATGATTGGATATACGGAAGATTGTTTCTTTTTAATTTTTTAAAATCATTTACATTTAGGGACAACGTATTTGCTTTGAACCAGTTGTCTCATGTTTTTTTTTTTTTACCTCTCCTGAACATGCTCTCTTCATTTGCATTTTAAAGTCATCATATTTTTTGTATTTTCTTGTGTGCAAATAAATAAAAGTAGACATCAATTCTAAGCCTGCTGACTTCCCCTCTTCCCCAGTCCAAAATTCCTGCCTCAACCAATCTGTTTGGATCTATCTCTGCCACAATCTTTGCCACACCCACTCTCACCTCTCAAGCTCGGCCTGGAAGGTGAGGGGGTTCTGGGTGTTCTGGCGCATCTCCAGGATGCTCTGAGCCAAGCGCACGGAGCGATTGTAGGACTTGTCCAGCTCGTCAATGATGAAGAGCAGGTCGGAGCCCAATGACGGCATGACCAGGAAACGCCAGATGAGGGCAGGCAGGTACATCATCATGGCCATAGCCAACAGAGAGTATGGGAACATCTGAGAAGGAGGGAGGGAGGGAAGCAATAAAGAAGGAGGGAAGGTGAGGAAGAAAGGAAGAAAAAGGGAGGGGGCCGGACAGGTAGAGAGAAAGAGAAGAGAACAGAACAGAAAAAAGAAGAGTGAGAGAAAGAGTGAAAGTATAAGAGAGAAGAAGGGAAGGATAGGGAGGTAGAGAACGAGAGAGTGATTTACAGTCTACATTTTACATTTAATGAGAAAGATTAATTACTTTTAATGGATGCTCTTTATTGTAACATTAAGGAAGCAAGAGGCACTTTTCAGTCGAAAGTAATGATGATTACTGTACAAACAAATTATAAAAATCCAGCGCTCCATATCTCTCTCCATATCTACACACAATATCACCTAATTTCCCACGTTGAACACCAAAAACTCAAAAAATGTGTACTGTACTACATAAGAAACACACACACACGCACACACACACAGACACACACACTTACATGCATACACACACAGACACTCCTCACAAGCTTGTGACACAGCTCCTCTGCCTCATCTGAACAGACTATCCACCAAATACATCAAAATACACAAATGGACACAGCACACGGTTAACTCCATCATTACACCCATGAGCATGAGGTTCATGTCTTACTTAGACAGCCCAGTATTTATAGAACTACTTATTACATATTTATAGAACCCATCTAAAATGACATGTCTGAGCTTTGAAATGAATTGCTGATGCCCTCAGTAACATAAATATCAAGTTGTTCATGTCTTGTCAAAGTTTAACAATGTTATGTCTGGAGAAATCTTTAAATAATATGCCATTTAGCAGATTAAATGTCCCTTTTAATAAGATATTGGGTTTCTATCTTAAGAATGTATTTTCAATTGGGAATATTCCACCAACTCTGGCAAATACCAGTATAGCCCACAAAATGCCTCCAGTATACCATTGACTCGTTATCCACTTCAGTGGCGGTCAGTGCCGTTTAAGATGAGGGAGGACGATTTTGTTTTTTCATGAGCATGGCCAAATTTCTATTACAGCATATTGGATGACTGTTATTCCTATTCCATTCACCCAGTTCAATGTAACAGCGAAAGGTTTAGGCTAGTACATTTTCCCTGTACCCATCATGCGGTTGCTACAACCTAGCCTATGAATGAATGTTTATAACGTAGGTGACACATTCAATACCCCCTTGCACACTCTTGCCTACATCTAGCTGATATACGGTGTAATCATTAGTCCAACAGTTGCAAACAAGAGTTTCTATTGGACAAATTCAGGTATGTTTATCCCCGTTTCGTTCTGTTTGCTTCCGTTTAAGAAACATTTTTCAACAGAATCGGCGGAATGAATACACCCCTGATCACATGTAAACACAGTCCACAAGTGAAACTTAAAGTGAAAAAAAATGACAATCTCTCTCTCTGTATATACAGTACCAGTCAAAAGTTTGGACACACCTACTCATTCAAGGGTTGTTCTTGATTTTTACTATTTTCTACATTGTAGAATAATAGTGAAGACATCAAAACATTGAAATAACACATATTGAATCATGTAGTAGCAAAAAGTGTTAAACAAATTCTAAATAAATCACAGACAGTGTCACCAGCAAAGCACCCCCACACCATAACACCTCCTCCATGCTTTACGGTGGGAACTACACATGCGGAGATCATCCGTTCACCCACACCGCGTCTCACAAAGACACGGCGGTTGGAACCAAAAATCACCAATTTGGACTCCAGACCAAAGGACAAATTTCCACCGGTCTAATGTCCACTGCTCGTGTCTCTTCTTCTTATTGGTGTCCTTTAGTAGTGGTTTCTTTGCAGGAATTTGACCATGAAGGCCTGATTCACACAGTCCCCTCTGAACAGTTGATGTTGAGATGTGTCTGTGATTGCCCTCTGTGAAGCATATATTTGGGCTGCAATTTCTGAGGCTGGTAACTCTAATGAACTTATCCTCTGCAGCAGAGGTAACTCTGGGTCTTCCATTCCTGTGGTGGTCCTCATGAGATCCAGTTTCATCATAGCGCTTGATGGTTTTTGCGACTGCACTTGAAGAAACTTGAAATGTTCCGTATTGACTGACCTTCATGTCTTAAAGTAATGATGGACTGTCGTTTCTCTTTGCTTATTTGAGCTGTTCTTTTACCAAATAGGGCTATCTTCTGTATACCCCCCCCCACCCCCCCACCCCACCCCTACCTTGTCCCAACACAACTGATCGGCTCAAACACATTAAGAAGGAAAGAAATTCAGCAAATTAACTTTTAAGAAGGCACACCTGTTAATTGAAATGCATTGAGAGAATGCCAAGAGTGTGCAAAGCTGTCATCAAGGCAAAGGGTGGCTATTTGAAAAATCTCAAATCTCAAATATATTTTGATTTGTATAACACTTTTTTGGTAACTACATGATTCCATATGTGTTATTTCATAGTTTTGACGTCTTCACTATTATTCTACAATGAGTAGGTGTGTCCAAACTTTTGACTGGTACTGTATATATATTGCTTCTCCTTCATTTTGGAAGAAATTAATTTGTTCAAAACTGTTCAACTATTGTCTTTCTCTCTCTTTTAGTCAACTACTCACCACATGTTATGCACTGCATTGCTAGCTAGCTGTAGCTTATGCTTTCAGTATTATATTCATTCTCTGATCCTTTGATTGGGTGGGCAACATGCAGTTCATGCTGCAAGAGCTCTGATAGGTTGGAGGACGTCCTCCAGAAGTTGTCATAATTACTGTGTAAGTCTATGGAAGGGGGTGAGAACCATGAGCCTCCTAGGTTTTTTATTGAAGTCAAAGTACCCAGAGGAGTACGGAAGCTAGCTGTCCTCCGGCTACACCATGGTGCTACCCTACAGAGTGCTGTTGAGGCTACTGTAGACCTTCATTGCAAAACAGTGTCTTTTAATCAATTATTTGGTGACGTGAATATATTTAGTATAGTTTTATCTAAATGGATAACTTTTTTAATGTTTTACCATTTACATTTTTTATGAAATTCACTTAGGAGGATGGTCCTCTCCTTCCTCCTCTGTGGAGCCTCCACTGATCAACTTACATTACACTGTTGTCATGGCAAAGACAGAAACAATCTTTCCATGGTCTTTATCACCTGACAAAGAGCAACCGTTTACAGTACTTGCGTTACCTTCTTTGTTCAGTTCCTGTGCCACAGTGGAACTGACAGCGTTTTAGCAACATGAAATCTTTAAAAAATCTGTTCATATACACCCCCACGAAGAATATGATGCCTCTTTTTTTACCACTTAGATATGGTCATTTTCATACTTTCATAGAATGTTTGGGAATTATGTATACTAAGCCATTTGTAAAATTCCTATAGCAATATAGAGTGGGAAAGCGGCCGTGCATTTGGACAATTAATAGACACTGTAGTAAATAAAACCTAATAAAAACATGTCAGTCTTGTTCGGGAATGGACTCTACACAGACTGGTGCGCCATAGCCAATCAGAGCTACAGTAGGCCAATATGCAAATAAGCCATTTGTCAAATGGGCCTGCCATCATTCACTTTGAACTGGACTGTGCGTTTACAGGCAGTAGCAACAGCGTGACTTTAGATCATTAGAAAGCATTAGCCAAAAGCCACAAAATACACCTGAATGGATTTCTGCAAATATGTAAATACCACGGGAGTCCTCTTACATTTGGGAACTTTACAGTGCTATTGATCAAACAACTATGAACAGGTATGCTCTCTCTCCCTCAGTTGCCTATACACATCAACAACAATAAGATCAACAACTAATGTTAGCCAGCACGAGATTAGCTTAAATCTAACAAGGGAACAGTAGATAAATCCTCTCAAACTTTTTCAGTTTGTAGTTGGCCGTCAAAATTGCACTGATAAACGATGGGGAATAGTTCGCCCTTCTGCAGCTTGCCTGCCAATGCATGGTTGTCCCAACCCACGTTTTAATAACTGATTGGGAACTTGCCTGCCTCCCCACCCATTTGATCGATGCCAAATACATTTGATTGACAACTAAGAGATATGCTAACAGTCGTTCAAGTTCAGTATAGCTAGGTAGCAAAGTGATTCACATTTCTCGCTAACTAACCAAATGTCACCTGCATGTCTAGCTGTAGAGACAGAAATACGATATGAGGGGAAAAAGTCGGCCGCTCACCCACTCGCCCAATAATATCATCCCAGAAGCTAGCTAGCTAGCTAACGTTAGGTTCTGTGTTTAAGCTAGCCTATTAGCCACATTATGACTGACTTGTGATCATTGTCCTTGCTAGGTTGATTGTGTTGTCATTCCCAGCCTTGGTTACATTCGTCCGTTTTTGTCCTAAATATTGACTCATTGAAACTGAATCCCGAATGGCTGGAGGCAGCTGTGATTTACAACCTGATAGTAATATTTGTTAGACTACCAAGAAATGTATTGGTGAATTATATTGATAATGCATTGAACTGCATACTGTACATCTATTCTGCCAACAATGCCTTACTCTCTGTCATGAAATGTTGAGTCAAATATAACCTGATTTTAAAACCTCTTATAAAGTTGGTTTTGTAGCATAAACTGGGAATTAGATTTTTCTGACTGATATTATGATTGTCTGTTTGTTTCATATCTTCAAAGTATTTAAAACGCTGTCAACTCCACTTTAAGGTGTGTGCAATTGTCTCTCGTTCTATCATGACAGAACAGAGCAGGCCTTACCTTGTGCACCCAGAGGGATCGCTCCTCAAAGTTTCCGTCTGTGTCAAACTCATGGTGCATCAGGGAGTCCCAGCAGTACGTGTCCACGTAGGCTGCCTGCTTGGCTGTGAAATTATTGGGGGGGAAACAGCTGATCTGTGGGCCTAGAGGAAAAACGTTAATATTTTGTAAAGCTATTACACTGACATAAAGATGCATGCATGTGCACACACATAACAAACATATTTGCATGCATAGGCATAAACACACACACGAGAGAGAGAGAGAGAGAGAGAGAGAGAGAGAGAGAGAGAGAGAGAGAGATTCCTTAATGTGAAAGTTTCCCTTTTCCAGAAGCAGAAAAGTAAAAAAATCTAAATCATATGTTTCTAAATGGAAAACTGGGTTTTAAAACAGGGTGGTATTACTCTCCTAATGTGTGGGTGTTTTTCAGGACCGAGCCCGGCCCGCTCCACCATACAGATGGTTGAACCACAGAGCCAGGGGTCCACACCCTTCCCTTCAGCCTATCTCCCCTACAGCAGTGCTGGGAGGGCAGGGCGACGGGCGTGCCCCTTGCACTTCAGAGAAAACCCTGAGTTAAACACAGGATACACTATTTTTATAGACAGCCTCCACATCAGTGAGAGTCTCCTAAAAGAAGCTCACGCAACCATCAATTTACTGACAGGACATGCAGAATGCTTATGCTGCACTCCTACTGTTAGTATGTTATTACAGATAACTGTACATGGACAGATTACATGTAACACAATGTAGATGTGAAACTATGTGTGTGTGTGTGTCTTTGTATAAATTGAGATAGCTGGGGACATACTGTATCTGAAATTGACTATTTAAGGCCGTCAGGTTACAAGGGAACACAGACAGCAACAAAGCATGTTCTTTCAACCACAGACAGTTTGACAAAGAACCCCTATTGCCATCGCTATGTTGCTTGGTACACATTGTACAACAAGGGCTCCTTCTCACCCAGCTATTTGTAGCTGTGGTAGAAATCTTGTCTGCAGCCGCAGGTGCACACAACACAGACACCAACCAGACAATAAACGAAAGATAAAGCAGAAAACAAACTAGAGAAGGAGGGCTAAGATCCATCAACTGTTTCTAGACTGTTTTCCATTTTGCAACATCTTCCAGTTAATTAACATATCCTATCGTTTGACTTCGATAGAGAGCTGCAAAAAGACCAGGTTGCCTGTAATTACCGAGCAATGCAGTGTCTGCGAACGCTGCTCTCAATCATCCCCCTGCCTATTAATATCTGTAGCGGCTGATTAAAGGCCAGCTCCGTGGGAAGACGATCGTTAGCTCAATGTCAATGAAACAAGGAAATAAGCTTGCCTGTCTGTAGCCTGTTATGGGTGGCGCTACCACACACATTGTTGTGTTAGTGTTATTGCTGCAGTTGACCAAGGTTGGGGGGGGAGAGAGAGAGAGAGAGAGAGAGAGAGAGAGAGAGAGAGAGAGAGAGAGAGAGAGAGAGAGAGAGAGAGAGAGAGAGAGAGAGAGAGAGAGAGAGAGAGAGAGACTGACTGACCGATGGAGATTTCGCGAGCAAAGGCCATGGACACCAGCAGCAAGGGCAGCCCCACGGAGACAAACTTGATGACCCTGTCGAGCGGCAGCTCCAGCTCCAGGTGACCGATGCGGTTGCCCCCAGCGCCGTCGCGGAGCAGGGCGTCCGACAGCATGGCCTGGGCGGCCACATTAGCGATGGACATCTTGGGGCCTAGAAAGGGACAGGTAAATGTTGGATTTACTCCAACCTGAGTCCACTGAGTCTTGATAGCACTAAGCTCTATAGTGCATGAAGGGTTTTTAGCATGGGCAGGATCCAATCCCAACTGGCAACCAAGAGTTTTGGGGTTAGCTAGGGAAAATACCCTGTAGCGTGTTAGAATGTACTTTGTATTCAGTTATGTTTATAGTTTTGATATCCAATCTGAGAAATAAAAATGGTATTCTTTGTGTGAAGTAATCATAACTGTATGCAAAACTATGGCCAAGGATGAGAAGAGAAAAATGGTATCAGATATTTCTCTTCAGTTGACAATATTGTATCACCATAAAGTATATACCAAACATACATCAGTCATTTAAACCATTGATATAAATAGCACTAATTATACACACCTCTAGCTCCCTAAATGTCAACAGCCTTTAAATCATCTCCATTCCACTTCTTCTACAATGATAAAAACAGTTTCCACGTTACCTTCAATCCGCTTGCGCTTTCCAGTGACACAGTGACTGCAGGGTGGAAATCCAGAAATGAACCAAACGGACCTCTAAAGACCAGAGCTGTGTTGGCGAGGCCCTTAAGTAGTCCAGGAGGGCCCTGCTAAATGAGAGGCTGGGACTGGGCTGGGTCTGGCCCATGGGTCTATGGGTCTAATTACAAGGGACCGCTGTTGCTGTATGCTGGAGCCCAGATGGCAGTGGGGGGGTGGGGGGGGGGGGGGGGGTGACTGTGTGTGTGTGTTTGTACTTATGTGTGCATGTGTGTGCCTATGAGACACTGCCCTGCCTATCCACTGATGTCCCAACCATGCTCTTGACTGCCATGGCAGAAGCCCACTTCAAACAAGGCCCCAGCACCAGTGGCTTTTCCTGCCTCTGTCATTTCCCCTCCTATTTATACCTCAGGTTGGCTTCAGATGCTGCTTCTAGCACACAGTATGGAGGATGGCAGTTACAGTTAGGCTCTGCCTGCTACAGCTATTTCAGTGCTGCTGCTAGGACTGGTATAGTTATGCTCCTTTCCGACTGTAACACCAGTGTTACACTAGTGTATACACCCTTATGTTATACTAGGGAAATTGTTTTTCCTTAGCTAGTGCTGACAGTGAAGAGCAGAATCAACAACCTCTGCAGTTCACAGTTAGTCATTGTTATGTAAATGCAAGCTAAAAAGTACCAGTGACAGCAGGTCCGCCGGAGCCATGGCCCAGTGAGACACGGGTGCCAGCCTGCGTAGGTAAAAACAGAAAAGTCTGAGCCTTTTGGGTAAGACACTGGGGTAAAAGTGTCTGTGTGTGTGTGTATGTGTGTGTGTGCATGTGTGTGTGTCCATACCAGTGATCAACTGCAGAATGTCTGAAATCAATGTATAATGGTGATCTACAGAAGATCTTAGTTGTTTTATATTCAGCAGATGTGAAGTGATAATCTGTACTTATATGGGTCACCCAAATGAAAAGCTGGGAAGACGTCTGTGTGGTACTCCAGCAAGGCCAAATCATAGGCTTGATTAACAACCCAGTGAGTGGGATATAAGAGACATGACAAGAACATGTAGGAGGTTGCTCTACATTGAGGTCATTTGGTCTGAGAGTAATCTATAATATGTGAACTTCGTTTATGGGAGGGTTGAGTTAAAAACACGGAGAACAGTGGTTATTCTCTAATACTTGGAAGTTTAACTAGTGGTCTTTCTTGTTTGCAAAGCAGAGGCCCAGCGTTGGGTTACTGTCAGCCTGCAACAGGTAGTGTGGCTGGGGTTAACTTTTCTGACAGGAGCAATGGAGCAAGATTTAACAATGAGCAACAGACACACATTCATGACAACATGTGGGGTTATCTTTAGTGCTTTCACAGTGTGCTGCCTCTGAGTGATGTAGATAAAACAACCACCACAACATCATAAAGGTGAAATAAAAAATAAATAAAAATAACAGTTAAGGGTACACTGAAATATGACATCATCATTCATAGCTATTTGGATTGTAATTCCCAAACTGGTGACAGGGAGGAGGGGTGGGGCTTTTACACTGTCATGACGCTGTTATCATGTATAATGACACAAAACTTCACACATTCACTGTATCATACTCATACAGTTTCCATAATAGGCTGAGACTAAGGCTGTCCTAATATGTACACTGTATGTTCAAGATGTGCGATCAATGTCATATGCACAAAAATGGAGCTGTACACATTTTTCTGCCTCAAAAAGGATACTCAAACGAGTAGCTTTATCTCTTTAATTATAAAAAATTGTCTATTGAAACAGAATAGATTATGACAACAATGTGTACAGAAAAAAACAAAATCCCTATCGTCACTTGCACTGGAAGAACCATTTTTAAAAAAGCAATCAAGAAAATGAATAATGAAGAACATACTTCACAAAGACCAATGAAAATTCAAGAACAGGTTTTTCTTTTCTTTTCTAGACATCACATCAGAAAATGGGTGACTCCATTTTGTGGATTTAGCACAAAAAGAGAGCTGAAATTAGTTTTCACAGTTTCTTCAAATCCTTCACGTAAGAGATAGAGAATCATTGCAGGAATGTAACTATTCTCTTTAAATCTCCAGGCTTCCCCTTTAAATTGTATTTTTCTTGCAAAGGTTGTCAGTTAATATGAATTGAGGACTCCATCACCTCTCTCCATGTTGGTGTGTTTTTTATTAACTCATTGAGACACTGTTACCAGGGCAGTGTTTTGTTTGTCATGTGAATTCTGTATGTGAAATTTTTTACAGTCTGGAGATTTTGTCACCTTGACTGGCCTTCAGTAACTTCACGCAATTGGAAGACCTCCAGAATGTCACAACAGTAACTTTGTGCCTTCTACAAAGAAGGTTCTGCTTGAACCACTTCCGAGAGCTCTGAGAAAAAAAGGAATAAATATGCAAGCCTTCAACAACGTAGCACAAATGTCAAAAATCGAATATACATACTTTGTGCTGTTAGGTTACTGAAAACGTTTTTTGCTCATGGACGCAAATAATTATATGTTTTTTTTAACGGAGTGGCTGCGGATCCCACTTTTACTGGATCTTTCTTCCCCGGGGTTTAAGGTCCCAAAACTTATCTGCATGTGCGGGATTCTCTATTTACACACAATCTCTGCAGGCTGCTTTACTTATAGAGAACATGCTAATCTGGCGAATGGTGCTTGTTTAATAAAGTTAGATCAAAGCTGAATCAATGTCCGCAAGATCACATAATGATAGCATTGTATATAACAGAATGGTTGCATTTCTCTCCCATGAACAGCGCGCGCCACTAGGCAAAATATGTGCTTTATTTGAAACAAAACACAGATATGCTACAGTTTGTTAACTCCATCTGTTCTAAAATTCGCTCATTGTACATAATCGAAACAACACTTTACATAACTAAGAAGATCTAAATGCATATTCCCATGAAACTGATTGAGATCAAATGATTGGCATGCAGATGCTGCATGGACGTTTCACCAGTAAAACTTGAAGAATTATCATTCACGACTGACGGTGAGAAATGTCAAGGGAGGATGACCACAAAAATGTGTGCGTAAAGTAGAGGTAAAGAAAAACATGCACAGAACATGATACAGATCTTTCCTGGGGATCCAGTGGGGCAGGGCGGGGGCGGTGGTGGGGCGGGGGCGGGGGTGGGGCGGGGGCGGGCGGGGGCGGGCGGGGGCGAGACGGAGGCGAGACGGGGGCGGTTACCTACGGATCCGCAGCCTCAGCCTTTTTTTAATCATACCTGAAAACATCCATTTTGTTGCAGCAAGGAATCGCTCATCATCAACGTTATGAAAACTTGTGTGGAAAACATTATGACAACGTCGTGGTTATGGAGTCAATGCAGTCAACCTGAGAACCAAAGAGCCATTTAAACGGACTAAGGCATGGATGATACTAAAGCATGGAACCCAACATGATGACCAGGTATAGACCTACAGTACAGTTCATGATCAACTCACATACAGCAACTCATGGTTTTCTTAATTGGAGGTTTGGGGTGACCCACTAGTCCACATAGGATGGTGTCCATTTTAGGACACCTTCAGCCTCATGTAGGCTCTTCAGTCTTAAGAGTTCTGATTGGACAGATCTGTAGTTTCTAGACAGACAACCATGGTAGAAAAAACAAAAGGCCCATTCGAGGTGTGTCTATGGCCTGAATCTAGGGGCTGGTCAAGGGGTGAGTTTGAATGTAGGCATGGGTTGTGGAGGGAGTGTACACTCAAAAAAATGTGGGTTATTTGGTAACCCAGCGCTGGGTAAATATTTAACATATTTATTTTGACTCAGCCAGTTGGGTTGCGTGAATAACCCAACATGTTTGGTTGTTGGTTTTTATTTACTTTCATGCTGCGTTGACCCAGAACCTGGGTATTTTTTCAGGAGTCTGGGCTTATTAGGGGCGTGGCTTTCAGATAGTTATTTTTGGCCACCCATGAGAGTTAATGTAATTCCTGTTCATGTGATGTTTGTACATTACAAATGTCTATTTTACTTGACTATTTTTGCAAATTACATATTCTAAAAAGAAAAATAATAACATTATTATTTACATATAGTAACAAAGTGGTAACTATCTCACCATTGGAATTTGCATAGGCTCTTAAGGAACTCATACACTTGTGTAAGCCTCATTAAAGCTACAAAACTGTCTGTGTTCAACATGTGATAACAGAACAGATTAACCAGAATGACATTTACTCTCACGGGTGGCCAAAAATAACTATCTGAAAGCCATGCCCCTACTAAGTGACGCCTCCAGTCATATCTCAATAACCCAGCATCAACAACCCAATCTTGTTCTTTTCAAAGAAAACAACCAAACTATGTGACCCAATGCCTGCAACCCAGAAGTTGGGTCATCCAAACAACCCAGCATTTTATTTTGTGTATGGGCTGGGTTGTGTGCATTAGGGCAACAGAAATTGAAAATGACTGTTTCTTATTGGAGAAATCTGTCTACATTTTCTTCCATTTGGTGACTAATGAACACAACCCAGGTGTCAAAAGGTCAAAAGGTCACGTAGTCCTCTAACATCTCTCATTACTCTAGTCCCTCTCTATGCTCCATGCCCAGATCTCTCCTTCCTCCCTCGCTCTCTTCCTCCTCCTCGTCCTCCTCTTCCTCCTCCTCTTCCATCCCTTCCTCTTCTTCCTCCTCTTCCTCTTCCTCTGTGCCATCCATGGAGTCATCGGTTCCCCCCAGCATGGCTTGCTGCATGGACAGGGTGGCTGAGACAGAGGACAGGGGCTGGAGGCTGTCAAAGCCTAGGGGGTCTGTATGAGAAGGAGGAGAAGCAGGCAACGCAGGGTTAACACACTATAACTGCCTCCAATTCTCTACCCTTCTCATTGAAGTGTGCACTCATTCACTCCCCCTCATGGGTTAAAAAGAATGGACTGGTCTAATGTAGTGGAATCCATATAGCCCATGCCAATATTCACTGTATTTCACTTTCTTTTTTTATTTATTTTTTATTTAACCTTTATTTAACCAGGTAAGCCAGTTGAGAACAAGTTCTCATTTACAACTGCGACCTGGCCAAGATAAAGCAAAGCAGTGCGATAAAAACAACAACACAGAGTTACATATGGGGTAAAACAAAACATAAAGTCAAAAATACAACAGAAAATATATATACAGTGTGTGCAAATGTAGCAAGTTATGGAGGTCAGGCAATAAATAGGCTATAGTGCAAAATAATTACAATTAGTATTAACACTGGAATGATAGATGTGCAAGAGATGATGTGCAAATAGAGATACTGGGGTGCAAATGAGCAAAATATATAACAATATAGGGATGAGGTAGTTGGGTGGGCTAATTTCAGAATGGCTGTGTACAGGTGCAGTGATCGGTAAGGTGCTCTGACAACTGATGCTTAAAGTTAGTGAGGGAGAAAAGAGGTTCCAGCTTCAGAGATTTTTGCAATTCGTTCCAGTCATTGGCAGCAGAGAACTGGAAGGAATGGCGGCCAAAGGAGGTGTTGGCTTTGGGGGTGACCAGTGAGATATACCTGCTGGAGCGCATACTACGGGTGGGTGTTGCTATGGTGACCAATGAGCTAAGATAAGGCGGGGATTTGCCTAGCAGTGATTTATAGACGGCCTGGAGCCAGTGGGTTTGGCGATGAATATGTAGTGAGGACCAGCCAACAAGAGCGTACAGGTCACAGTGGTGGGTAGTATATGGGGCTTTGGTGACAAAACTGATGGCACTGTGATAGACTACATCCAATTTGCTGAGTAGAGTGTTGGAGGCTATTTTGTAAATGACATCGCTGAAGTCAAGGATCGGTAGGATAGTGAGTTTTACGAGGGCATGTTTGGCAGCATGAGTGAAGGAGGCTTTGTTGCGAAATAGGAAGCCGATTCTAGATTTAACTTTGGATTGGAGATTCTTAATGTGAGTCTGGAAGGAGAGTTTACTGTCTAACCAGACACCTAGGTATTTGTGGTTGTCCACATACTCTAGGTCAGACCCGTCGAGAGTAGTGATTCTAGTCGGGTGGGCGGGTGCCAGCAGCGTTCGATTGAAGAGCATGCATTTAGTTTTACTAGTGTTTAAGAGCAGTTGGAGGCTACTGAAGGAGTGTTGTATGGCATTGAAGCTCGTTTTGAGGTTTGTTAACACAGTGTCCAATGAAGGGCCAGATGTATACAAAATGGTGTCGTCTGCGTAGAGGTGGATCTGAGAGTCACCAGCAGCAAGAGCGACATCATTGATATACACGGAGAAAAGAGTCGGCCCAAGAATTGAACCCTGTGGCACCCCCATAGAGACTGCCATAGGTCCAGACAACCAGGCCCTGATCCATTGCTTAAAAAATCCATGACTATTGAGTGTGTATGTGCACACTAACTATGCACATTGATGCAAAATAATTATTTTGAAATAACGAGGGAACAATGTTGACTCAATCTAGAGTGTTGAAACAGACAAACAGACATGGACAGAACGTTTGAATGGTTTAGTGACGTACTGTCAGCATTGTTAGAGTGAGGTCCATGTGTCTGCAAGACTCCAGCCACGATGGAGTCTGGCCAGAAGCGCTGGGTTGGACGGTGTTGGGACTTCATCTTCTTAGCCTTGGGAGCTGGATCTGGGTTACTGGCATCCAACATGGGCTGGAGGATGCGCCTGCGAGCGTTGATAAACCTAGAGATTGTATGAGAGAGAGAGAGAGAGAGAGAGAGAGAGAGAGAGAGAGAGAGAGAGAGAGAGAGAGAGAGAGAGAGAGAGAGAGAGAGAGAGAGAGAGAGAGAGAGAGAGAGAGAGAGAGAGAGAGAGAGAGAGAAGGAAAATAGACAAATTAAAAGACAAAGAGACCAGTGTAAGACAAACATAGACAGACATTTTTTCTCTGTAAGCGGTACTCTATGATACTGAGAGCATTTTTAGACCAGTAGATGGCGCCAATATGTTGTGAATCACCATTTGGTGGTAGAGCAAATCACTGAAGTTTGAACTCATCTACATTCACTTAGAACATTCAACATTTATATTAATTTCATCCATACTTTTAGCCATTTGATTTTCATGTCATATTGCATTTGCAGTAGTAGTATTACAATCTTACCAGTTGTTGACCTGTAATAAGGTGAGATTTGTTTGTCCTGCAATCTGTCTTTTCTCGTCCTCTGTTGGGTAGGGATGCTACAAAAGGGAAATATATAAGATATTTAGTATGCCATCAGTAAAGTTTAATCAATTTCAATTAGAAGTTTTGTGAATTAATAGTTCAAACCCTCCACTCGCACCTCTCATCCCTAACCCTTGCCATCGTCACTCTGACTTCTCAGTCTTACCTGTTTACCCCTTCTCACCCCTCAACTCTCTTGTATAGATAAAAAAAAATCCTCATAGCCTATCAGAGGGGGTGGAACTACCATATTGCTTATACCTACTCAATTCATTCAGATCCCTAGTGCCATTCGGGATAGAAGCTATAGGGGCTGTTTATGGATGGGCCCTCATTCATACACAGCTATAACCCTAACATTTTCAGCTCTAAACCTTTCACCCCGCTTTTCCTCCATAGCTTGACTTTTCTCAATAGCTTCCTCCATAGCTTAACCCATGGACTACAGATTAATATTGGCTCTGTTACCAACTCCAGCACATCAGCAAAACATTTGATGGTTCTGCACTCAAAAAGATGTCACATAAAACTTACTTTACTTTTACATTTACATTTTTTAAAATAATACATCGAAAAATTAAGTAAGCTTCATGGGACATATTTTTGAGTGCGGAACCAACAAATGTTTTGCTTATCTGGATTCAATGGTTTTACGCACCAAATAAACTTTTGTGAGAGCGCGATGGCCCTCTTTTGATTAACTCCTACACATTAACATTGATGTGAACACTGAAATGTTGCTAGCTCACCATGAGGTGTTGGAAGAGCCAGGAGCGCATGATGTTGGTGGCGTGCTTGGGCAGGACCCCTCTCTTGTTTTTGTGCTTCTTGTCGTCACTGTCCAAGAGTGAAGCCAAGTCCAGGTTTACCTTGGATGGAAGAGATGGATGGAGAGAGGGATGGGGTGTTATTGTTGCCATGGTAACAACGGGAGAGTGCCAATTACTTGTCTCTTTGGCAAGTGCAGAACCGCCCTCTTCACCATTGCCATAGCAACCCAATTTTAGTAATGATACTTAAAATAAAAGGCGAGGAAGGAACGTCGATTTGCAACACCCTTGACTCAGAGAAATCTGGGAGGCCGATCTAAAAAAGAGAGCTAAGATGAGAAAACTGCCTCAGAAACCTGGCAACGTGTGGGAAAACGAGAGTACAAGTAAAACGCTTGTAATTAAAACTTTGGCTTTGGTAAGAGTTTTGTGCCAACTCAGTGGGTGGTTGAGAAAATCATGAAAAAGCACTTCTTCAATAAATCGCTGATTTCTGTTTTACAGTGTAAATGGGTGGGGAGAACTCAATGGCAATTAATTGTTCCAGTGTCCTAGTTTAAACAGCAATGTGTTAGAAGCTTTCATTTGTAAGTCCCCACTGATAAAAAATTAAGCATTGTGTGTGTGTGCAAGAAAACGCATCTATGCACACACACAAACACACACACACACACGCACACACACACCAAGGCATCTACAGTGGCATGAGATCACTATACATGAAATCTCAAAATGTCCATCTCTGGTCCACACACAAAACGAATCATTTCTGTGTCATTGGCGCAAACAGTATCAAAGTGGAGATCCTTCATTCATATTTAACAACCCATTTGAAACAGCTAAAACACACAAAAATATGAACATTTTATCTGGACCATGAATAAATTGGCAGGACAAAACGCATAAATAAATAAACACATAAATAAATATACTCAGCTAAAAATGTATGTAATTAATTTCATGCAGACACTGGCATTGTAAAGTCATTAAAAAGAAACGGCTCCCGACTGATTCTGATATAAATATATAAAACACACAGACAACCACACAAAACAAGCCTCATTACAGTTGCAGCTGGGATGTGGAAATCCCTCCCCCATCCCCCTCGGCCCAGGGAATGCGTGTTCCGGGAAAGCGGGGTTGAATTAATTGGCGGCACCAAGCCGGGGTATCATAACCGGGAGCTTGCCGGTGGTGTAGCTACAGGGATGCACTTTATTCCCAGCCCACGTGTAGAGCGCTGCCTCGGCTGGGTCCTGGGTATTCACAGAGGCCGCCGCTGTCTGTCAAACACAGAATTACCTGCCTGGCTGATACAGCCGCAGAGCACCGCACTATACAGTCTACTCCATAGGCGAGCATACGGGTGGTCTGACAGTCTGACTCAGATATGGACCTCCTGTGTGAGGTTCTTCAGGGCATGGGGAATGCATGGGTTTAAAGGGACATCTAGAGCTTTCTTTGCAGGTGGGTTAGACTTCAAATGAAAAGAAACAAGTGCACATTTCGTCAAGGAGAGCATTTTAGCACATAGGCTAAAGGATGAAACGTTAGCATAATAAACAAGTGATACTTGCAAACACAGTGTGCTGGAATTTCTTAGGTTTCCCAATGACATGTTAGCTATTATGCTATTGCTCTAATATTCATATTTCATGCTAGTACTGTCGTAACATGTTCATAACAGATAGGCCTTCCATCTGATGACAGCTAATGGCAAGAAAAAACTAATATATTGCATGACATTGAGAGTATTTGGAGTTTGTCAGTCATTATCTGTCTCTACATCTTAAGCAGGATATATTTGATTCTTATGACAGTTTTACGATATGACAAAGACTATATCTCAAATAAAGTGTTACCAATTAACTAAATATATTTAACTGCTGTTCCTCTAACTGGGTCGAGAGCTTCAAGTTCCTCGGTGTCCACATTACTAAGGAATTAACATGGTCCACACACACACCAACACAGTCATGAAGAAGGCACCACAACGCCGCTTCCCCCCTCAGGAGGCTGAAAAGATTTGGCTTGGGCCCTCAAATCCTCAAAAAGTTCCACAGCTGCACCATTGAGAGCATCTTGACTGGCTGCATCACCGCTTGGTATGCAACTGCTTGGCATCCGACTGCAAGGTGCTACAGAGGGTAGTACGTGTGGCCCAGTACATCACTGGGGCTGAGCTCCCTGCCATCCAGGACCTCTATACCAGGCGGTGTCAGAGGAAGGCCCTAAAAATTGTCAAAGACTCCAGCCACCCAAGTCATAGACTTTTCTCTCTGCTACCGCATGGCAAGTGGTATCGATGTCTGGAACCAACAGGACCTGGAACAGCTTATTCCTCCAAACCCTTAACCCTGCTAAATACCGTGCACTCGGAAAGTATTCAGACCCCTTGACTTTTTCCACATTTTCTTACGTTACAGCCTTATTTTAAAATGGATTAAATTGTTTTCCCCCCTCATCACTCTACACACAATACCCCATAATTACAAAGCAAAATCAGAATTTAATAAAAATACAAGTATTCAGACCCTTTACTTAGTACTTTGTTGAAGGACCTTTGGCAGCGATTACAGACTCGAGTCTTCTTGGGTATGACGCTACAAGCTTGGCACACCTGTATTTGGGGAGTTTCTCCCATTCTTCTCTGTAGATCCTCTCAAGGTCTGTCAGGTTGGAAGGGGAGTGTTACTGCACAGCTATTTTCAGGTCTCTCCAGAGATGTTCGATCGGGTTCAAGTCCGGACCCTGGCTGGGCCACTCAAGGACATTCAGAGACTTGTCCCGAAGCCACTCCTGCGTTGTCTTGGCTGTGTGCTTAGGGTTGTTGTCTTGTGAACCTTTGCCCCAGTCTGAGGTCCTGAGCACTCTGGAGCAGGTTTTCATCAAGGATTTATCTGTACTTTGCTTTGTTCATCTTTCCCTCGATCCTGACTAGTCTCCCAGTCCCTGCAGCTGAAAAACATCCCCACAGAATGATGCTGCCACCACCATGCTTCACCGTATGGATGGTGCCAGGTTTCCTCCAGATGTGATGCTTGGCATTCAGGCCAAAGCGTTAAATCTTGGTTTCATCAGACCAGAGAATCTTGTTTCTCATGGTCTGAGAGTCTTTAGGTGCCTTTTGGTAAACTCCATGTGGGCTGTCATGTGCCTTTTACTGAGGAGTGGCTTCCGTCTGGCCACTCTACTATAAAGGCCTGTTTGGTGGAGTGCTGCAGAGATGGTTGTCCTTCTGTAAGGTTCTCCCATCTCCACAGAGGAACTCTGGAGCTCTGTCAGAGTGACCATTGGGTTCTTGGTCACCTCCCTGACCAAGGCCCTTTTCCCCCGATTGCTCAGTTTGGCCGGGCGGTCTGAGAGTCTTTAGGTGCCTTATGGCAAACTCCAAGCGGGCTGTCATGTGCCTTTTACTGAGGAGTGGCTTCTGTCAGGCCACAACCCTGGCATTGCAAGCGCCATGCTCTACCAACTGAGCTACAGGGGACTACATTGGTGGAGTGTTGCAGAGATGGTTGTCCCATCTCCACAGAGGAACTCTAGAGCTCTATCAGAGTGACTATCGGGTTCTTGGTCACCTCCCTGACCAAGGCCCTTCTCCCCCGATTGCTCAGTTTGGCCGGGCGGCCAGCTCTAGGAAGAGTCTTGGTGGTTCCAAACATCTTCCATTTAAGAATGATGGAGGCCACTATGTTCTTGGGGACCTTCAATGCTGCAGAAATTTTTTGGTACCCTTCCACAGATCTGTGACTCGACACAATCCTGTCCCGGAGCTCTACAGACATTTCCTTCGACCTTATGGCTTAATTTTTGCTCTGACATGCACTGTCAACTCTGGGACCTTATATAGACATGTGTGTGCCTTTCCAAATCATGTCCAATCAATTTAATTTACCACAGGTGGACTCCATTCAAGTTGTAGAAACATCTCAAGGATGATCAATGGAAACAGGATGCACCTGAGCTCAATTTCGAGTCTCATAGAAAAGGGTCGGAATACTTATGTAAATTAGTTATTTCTGTTTGTTTTATGTTTTAGGAATTTGCAAAATATTCTAATAACCTGTTTTTGCTTTGTCATTATGGGGTATTGTGTGTAGATTGATGAGGGAAATAAACAATTTAATCAATTTTAGAATAAGGCTGTAACTTAACAAAATGTGGAAAAAGTCAAGGGGTCTGAATACTTTCCGAATGCACTGTATGTACATATCTACCTCAATTACCTCGTACCCCTGTACATCGACTCGGTACTGGTACTCTGTGTATATAGCCAAGTTATCGTTGCTCATTGTGTATTTATTGCTTGTGTTACTATCCTTCTATTATTTATATATTTTTCTCTCTGCATAAAAGTTGATTTGACCTGATTTTAATTGGTTTCTCACAAAAATTGAAATAAGGGACGCCCTGACGTAACTATAACAACAATACGTTTTGGTGAGAAGAATGGTTTTGAATCTTGAATAGAGGGAACAGCAGGGATTCCAGGGACAAGATGGATTGTGGGGACAAGATGGATTGTGGGGACAGCAGGGATTGTGGGGACAAGATGGATTGTGGGGACAGCAGGGAGGGATATGCTAGGAGAGCAGCTGGTGGCCTCACCTGTGAATTCTGGATCTGGATGGTCCCCTGGGAGAGTCCCTGGGTTAACACCTGCCCTTGCGATGTCACCATGGCAACCGGCTGATACAAGGTTCCACCTGAGGGGATAATTTGCGGTCATAAAAGTCGAGTGGCTTCTTCTTCTGTGAAAAACAGTCGGCCTCGCGCAGTTTAGACTCGAGAGCTCTATTATCTCACCCTAACACAACAATAACAACAACAACAACAACACGTAAACAAGGACGACGCAAATAAATCCAGAAACAAAAGGTGTATTCTTTCACCTCGGGGTCCTTGAGGAAGGAGTTGTTGTTTTGCTACTAATTACCACTCATTTAGATTATCTAATTATGGGTGTTAATTTTGAGTTAATTTGAGTGTTGTGATCAAAGAGAAAGCTGGAATGAGATTGATTATTCTGGGTTGAAAGGGATTTCTGGAGGGTAGGGGTAACATAATAACAAGAAACCCATAGTCACACTCTTGAGTGATATAGAACACCTTCATTAACACAAAATGTTTATTCTTAATTATATGTCAACAGCCTCTGTTTTACATAGGATATGCTGTGACCTACCAGCATGCAGTTGCTGAAAGAAGCATTGATAAATACTTAGTGCATAACATGTTTTGTGGCTAAACCTTCTCTTACCCTGTTGTTGTTTTAGATAATTCCGTTGCAAATAAATGTTGTGCAGGCAAGGTAGAACACTTTGTACAATTTGTATATAAACTGCAACTGTTCCTGCCTATGTAACTACAATGTATAGGTAAAAGGGACAGTTGTTATAAAGTACAACGTAAAGATGTAATATTAGCAGGTTAGCGTTTTACGTCATGAATCTTGTTCTTGAGGCAGCTCTGAGAGCGGTCACGAGCTGGCACAGCCACAAAGTAATAAAATCAGATTTTAAACCTAACTTTAGCCTTAACCTTAACCTTAACCACACTGTTAACCCTAATGCCTAACTCTAACCTTAAATTATGACCAAAAAAATGCAAATTTTTGTTTTCATACGTTTTTACAAAATAGACAATTTTGACTTTCCCGTCTAGCCGAAATCGCTCAGTTCTGCTTCCAGGACAAGACTCATCCCAATAAATGATAACATGCATACTATTAGGGAAGGTGAGGTACCCATACAACTGGGTTGTGGAAGGTGGAAAGGCTTCTCACCTGATACCACCTGGGAGTTGATGGTAGTCATGGCAATGTTGCCCTGTTGCAGGGTCCCGGTGGGCACCATGATGCCCGAGGAGTTGACAGAGCTGGAGACTGATGTCATGGACGGAGAGGACGTCTGGAGGAGGTCCTGGTGAGGTCAGAGGTCATAAGAAGAGAGGGAACAAGTGAGGGGTCTGAGAAGGGTGGTTGAGGACGTACTGAATGTTGCAGATAGAAATGCAATGAATAGAGCTGACATGACTCATTATTGCAACATGTAGGAGACACATGTCTGTTCTTCAAAATGTATTTGTATCAAAACATTCCACGTTGTACACTACTGAATACGGCTCAGACGTTTGAACACAAGTATAATGGCCTTTCAGAAAAACAAAACAGGCAGTCAAGTCAGCAGATAAAATCATGTTTGAATGTAATTGTTCAAACTAATTGGAAAGTTTTATAAAGGATGTCCATTCCAAAAACCACCAGGCATCCAGGGTGTATAAATTCTTAAATGAAAAAACAAGGGGACTACACCTTCCGTTAAGGAAAAAATGCGGTAAAGATTTGAAGATGAATATACAAGAAAAATGTAGTCTTAAACACAAATGGTTTAGTATAATATAATTAATATAACTTATTGAACTCCCTCTAAAATGTACAAGGCAAAAATGACAACCACCAGCAAATGTTGGAGATGTAAATCAGATGATCCTGGGCTTGTGTCCTAAGTTGGTCAAGTTTCCTAATAATTAAAGAAAAGCATTGTAAATTTGAATTTTGTAAAGTTAGTCTTCTGGCAATTACAACTTAGATAGAAAGCTACTGAGGATGGTAGCTGACTCTATAGCCACTCTTATCTGTCATACGTTTAATCTGAGCCTAGAGGAAAGTGTTTGTCTTCATGCCTGGAGGGAAGCCAAAGTCATTCCGCTACCCAAGAGTGGTAAAGCAGACCTATCAGCTTGCTGCCAGCTCTTAGCAAACTGTTGGAAGAAATTGTGTTTGAGACAATGCTATTTCTCTGTAAACAAATTAACAACAGACTTTCAGAATGGTGATATAGAAGGGCACTCAACATGTACGCCACTGACACAAATTACTGATGATTGGTTGAAAGAAATTGATAATAAGAAGATTGTGGGAGCTGTACTGTTAGTTTTCAGTGCAGTCTTTGATATTATTGACCATAACCTGTTGTTGAGAAAACATACAGTACCAGTCAAAAGTTTGGACTCATCTACTCATTCAAGGGTTTTTCTTTGTTTTTACCATTTTCTACATTGTAGAATAATAGTGAAGACATCAAAACTATGAAATAACACATATGGAATCATGTTGTTAAACAAATCAAAATATATTTCATATTTGAGATTCTTCAAATAGCCACCCTTTGCCTTGATAACAGCTTTGCACACTCTTGGCATTCTCTCAACCAGCTTCACCTGGAATGCTTTTCCAACAGTCTTGAAGGAGTTCCCACATATTCTGAGCACTTGTTGGCTGCTTTTCCTTCACTCTGCCGTCCGACTCATCCCAAACCATCTCAATTGGGTTGAGGTCGGGGGATTGTGGAGGCCAGGTCATCTGATGCAGCACTCCATCACTCTCCTTCTTGGTAAAATAGCCCTTACACAGCCTGGAGGTGTGTTGGGTCATTGCCCTGTTGAAAAACAAATGATAGTCCCACTAAGCCCAAACCAGATGGGATGGCGTACCGCTGCAGAATGCTGTGGTAGCCATGCTGGTTAAGTGTGCCTTGAATTCTAAATAAATCACAGACAGCATCACCAGCAAATTACCCCCACACCATAACACCTCCTCCTCCATGCTTTACGGTGGGAACTACACATGCGGAGATCATCCGTTCACCCACACTGCGTCTCACAAAGACACGGCAGTTGGAACCAAAAATCTCAAATTTGGACTCCAGATCATAGGACAAATTTCCACCAGTCTAATGTCCATTCCTCATGTTTCTTGGCCCAAACAGGTCTCTTCTTCTTATTGGTGTCCTTTAGTACTGGTTTCTTTGCAGCATTCGACCATGAAGGACTGATTCACACAGTCCCCTCTGAACAGTTGATGTTTAGATGTGTCTGTGACTTGAACTCTGTGAAGCATTTATTTGGGCTGCAATTTCTGAGGCTGGTAACTCTAATGAACTTAACCTCTGCAGCAGAGGTAACTCTGGGTCTTTCATTCCTGTGGCGGTCCTCATGAGAGCCAGTTTCAACATAGCGCTTGATGGTTTTTGCAACTGCACTTGAAGAAACTTTCAAAGTTCTTGAAATGTTTCGTATTGACTAACCTTCATGTCTTAAAGTAATGATGGACTGTCGTTTCTCTTTGCTTATTTGAGCTGTTCTTGCCATAATATGGACTTGGTCTTTTACCAAATAGGGATATCTTCTGTTTACCCCCCCTACCTTGTCACAACACAACTGATCGGCTCAAACGCATTAAGAAGGAAAGAAATTCCAGAAATTAACTTTTAAGAAGGCACACCTGTTAATTGAAATGCATTCCAAGTGACTACCTCATGAAGCTGGTTGAGAGAATGCCAAGAATGTGCAAAGCTGTCATCAAGGCGAAGGGTGGCTATTTGAAGAATCTCAAATATAGCATATATTTTGATATGTTTAACACTTCTTTGTTTACTACATGATTCCATATGTGTTATTCGATAGTTTTGATGTCTTCACTATTATTTTACATAAAAATAGTAAAAATAAAGAAAAACACTTGATTGAGTAGGTGTGTCCAAACTTTTGACTGGTAGTGTATGTGTTATGTCTTTTCAACCTCTGCCATATTGTGGATTCAAAGCTATCTATCTAATGGAATCTTCTCTAATGTCAAACATGTAAAGTGTGGTGTACCGCAGGGCAGCTCTCTAGGCCCTCTACACTTTTCTATTTTTTACCAATGACATGCCACTTGCATTAAACAAAGCCTGTGTGTCCATGTATGCTGATGATTCAACCATATCAGCATCCACAGCTAATGAAGTCACTGAAACCCTTAACAAACGGTTGCAGTCAGTTTTGGAATGGGTGGCCAGTAATAAACTGCTTCTGAACATAGTATTTCATTTAGGGAATGATTTGGTACAAATCATTCCCTAAATGTTAGACCTCAGCTGAATCTGGTAATGAATGGTGTGACTGTTGAACAAGTTGAGGAGACTAAATTACTTGGTTTTACCTTAGATTGTAAACTGTCATGGTCAAAACATATAGATTCAATGGTTGTAAAGATGGGGAGTGATCTGTCTGTAATAAAGAAATGCTCTGCATTTTTGAAACCACACTCCACAAAGCAAGTCCTGCAGTCTCTAGTTTTGTCTTATCTTGATATTGTCCAGTCATATGGTCAAGTGATGTAAAGAAAGACCTAGTTAAGTTGCAGCTTGCCCAGAACAGAGTGGTACGTCTTGCTCTTAAATGTAATCAGAAGGCTAATATCAATAATATGCTTGTGTCACGATCGTTCAAGGAAGTGACGGACCAAGGCGCAGCGTGGTAAGCGTACATTTTATTTAATTAACGTACTTAACACACACGAACAAAAACAACAAACCAAACGATACGTGAAGTCATAGGTTAACACCAAAACAAACCATACGGAACAAGATCCCACAATGACTAGTGCCAAACATGCTGCCTAAGTATTGTCCCCAATCAGAGACAACGAGAAACAGCTGCCTCTGATTGGGAACCACCCTGGCCAACATAGATCTACACGATCTAGATCAACAACATAGAAAATACAACATAGACACTACACACCCTGGCTCAACATTTATGAGTCCCCAGAGCCAGGGCGTGACAGTACCCCCCCCCCCCAAAGGCGCGGACTGTGACCGCGCCACACAAACACAAGAGGGTAGGAGCCGGGTGGGCATTCCGCCTCGGAGGCGGATCCGGCTCCGGGCGTGACAACCACCTTTTCTCCACCTCCCCGTTGCGCCCCTGGTCTGGTCTGGCCCCGCTGACTGGAGCTGGACTGGACACCGGTGGAGCGGATTGCTCAGGCTCCGGAGTGGAGCAGCTGACCGGTGCCGGACCAGGCACCGGTGAAACAGGCACGGGCCATGCCGGACTGGACACACGCACCACTGGCTTGGTGCGGGGAGCAGGAACGGGCAGGACCGGGCTGACGACGCGCACCACTGGCTTGGTGCGGGGAGCAGGAACGGGCCGGACCGGGATGACGACGCGCACCACTGGCTTAGTGCGAGGGACAGGAACAGGCCGGACCGGGCTGGCGACGCGCACCACTGGCTTGGTGCGGGGAGCAGGAACGGGCCGGACTGGGCTGGCGATGCACACCACTGGCTTGGTGCGAGGGACAGGAACAGGCCGGACCGGGCCGACGACGCGCACCCCTGGCTTGGTGTGGGGAGTAGGAACAGGCCGGACCGGGCTGACGACGCGCACCCCTGGCTTGGTGTGGGGAGTAGGAACAGGCCGGACCGGGCTGACGACGCGCACCACTAGTTTGGTGCGGGGAGCAGGAACAGGCCGGACCGGGCTGACGACGCGCACCACTGGCTTGGTGCGGGGAGCAGGAACAGGCCGGACCGGGCTGGCGACGCGCACCACTGGCTTGGTGCGGGGAGCAGGAACAGGACGGGCTGGACTGGGAACACGCACCATTGGCTTGGTGCGGGGAGCAGGAACAGGCCGGGCTGGACTGGGAACACGCACCATTGGCTTGGTGCGGGGAGCAGGAACAGGCCGGGCTGGACTGGGAACAAGCACCATTGGCTTGGTGCGGGGAGCCGGAACGGGCCGGGCCGGACTGTGGATACGCACCACTGGCTTGGTGCGGGGAGCAGGAACGGGCCAGGCCGGACTGGGAACACGCACCACTTGCTTAGTGCGAGGAGCAGGAACGGGTCGGGCCGTACTGGGAACACGCACCACTAACTTAGTGCGGGGAGCAGGAACGGGCCGGACCGTACTGGGAACACACACCACTGGCCTTGTGCGGGAAGCAGGAATGGGTCGAGCCGTACTGGGAACACGCACCACTGGCTTAGTGCGGGGATCAGGAACGGGCCGGACCGGACTGGTGACACACACCACTTGCTTGGTGTGAGGAGCGGGACTGGGTTTCCTTATAAACCTCCGCTCCCTCTGCTGCCTAACCAGCTCCTCTCGCCGTGCCTCTACATTCTCCTTCTCCCTTAACGCCTCCTGTAGCTCCTCCCTCTGACCAATTAACTCCTGCTCCCTCTGGACCAATAGCCCCCGTAACCTGGTGGCCTCCTCTCCTAGTCTGCAGATACGCCCTGTCGCTGCCTGCTGCTGCCCCGTCGTCCACGCCGTGTGCCCCCCCAAATTTTTTTATTGGGGTTGCCTCTTGGGTGTCCGTCGTCGGCACGGTTGGCGCCGTTTCTCCTCTCCTGCCTGGGCATTTTCATTCATCGCCCTCCGGTAACAGACGGCCTCCTCCTCCGTGATTCTCCCCCAACCGAGGAGGACATCTACTAACGTAACCTCCGGCGTTTGCTCCTGGACACGCTGCTTGGTCCTCTTTTGGTGGGATCTTCTGTCACGATCGTTCAAGGAAGTGACAGACCAAGGCGCAGCGTGGTAAGCGTACATTTTATTTAATTAACGTACTTAACACACACGAACAAAAACAACAAACCAAACGATACGTGAAGTCATAGGTTAACACCAAAACAAACCATACGGAACAAGATCCCACAATGACTAGTGCCAAACATGCTGCCTAAGTATTGTCCCCAATCAGAGACAATGAGAAACAGCTGCCTCTGATTGGGAACCACCCTGGCCAACATAGATCTACACGATCTAGATCAACAACATAGAAAATACAACATAGACACTACACACCCTGGCTCAACATTTAAGAGTCCCCAGAGCCAGGGCGTGACAGCATGCCAGTCTCTCTTGGCTAAGAGTTGAGGAAAGACTGACTGCATCACTTCTTGCTTTATAAGAAACATTGTGTTGGAAATTAAAAACACATTTTATAGTCAACTTAAATGTTTTACATTTTAGTCATTTAGCAGACGCTCTTATCCAGAGTTAGTGAATGCATACATGTTTTTTGTCACATTGGCCCCCCGTGGGAAACGAACCCACATCGCTGCCGGCCAAACCCTCCCATACCTTGGACGACGCTGGACCAATTGTGCGCCGCCCATGGGTGTCCCAGTCGCGGCAGGCTGCGACAGAGCCTGGACTCGAACCAGGATCTCTAGTAGACCACTGCGCCACTCGGGAGTGCCTACACACAGCACTGATACACTTACCCCACCAGACATGCCACCAGGGGTCTTTTCACAGTCCCCAGGTCCAGAACAAATTCAAGGAAACGTACAGTATTATACAGAGCCATGAGTGCATGGAACTCCCTTCAATCTCATATAGTGCAAGTGAACAGCAAACCTGGTTTCAATAAATAAATAAAGCAACACCTCACGGCACAACGCCTCTCCTCCATCTGACCTACTTATTTTGTGTATGTACTGACATGTAACTGATAGATGCACACACACGCACACTACATGTTCATGTTTTTAAATGTATCTATACTGAACAAAACTAAAAATGCAACATGTAAAGAGTTGGTCCCATGTTTCATGAGCTGAAATAAAAGATCCCACAAATTTGACATATGCACAAAAAGCTTATTTCTCAAAAGTTCTGTGCACAAATTTGTTTACATCCCTGTTAGTGAGCATTTCTCCTTTGCCAAGATAATCCATCCACATGACAGGTGTGGCATATCAAGAAGCTGATTAAACAGAATGATCATTACACAGGTGCACCTTGTGCTGGGGACAATAAAAGGCCACTCCAAAATGTGCAGTTTTGGCACACAACACAATGCCACAGATGTCTCAAGGGAGTGTACAATTGGCATGCTGACTGCAGGAATGTCCACCAGAGCTGTTGCCAGAGAATGTAATTTTCATTTCCCTACCACAATCTGCCTCCAACGTTGTTTTATAATATTTGGCAGTACGTCCAACTGGCCTCACAACCGCAGACCACGTGTAACCACGCTGGCCCAGGACCTCCATATCTGGTTTCTACACCTGCGGGATCGTCTGAGACCAGCCACCCAGACAGCTGATGAAACTGAGGAGTATTTTGTCTGTAATAAAGCCCTTTTGTAGGGAAAACCTCATTCTGATTGGCTGGGCCTGGCTCCCCAGTGGGTGGGCCTGACTCCCAAGTGGGTGGGCCTATGCCCTCCCAGGCCCACCCATGGCTGCGCCCCTGCCCAGTCAAATGAAATCCATAGATTAGGACCTTTATTTATTTTAATTGACTGATTTCCTTATATGAACTGTAACTCAGTAAAATCGTTGAAACGGTTGCATGTTGTGTTTATATTTTTGTTCAGTATAAAATGTAAAGCATTTTGTCTGTATTATCTTTTTCGTTATGTGTCGGAATGCAGTAAGACTACCTGTCGGCATTGGCGTCGGCTAATGGGGCTCCTAATAAATCAAATCAAACCCTATTGGAAAATAATATTCTCTCTATTTCAAGGAGCAATAGAAAATAGACTACACACAAATGCAGCCTTTATCTTGCTGGGAATTAAACTCCCGGAAAATTCACCAAATGCTTCCATGCTCAGGACACTAACTCTCATTGCTAAAATGGTCATTTTAAGGCATTGGAAAGAGGAGCAGCCACCCTCATTTGCAGAATGGCTCCAACTGTCAATGAACTCTGTCAAATTTGAGATAACTATTGCAAATGTACAGAATACGAAAAAAATATGTTTCAAGTTACTTTCTTAGAGTGAACGAAAACTGGGGGAAATGTATGTAATTTTTATTAAAATAAAAAAATAAAAGTCGAAACATGACAAATGCAGTTGGCTCTTTCTAAGTGCATACCAGATACATTCTGTTTAGAGTGCATATGTGCATGCGTGCACCAGTGCACATATCCCATGTCATTTCAACGTCTAGTTTTGATTTAATTTTGTTTGAGTTGTCAACTAACGTCAATTAGACGTGAAATCAACAACCAAAATTCACGATGTCATTGGATTTAGGTTAAAAATATGAAATTCCCTTACGTTGATGACTTTTTGCAAATCCAATCAGTTTTCCACGCTAATTCAATGTCATCACATTATATATATATTTTTAAATGACATGGAAACAACGTTGATTCAATCCGTTTTTGTGTGTGTGTCCATCTCTTACCTGCTGCAGGCTAATTGAGGTGTGCGAGGGCGAGTAGGGCCCGCCCAGGTCATTGCGGAGCAGGTTGTCGCTGTGCATCTTGGTCTTGAGGCAAGTGATGTAGCGGTTGCAGAAGTCCTTGCAAAGCTCGTTAACCTTCTCCAGTTCCAGCAGGTGGATCCTCAGCACCTGGATGGCCTTCACCATCTGAGGAGAGAGAGAGCAAAATAAGCAGGCTTATTGACTGAGGAAAGGAGGAGGCTATATGCTAGCCTTCATGCTAGTCTGAGCTAGCTCAACTTTAGCTAGCTCCATTGTTGCTTTCTACAGCTTTAAAAAGGTGTAACCATAGCACCTGGATGGCCTTCACCATCTGAGGAGAGAGAGACAAAGCCAGCAGGCTAAATGACTGAGGGAGTAGGCTACCTGCTACATGCTAGCCTGAATGCTAGGCTGGCTCAACATTGACTAGCTCAATGGTTGCCTTCTCCAGTTTGAACCAAAGGTATATAAATAATCAATAATTGGCAATGGATGCCACGAGAAATCCCCAGGGGCTAGGGTTTGTTTCTGGACAGACCCCTTGTGTGCCTTATAGATGATGTGCTGGCCCTAGTCAGTCAGTCCCTGAACGTTTTCAGATAGCCCTTGACATAACACTTGCTAATCCATGACCCTCTCAAAATTTTCCCAACCAGGATTCCCCTTCCAGTGCTCACTCTCTCAAAGTCAGCACTCAAGGGCACCAGAATCGGGGCCTTGTGCCATCTCGGCCAGTCAGCTTCAGCTTACTGTCCTGTGGAAGAGTTAGTGTGTGCTGGGGCCAGCCCCCGACCGGCGCCTCGTAAAGCAAACAGATGCGGGGTTAATTAACTGCCTCACCACTTGTCGCCGAGCACCCCCATAATGATGAGAGCCAACCTTCTCTCTCTCTCTCCCCCTCTCTCTCTCTCTCTCTGTCTCTCTCTCACTCACTCACTCACTCACTCACTCACTCACTCACTCACTCACTCACTCACTCACTCACTCACTCACTCACTCTCTCTCTCTAGCCACCCTCCCTATTTCTCCTAATTTCTAATTACTGCTAGCTGTCATAGAAGGGTGGGAGGGAGAGCATGAGGGGAAAAGAGAGAAAGGGTGAATAGAAATGGATATTGAGAGAGACAAAGGAGGAAAGAAAGAGGAGGTACAAGAGGGAGGGGGTAGAGGTAGTCTGTGAGAGAGAGAGAGAGAGAGAGAGAGAGAGAGAGAGAGAGAGAGAGAGAGAGAGAGAGAGAGAGAGAGAGAGAGAGAGAGAGAGAGATAGAGAGAGAGAGATAATTGAAGAGAGAACCGTGTACATGAGAAAGGGTGAGAGAGAAAATAAGACAACTTTATAGTGAGTGGGACCTGAAAGGGATAACTAACAGAGCTTCCTAACGTTGAGGAGGCATCTCAGTAGTCTAGCGTGGCTTCCTAACGTTGAGGAGGCATCTCAGTAGTCTAGCGTGGCTTCCTAACGTTGAGGAGGCATCTCAGTAGTCTAGTGTGGCTTCCTAACGTTGAGGAGGCATCTCAGTAGTCTAGCATGGCTTCCTGAAATTGTGGAGGCATCTCAGTAGTCTAGCGTGGCTTACTAATGTTGAGGAGGCATCTCAGTAGTCCAGCGTGGCTTACTAATGTTGAGGAGGCATCTCAGTAGTCCAACGTGGTGTACTAATGTTGAGGATGAATTGCTCCCTCTACTGGTGGAGGAAGTCATTACAGTATGACTATTGCGATAACTGCTCAATATTAGGAAGCCATATTAGACTTTTGAGATGCTTCAAATCCAAGTTGGACTACTTAGATGGCCCCCAGGCAGGGTACTAACCAGGTTGTCCAGCTCGGGGTCCTCGCTGAAGAACGGCTTGTGGTCCTGCTCCTGCTGGTGGACAAAGTTCTCGATGTCCACATCGAAGCTGGCAGAGGTGATGCACTCAGAGCCCTGGGTGGCCTGCTCACACTTCTCAAACAGCAGGGCCAGCAGTGGGAACAGAGGGTGTCTGGAAGGATAGGAGAAGAAAGGAAGTTGTTAAACTTCATAACTGCTCTAGCTGTATCTTGATAGCCGTATAAGTAGTAGTTCCAGGTACAAAGAGGAAAAACATCTCTGTTTGAGAAGAAGTTGCATCGGTATTGGCGTATTTGAGGTGTGTGTATCATGTTAACAGACTGAGGCCGTTATTCAATCCGATCGCACTTTTTCGACAATGGTCTTTTAAAGGCAATGTTCCCGTGTTCGCTGAGACCACATTCACAGTAAACACTGCATATGTCGGTTCAATCGGAAATTACCTTTAAATGGCGCATTGTCCCAATGTGCGATCGGATTCAATCCCGGCCTGAGTGGGAAGTTTAGTTGTGCATTGCGTGCTAACTACAGCATGTTGTACTGCAACAATGCTCTGTTTTACCACCAGGAACTGCATTAGCAAGTTAACTTGATTGTTAACTCAACAGACAAATGCAACAGACAAAGAAAACGGTAGACAATGAGATAACAAGGTACATAATTAGATCCCACTGGGCACAAACTAGTTGAATCACTGTTGTTTCAATGTAATATGTCAACATATTGTGATGTTGAATCTATGTTTGAAACACATTTGGATTTGCAAAAAGTAATCAACCAGTACAGTTTTCATTTGATTTCAACCACCGTTGCAAACATTGAAATTAGGGTAAAACTTCAACTTAAATACAATTACTTAACGTGACTAACAGGTTGTTACATCAATCTAATTTCAACGTAATCATCAAAACGATGTACTGTATACGTTGAAATTACATTGAAAATTCCACGTAGAATGGTTAAAAATCTCACGTAGAATCTACGTGGAAATTGCAGCACAATTTATGTCATGCAACATCAGATCAATTCTTTTTATGACCATGTTGTTCTTTCTGCTTGCATTTTGTATTCATATTGATGTGTGTATTTTCTGTAAATTATGTCATTCAGGGCTCATCTGTAAAAGGTCTTGGTCTTAGTATGACTCCCAGATAAAAAAATAAGTTGAAAAAATAATATATATTCTGTATATTGGGTGGATGAAATGATGTTGAATTTCATATTTGATTAGACATATTTTATTTGACCTTGTTTCAATGTTGATAGTAAAAAGGTATGTTTGAATCAATGTCATTGTTTCAACATCATGCCATCAACCTAAATAAAGAGATGCCCATATTGAAATAGAATCTGAAGCCTCAGTCCAACGATTCCTGCCTGAACAGTGACTCCTTATTGGTATATGAGGGGACATGTACCATCCAGATGACTACCTCTATGTACCCTGCTTAGCTTTGGAAACAAGTTGTGTTAGTTTCTGCTGAGCTATCATGTCAACACATATGGACACACATTGACTCGGTACCGGTACCCCCTGTATATAGCCTCGCTATTGCTATTTTACTGCTGCTCTTTAAATATTTAATTATATTATTTCTTAAAACTGCATTGTTGGTTAAGGGCTTGTAAGTAAGGATTTCACTGTTGTATTCGGCGCATGTGACAAATACAATTTTATTAAATTTTATTTGATCAGCTTCCATACTCATTTGCATAACTATGCTCTGAACTCCTCTAACTTGTTTTACACAAGCTACAGTGAGGGAAAAAATATTTGATCCCCTGCTGATACGTTTGCCCACTGACAAAGAAATTATCAGTCTATAATTTTAATGGTATGTTTATTTGAACAGTGAGAGACAGAATAACAACAACAAAATCCAGAAAAACGCATGTCAAAAGTGTTCTAAATTGATTTGCATTGACCCCCTCTCAATCAGAAAGATTTCTGGCTCCCAGGTGTCTTTTATCCAGGTAATGAGCTGAGATTAGGAGCACACTCTTAAAGGGAGTGCTCCTAATCTCAGTTTGTTACCTGTATAAAAGACACCTGTCCACAGAAGCAATCAATCAATCACATTCCAAACTCTCCACCATGGCCAAGACCAAAGAGCTCTCCAACGATGTCAGGGACAAGATTGTAGACCTACACAAGGCTGGAATGGGCTACAAGACCATCGCCAAGCAGCTTGGTGAGAAGGTGCCAACAGTTGGTGCGATTATTCGCAAATGGAAGAAACACAAAATAACTGCCAATCTCCCTCGGCCTGGGGCTCCATGCAATATCTCACCTCGTGGAGTTGCAATGATCATGAGAACGGTGAGGAATCAGCCCAGAACTACACGGGAGGATCTTGTCAATGATCTCAAGGCAGCTGGGACCATAGTCACCAAGAAAACAATTGGTAACACACTACGCCGTGAAGGACTGAAATCCTGCAGCGCCCGCAAGGTCCCCCTGCTCAAGAAAGCACATATACATGCCCGTCTGAAGTTTGCCAATGAACATCTGAATGATTCAGAGGAGAACTGTGTGAAAGTGTTGTGGTCAGATGAGACCAAAATGGAGCTCTTTGGCATCAACTCAACTCGCCGTGTTCGGAGGAGGAGGAATGCTGCCTATGACCCCAAGAACACCATCCCCACCGTCAAACATGGAGGTGGAAACATTATGCTTTGGGGTGTTTTTCTGCTAAGCGGACAGGACAACTTCACCGCATCAAAGGGATGATGGACGGGGCAAAGTACCGTCAAATCTAGGGTGAGAACCTCATTCCCTCAGCCAGGGCATTGAAAATGGGTCGTGGATGGGTATTCCAGCATGACAATGACCCAAAACACACAGTCAAGGCAACAAAGGAGTGGCTCAAGAAGAAGCACATTAAGGTCCTGGAGTGGCCTAGCCAGTCTCCAGACCTTAATCCCATAGAACATCTGTGGAGGGAGCTGAAGGTTCGAGTTGCCAAACGTCAGCCTCGAAACCTTAATGACTTGGAGAAGATCTGCAAAGAGGAGTGGGACAAAATCCCTCCTGAGATGTGTGCAAACCTGGTGGCCAACTACAAGAAACGTCTGACCTCTGTGATTGCCACCAAGTACTAAGTCATGTTTTGCAGAGGGGTCAAATACTTATTTCCCTCATTAAAATGCAAATCAATTTATAACAAGTAAATTCAGAATAAGATTGGGTTTATGTACAGTCGTGGTCAAAAGTTTTGAGAATGACACAAATATTAATTTTCACAAAGTCTGCTGCCTCAGTTTTTATGATTGCAATTTGCATATACTCCAGAATGTTATGAAGAGTGATCAGATGAATTGCAATAAATTGCAAAGTCCATCTTTGCCATGAAAATGAACTTAATCCCCAAAAAACATTTCCACTGCATTTCAGCCCTGCCACAAAAGGACCAGCTGACATCATGTCAGTGATTCTCTTGTTAACACAGGTGAGAGTGTTGACGAGGACAAGGCTGGAGATCACTTTGACATGTTGATTGAGTTAGAATAACAGACTGGAAGCTTTAAAAGGAGGGTGGTGCTTGAAATCATTGTTCTTCCTCTGTTAACCATGGTTCCCTGCAAGGAAACACGTGCCGTCATCATTGCTTTGCACAAAAAGGGCTTCACAGGCAAGGATATTGCTGCTAGTAAATCAACCATTTATCGGATCATCAAGAACTTCAAGGAGAGAGGTTCAATTGTTGTGAAGAAGGCTTCAGGGCACCCAAGAAAGTCCAGCAAGCGCCAGGACTGTCTCCTAAAGTTGATTCAGCTGCGGGATCGGGGCACCACCAGTGCAGAGCTTGCTCAGGAATGGCAGCAGACAGGTGTGAGTGCATCTGCACGCACAGTGAGGCGAAGACTTTTGGAAGATGGCCTGGTGTCAAGAAGGGCAGCAAGGAAGCCACTTCTCTCCAGGGAAAACATCAGGGACAGACTGATATTGTGCAAAAGGTAGAGGGATTGGTCTGCTGAGGACTGGGGTAAAGTCATTTTCTCTGATGAATCCCCTTTCCGATTGTTTGGGGCATCCGGAAAAAAGCTTGTCCGGAGAAGACAAGGTGAGCGCTACCATCAGTCCTGTGTCATGCCAACAGTAAAGCATCCTGAGACCATTCATGTGTGGGGTTGCTTCTCAGCCAAGGTAGTGGGCTCACTCACAATTTTGCCTAAGAACACAGCCATGAATAAAGGATGGTAACAACACATCCTCCGAGAACAACTTCTCCCAACCATCCAAGAACAGTTTGGTGACGAACAATACCTTTTCCAGCATGATGGAGCACCTTGCCATGAGGCAAAAGTGATAACTAAGTGGCTTGGGGAACAAAACATCGACATTTTGGGTCCATAGCCAGGAAACTCCCCAGACCTTAATCCCATTGAGAACTTGTGGTCAATCCTCAAGAGGCGGGTGGACAAACAAAACCCACAAATTCTGACAAACTCCAAGCATTGATTATGCAAGAATGGGCTGCCATCAGTTAGGATGTGGCCCAGAAGTTAATTGACAGCATGCCAGGGCGGATTGCAGAGGTCTTGAAAAATAAAGGTCAACACTTCAAATATTGACTCTTTGCATAAACTTCATGTAATTGTCAATAAAAGCCTTTGACACTTATGAAAAGCTTGTAATTATACTTCAGTATACCATAGTAACATCTGACAAAAATATCTAAAAACACTGAAGCAGCAAACTTTGTGAAGACCAATACTTGTGTCATTCTCAAAACTTTTGACCACGACTGTAAGCTACATTCAATGTAGTACATTGACATCTGATTTGCCCAAAGGACACCATCATTTCAACGTGTAGCTAGATATACTATCATTCATTTATGATTGATCTAGAGAAGTTTAGAAGTATTTACTATTAGTCCTATAAATAGGATGCCAAATTAATGATATTAATAATACACGTTTACCTTTGGATATTGTATTTTATAAATATGAACAAAAATATAAATGCAATATGTAACAATTTCAAAGATTTTACTGAGTTACCGTTCATATAAGGAAATCAGTCAATTGAAATAAATTCATTAGGCCATAATCTATAGATTTTACATGTCTGGACATGGGCACAGCCATGGGTAAGCCTGTGAGGGTATAAGCCCACACACTTGGGAGACTGGCCCACCCACTGGGGAGCAAGGCCCAGCCAATCAGAATTAGTTTTTCCGCACAAAAAGGGCTTTATTACAGACAAAAATACTCCTCAGTTACTTCTCAGATGATCCCGCAGGTGTAGAAGCCGGATGTGGAGGTCCTGGGCTGGTGTGATTACACGTGGTCTGCGGTTGTGAGGCTGGTTGGACATGCTGCCAAATTCTCTAAAACAACATTGGTAGAGAAATTAACATTCAATTCTCTGTCAACAGCTCTGGTGGACATTCTTGCAGTCAGCATGCATGTGTCCATGTGTAAAATATCCGCAAATGCAAAATAAATGATTCCTCCCGAGAACCTCATCAGCATGGCTGCATCTGCCCTATCATAGGCAATACATAGGGATCCCTCGGTTGCACAGTTCTGCCAAGTAATTATGGCTTAAACAGTGGGTTGCAAGAGTATTAACCCCCCTTGGCATTTTTCCTATTTTGTTGCCTTACAACCTGGAATTAAAACTGATTTTGGGGGGGGTTGTATCATTTGATTTACACAACATGCCTACCACTTTGAAGATGCAAAATATATTTTATTGTAAAACAAACAAGAAATAAGACAAAAAAACAGAAAACTTGAGCGTGCATAACTATTCACCCCTGCTGGAAGGTGAACCTCCGTCCCAGTCTCAAATCTCTGGAAGACTGAAACAGGTTTCCCTCAAGAATTTCCCTGTATTTAGTGCCATCCATCATTCCTTCAATTCTGACCAGTTTCCCAGTCCCTGCCGATGAAAAACATCCCCACAGCATGATGCTGCCACCACCATGCTTCACTGTGGGGATGGTGTTCTCGGGGTAATGAGAGGTGTTGGGTTTGCTCCAGACATATCATTTTCCTTGATGGCCAAAAAGCTCAATTTTAGTCTCATCTGACCAGAGTACTTTCTTCCATATGTTTGGGGAGTCTCCCACATGCCTTTTGGCGAACACCAAACGTGTTTGCTTATTTCTTTAAGCAATGGCTTTTCTCTGGCCACTCTTCCGTAAAGCCCAGCTCTGTGGAGTGTACGGTTTAAAGTGGTCCTATGGACAGATACTCCAATCTCCGCTGTGGAGCTTTGCAGCTCCTTCAGGGTTATCTTTGGTCTCTTTGTTGCCTCTCTGATTAATGCCCTCCTTGCCTGGTCCGTGAGTTTTGGTGGGCGGCCCTCTCTTGGCAGGTTTGTTGTTTCCATTTTTTTATAATAGATTTAATGATGCTCCGTGGGATGTTCAAAGTTTCAGATATTTTTTTATAACCCAATCCTGATCTGTACTTCTCCACAACTTTGTCCCTGACCTGTTTGGAGAGCTCCTTGGTCTTCATGGTGCCGCTTGCTTGGTGGTGTCCCTTGCTTAGTGGTGTTGCAGACTCTGGGGCCTCTCAGAACAGGTGTATATATACTCAGATCATGTGATAGATCATGTGATTAGATTGCACACAGGTGGACTTTATTTAACTAATTATGTGACTTCTGAAGGTAATTGGTTGCACCAGATCTTATTTAGGGGCTTCATAGCAAAGGGGGTGAATACATATGCACGCACCACTTTTCCGTTATTTATTTTTTAGAATTTTGTGAAACAAGTTATTTTTTTCATTTCACTTCACCAATTTGGACTCTTTTGTGTATGTCCATAAAAATTTATATAGTATGTATAAGCTGGAAGTAGAAGCCTAAGTATGAAAATGTATGCACTCACTAACTGTAAGTCGCTCTGGATAAGAGCATCTGCTAAATGACTAAAAATGTAAAAAATGTAAGTGTTGTTGTCCATTAGTTTACTCCAATTAGGGGAGAGGTGGTAGGGTTAGGTGAAAATAATAAAGGAAAATATATTTAATAAATATATATACTTTATATTAACAAAAATACATAACGGGGATTAGAAAAGATGCAAACAGTCATGGAAGCTACAATCTATCTGCAATATTAAAGCTGATCTACCCCCAAAAAACAAAATCAAGGATTGGGTCCACACCCTCACTGAAGTGGAAGTCATTTCAGCTTCTGAGGATAAAACTGACATCAGGTACATTAAAATGGAAAATGCAATAAGTAAAAATTGCTGGTTGTTACAATTTATTGTTAAATTGTTTGAACCTTCTCCCCACCATTCAGAATCAAAACAGCAATTTGAAGATGTCGAAATCATCAAAGCCAGTGAAGTGGAGGAGCTCTCCAAGAGAAACCGAAAGAAAACTACATTCAAAGAATGTATAACTGGTATGTTTAAACACACATTGACAGTTTGTGTACATTCAATGTAATTGGCATGGTTTGTATTCTTTATATTGTTGCGTGTTTAGAATCACATGCGGAATGTCATCTCCCACCTCCAGCCACTACTGCCTCCAAGTTATGTAAGTATGGTAGTCTGTCATGCTGATTACTAATCGACCCCTTTTCCCTAAATCCTAGACACTAAACAACCACCTTGCCTGTTAATAGAGTGGGAGGACCTTTTACCGTATTACTTTAACTTATCCTTTCAAATCTCCAAGCGTGTGGCTAGAGGGACGGTAGCCTCAACCCAGACGGAATCATTCCATGTTTCACCATTATTAGTGTAGTGAAACTGAGCTGAAATCCATCTGGATTTCCAGGCTAGGGGGTAGGGGCTTGGGATGTTAACTTTTGCATGTTGTAGAATTTTGGTTTAAAGTTGGTTATGTGTTTACGTTGACTATTTAAAAGTCTTCTTCCACTTCTTCCACTGCAATAAAACTTAAAAGGATGTTATTGTACACTTGCATGTTTATTTTCAGGCAAAGGTCTACCCAAGACCCCACCAGAATTTGCCCTGATACACCAGAAAACCTATGCCACTGCTACCAAGAAGGCTCAAATGCAGCACAAGCCACCAAGTAAAGACAATGTGGACGACCCCTTTTTCTCCCCAATTTCGTGATATCCAATTACAGTCTTGTCCCATCGCTGCAACTGCTGTACGGACTCGGGAGAGGCGAAGGTCGAGAGCCATGCGTCCTCCGAAACACGACCCTGCCAAGCTCGCTTAACTCGGAAGCCAGCCGCACCAATGTGTCGGAGGAAACACTGTACAACTGGCGACCAAAGTCAGCGTGCAGGCGTCCAGCCCGCCACAAGGAGTCGCTAGAGTGCGATGGGACAAGGAAATCCCGGCCGGCCAAACCCTCCCCTAACCCGGACGATGCTGGACCAATTGTGCGCCGCCTCATGGGTCTCCCGGTCACCGCCGGCTGTGATGCCTCAAGCAAGTGCCTTAGACCGCTGCACCACTTGGGAGGCCCCAACATCTTATTCTTCATAAATTGTATTTGATAAAGGTATTCTATTTGTAAAAACAATTGGCATGATGTTGTCTAATCTGTTATTTCAGAGAATCATCTTGGTCTCTCACATGGCTTAACCCTGGAGCATGAGGGCTTGAGGTATCTTTCTGCCTTCTTAATTGAGGGTTCCCCCTCACCAAATCGCTGCAAAGGATCAGACCCTTAATCTGTGACAGACACAAGGATGAAACTCTCCATTTAGAATTTTGGTTTAAAGTTTGATATAAATGAGAATGTGTTTTAGGTTGCCTTACAAAGGTGTGTCGAAAAATGCTGGAAGTTCTTTTACACTTGCATGTGTTTATTTTTAAAAAAAAAATTGGGGGGGGGGCCTACTCAAGCGCCAGAACCTGTGCCACTGCCACTAAGAACCTTAAGGCTAAAACGCCTTGCAAGCCACCAAGTATTGGTGGTGAGGGAAAATGGCAAACTAAAACACCATGCAAGCCACCAAGTGTGTGGATTATAGTGAGGAGGACCCTTCACAACATAAGCAAACCCCTTATTCTCATTCTTGATCGATGTATTTGGGAAAGGTATTCTAATTCTACCAAGTATTGCCATATTGTCCAATATTTTACAGCAAAGAATCTTGAGCATTCATGCTCCAAGGATAGGTCATGTGGGAGACAGAGTTCTCCTTCTGCCTCTTCAGATGAGAGATCCCCCTCACCAAAGCACTGCAAAGGCTCAGACCCTTTTCCTATAACGGAAGCAAGTATGATACATTTCTTTTTAAACAATTTTTTATTATATTAAAATATTTACATTTTGCAGACGCTCTTATTCAGAGCAACTTACATGAGCAATTAGAGTTAAGTGCCTTGCTCAAGGGCACATCGGCAGATTTTTCACCTAGTCGGCTCAGGGATTAGAACCAGCGACCTTTCGTTTATGTGCACAACACTATTAACCACTAAGCTACCTGCTGTTATATTTGGAAGTGAACAAATGTAAAACTACAGTCCTACTGTATACTGTATCTACTTTGTGAGATCTGTGACCTTTTAAAGGACCGTAGTCCGGTTGAGGAATTCGAATTCAACTTGAACGAGACGGCAGAAGATTTACTAAAGATGGAAGAGCAGCTAATGGAGAATGATTTTCTAAAATACATGGTGAGAAATTAAATGTTTCATTGGTATGAGTTGAATGACATTATATTGCCATGTAGTACTGGATGAAAAAATCCTGTACATGTGTAATGCAGTAGTGTCCTTTTGTAAAATTACAGATATCTAAAGCTGGGGGGAAGACATCCCGGACTTGGTAAAGAGAGAGATGCACCGGTAAACTATTATCATGTTTGTTTCACTTTAAAAATAGGTCATGGTGTGTTGCTTGTAAAGTACTTTTTTATATATATACAGAACCCTGACAAATGGCCTCATGTCAACGATGAATATGAAAGGAAACAAAGGGAAGAGAACTCCAACCTTTGCAGCCTCATTATAGGTACAGTGGAGTCCAAATCATGACATTTGAATACCTTCTCTAGCTAATATTTGTTTTCCCCATTTACAGCAGGTGTGTCTTGACGAATCAAAGGCTACAGAGGCAGAAATACTACAGGTGATGTCAATCTGCCTGAAATATGCACCTGACCGCAAGGGGGGCAGTGGGAGGGCCAATGAGTAAGGTGATGAAAGAGTTCTTAAGAAGTTAAAAGCATCAAAGCCTGTTCCGACAGTGCTTTTTTTGTTTGTTTATTGTATATCTAATCTGTGTTTCCAGAAGCCTGTGCCAGAAATTATGTTTTATTTGGCTTGTACATCTATTTTGTGGTGCAACACATTTATTTCAACTGTTATTTTTTATTTTGACTCGTTAATTATTTTTTTTAAAGCAGATGAATATAAACAAATATTAATACAGATTGGTATAGTTCATGCTACATGATAAAATAAGTTAAAATATGTAAGGTGGCACATTTCCAGCCAGAGATAATCATTACTATAAACAAAAAGAGCAATAGAAAAAGACACCCAGTTACTAGTCTCATTACTGGGCTCCATCTTTTAATAAATGTAGGTATTTTTAATCTAAGTGAATGTGTTATTTCTTCCATCTCATACAGCTCCCAACCTTTTACATATGTTGGGGGGTTGGGTTTTAACCAATTAATTGGAATGCTGTGAGCAAAATCTACAAAATATAATTCTGACCCCTTCCCTCTATGCCCTCTGGAATCACCCCCAGGATAGCCACCAAGGAGTGCTGTGGTATTTCTACATGTTACACCTAATTTAAAGCTGTATAAAGATAATCCCAACACACTTTCAACTTTGGACATGACCAGAATGTATGTACATAGTTGATCACTTGTTCCCCATTTCAACCATTCTTGACTGACAAAAAAAAGTTTTTACATGGACAAAGGTTTACACAATGCTGTTCGAGGTCACTGCTCTAATTGTGTTACACAGAATGACAATAGCTAACAGTAGTATAGACCCTCAGTGGAAGATACATTTTGCACCATGAGTAGAATTGTATTGTGCTTTTCAAGAATGTGCCACATCAAAGGTCCTGGTTGATAGTCTGTTTTCATATTCTTATCTCAGGCTCTTATCCGTATTTAATGTAAAGAAGACTACATCACAAAATGGCAACTACTTCTAAACGTCTAATCAACACACTTCATGGATTGGTTGCAATCCTTGTTGAATTCATGGTGTGCTTTGGTCAAATCAGATCGCAATGTGTTCCCAACTTCACTGCAATACTTAAATGTAGTTAATTATTAATCAAGTATAGTTTTCAAACTATAGTACCGAAATAAAATAAATAACTGTTGCCTGTCTTTTGAATGGTGAATAAAGTTTGAAATCTTATTGATCATCGTCTCAACCAAATATTACCCACATTTCCAGGTTGAAATTACGTGTGCCCAGTGAAATTATCTGCCACTGTGTTATCAATAGCTTGGACTAGGGTTGTAAAAATCTGGTAATTTTCCCAAAATTCCCAGGTTTTCCAGAACTTGTGGTTGAAGGATATCTGACACCCTGCTTATTCCCTTCTGATTCTGGGAATCTTCAATCCAGGAATTCTGAAAACCTGGGGATTTTGGGGAAGTTTTGTAACCCTAATTTGGATAGTTTTCTCATGTTGCCTAGGACATTTAGTTATGGTGTGAATCAATAGTCCCCTGTAGCTCAGTTGGTAGAGCATGGCGCTTGCAACGCCAGGGTTGTGGGTTTGTTTCCCACGGGGGGCCAGTATGAAAATGTATGCACTCACTAACTGTTCGTCGCTCTGGATAAGAGCGTCTGCTAAATGACGTAAATGTAAATATGAAGACGTTAAGTGGGAATGATATGGAAATGATCCATCTGCAAAGCCCCCTCTGTTTAATATAATGGTTCCAACTTCTACAACTCAGGCAATAATGTCTGTTCACTGCAGTATCTTTATTATTGGTATCAATGTAAAGGAGAAAATTAATATCAATGTTTTGGCAGAATTTACAGAGATTGGCAAAGTTTATTGATACTTGCATAGAATTGACTGGACAAGACTAAAACAAATCACATAGAACAGAAGATTTAAAAAACATCTTAATCACTTCTTATGGTTAGGAAACCCAACTAGCCTACAGATATTTTTGCACTCACTTTGTCTAGGGGTCCTAGGCCTAGTTACATGGTCTATAATCTGAATGAATGTGTGTATTTACGTGAGAAATCAGTGTTTGAGGACCGTGTTGGATGCACATGTGCCCAGGGAGACGGCAATCTTTCCTTGGTCCAGGGCCAGCTCTGTCTCTCTTGGTCGGCCAGTCCAAGCGGATTGGTATTTGTTCAGAGGGTGACAAAACATAAATATGTACAAAAAGGAAACAAATACAAAAAGCCTTCCCAAACTAAAGACTCAAAAACAAACGGAAGGCCTTATGTCCAGCAAACAAAACCAGCAGGCTCTCCAAGCTGGGACAATGACTGATGATCACCTTAACCCAGTTGCTGCCATCTGGGGGATGGAGTGTGGAAGTGTATCTGGGATAGTGTGTTTGTCTGTCCTAACACTAATCTTCCCACCATATAACAATCACTTCTTAATCACTTCTTAATCACTGTGTGTGTGTACGTGTGTGTGCATGTGTGTGTGTGTGTGTGTGTGTGTGTGTGTGTGTGTGTGTGTGTGTGTGTGTGTGTGTGTGTGTGTGTATGTGTGTGTGTGTGTGTGTGTGTGTGTACATGCGTGTGTCGGTCTGTGCCTGCGTGTATGCATGCATGAATCCATCTACGTATGTACATGCATGCTTGAGTGTGTGTGTGTGTGAGTAGGTGGCGTGAGGGAGTAGGTAGGTAGGAGGGAAGCAGGCATGCAGCACACAGGGATACTCTAGGATGCTGGGAGAGTGGGCCTCTGTTCTGGCTCTAACCCATGGCTCTCATTTGAAGCCTTTAATAGCCCGCTATATTAGACTGTAATCTACCTGATCCCAATTTAACGCGTCTCCCTCGGCCAGACGTGAGACGAATACTAAACAGGTGGCCATGCGCAGACCACCGAGCTGCAGTCCCCACGGCCTCGTCCATGGGGTGTGTGTGTGTGTGCATGTGTGTGTATGTGTGTGTGATGGCGGAGGGGGGGTTCAGTATAAGTGCCAACCACTTCCTCCCTCTGTCTGCAAAGGTGTATTATGTTAATTAGGGCCTGTTTTTCAGGTCCTATTCTATGGCAGGTGTTCAACTGGACTAGTAATTATTTCACTTGCTGCTGATCTAATAAATCTAAGTGTTGTAGACAGTTATTTTCTTATGAGATAAATATAGCAATTTCTCATGTTGTTGATTCCAACAGCTGCCTTTCTCACTAGTGATGATTTTCAACCCTGGAGTGGAATGTTTGTTAGCCCTTCCTCAGTGGTGTTCTCTGTAAACGCACAGACACACACCAAAAACTGGTTTAATGGAGATATGACACCATGTGGCAGGGGTGGATTGGCCATCTGGCAATTCTGGCACATGCCAGAAGGGCTGGACCATTTTTTTGTTGGGTGGGCTGGTCAATATTGGCACACACACAAATAAAAAAATTGACATTGCCTATGGCAATGGCTGGCCCCTCTACCAAGATGGGCCAGACCGGTTTTTTGATAGGCTAAGCTGAGGTCATGTAAACTCACATTCAAAGTCAAACGTGGCATCAGCAAAGAGACCTGCTCCAACTCTGTCATCAGTTAGACAGCCAGGATCATGGATTGTAAAAAAATGAAAGTTGGTGGCGATAAACTGAAAGAGCACACAACTTCCTATTTTTGGGCGGCTAAAACCATGATTTGGTCAAAGTGCATTATCCTCATGATTCCTGTAATGAAAGTGTCTGCCCAGTCCCTGTGCCTGTTTCACTGGGGCCTGCTGCTGTGATGAGCGAGGCACTCTCCTCTCGAGAGAAAAAATGAAATTGCGGGAAAAACACAGCTTTGGAAGCTTCGTCCCCTTGTCCCTGTCGAAGAGAGGAGGATATCAACTTTCTGTAGGTATCATTTTTATTTCTCAACTCTCAATATTCATCTCAATAGCAACTATTTTACAACCAAGATATTTGATCAAGTTAATGTGTTTTGAGTTTATACCTCCTCAGGTGTTGAACCCCAAATAAATTAGCCTCTTTTATTAGTTAGCGCACATAAAGATGTGGGCGGGTGTGGATAAAATGCCAGGGCCAAATTCTTGTCCCAGTCCGCCCCTGCCATGGGGCTTCTTCTAATAACCCTAGATATTATGGGTATGCACAGCAAGTTTTATTGGCTGACTGCCCACACCTCCAACACCACAGTATGAGGACAAACAATGGAGGAAATAATAAACAATAGCAGTAATTACCAGTGGCGTAAAGTACTTAAGTACAAATACTTTAGAGTACTACTTAAGTAGTTTTTTGGGGTATCTGTACTTTACTTTACTATTTATATTTTTGAAAACTTTAACTTTTACTTCATTACATTCCTAAAGAAAATAATGTACTTTTTACTACACACATTTTTCTTGACACACAAATGTACTCGTGACATGTTGAATGCTTAGCAGGACAGGACAATTGTCAAATTCACCTATCAAGAGAACATCCCTGGTCATCCCTACTGCCTCTGATCTGGCGGACTCACTAAACACATATACTTCATTTGTAAAGATGTCTGAGTGTTGGAGTGTGCCCCTGGCTATCCATAAATAAATAAATGGTGCCGTCTGGTTTACTTAATATAAGGAATTTTAAATGATTTATACTTTTACTTTTGATACTTAAGTATATTTTAGCAATTACATTTACTTTTGATACTAAAGTATATTTAAAACCAAATACTTCTATACTTTTACTTACTGTAAGTAGTATTTTACTGGGTGATTTTCACTTTTACTTGAGTTATTTTCTATTAAGGTATCTATACTTTTACTCAAGTATGACAATTGGGTACTTTTTCCACCACTGGTGAATACATGATTTAATCCATATTTTAGAGGGATTTATTAAACAGTACTGTAAGGCTCCAGGCATATAACAGTCATTGATTCACCTTTTTCCAGATGTTTACATTTTTTCCTGGTTTTGGACATTTTTCCTGGTTTTGAACCTTTTACGTAGTTTTGGACCTTTTACCTGGTTTTACTTTCATTGAGCTGCTCAGCTCGGAGCATGTAAATGTACCATGTTTATTAACATGAAAATGTTTCTCAGTTCTATAATGTGTCACATTTTGTTTCACTCGATTTAATGTTCACTATTTCAGTACTTCTGTATGCATATATCGCCTTAGCCCCAGCTGTGTGAATTGATAGCATTTCATTTTTTATACTCATAGCTTGAATGGAGGCTGTACGGTTTCATGCTTATGTAACAGACCAGAGATGTGCATGGTTAATCAAATATTCGGATATCCGAACGGACATTAGTATTCAAATAGTTGTATGAGTATTCATTTTGGGGCCCCCCAAAAAAATTATAGGCCTATTTTAACACACTGAAAAGGCTTTTTCTAAATTAAAATATCCATGTGACATTTTTACATTCAAGGATATACAGTGGGGGAAAAAAGTATTTAGTCAGCCACCAATTGTGCAAGTTCTCCCACTTAAAAAGATGAGAGAGGCCTGTAATTTTCATCATAGGTACACGTCAACTATGACAGACAAAATTAGAAAAAAATATCCAGAAAATCACATTGTAGGATTTTTTTATGAATTTATTTGCAAATTATGGTGGAAAATAAGTATTTGGTCAATAACAAAAGTTTCTCAATACTTTGTTATATACCCTTTGTTGGCAATGACACAGGTCAAACGTTTTCTGTAAGTCTTCACAAGGTTTTCACACACTGTTGCTGGTATTTTGGCCCATTCCTCCATGCAGATCTCCTCTAGAGCAGTGATGTTTTGGGGCTGTCGCTGGGCAACACAGACTTTCAACTCCCTCCAAAGATTTTCTATGGGGATGAGATCTGGAGACTGGCTAGGCCACTCCAGGACCTTGAAATGCTTCTTACGAAGCCACTCCTTCGTTGCCCGGGCGGTGTGTTTGGGATCATTGTCATGCTGAAAGACCCAGCCACGTTTCATCTTCAATGCCCTTGCTGATGGAAGGATGTTTTCACTCAAAATCTCACGATACATGGCCCCATTCATTCTTTCCTTTACACAGATCAGTCGTCCTGGTCCCTTTGCAGAAAAACTGCCCCAAAGCATGATGTTTCCACCCCCATGTTTCACAGTAGGTATGGTGTTCTTTGGATGCAACTCAGCATTCTTTGTCCTCCAAACACAAAAAGTAATATTTTGGTTTCATCTGACCATATGACATTCTCCCAATCCTCTTCTGGATCATCCAAATGCACTCTAGCAAACATCAGACGGGCCTGGACATGTACTGGCTTAAGCAGGGGGACAGGTCTGGCACTGCAGGATTTGAGTCCCTGGCGGCGTAGTGTGTTACTGATGGTAGGCTTTGTTACTTTGGTCCCAGCTCTCTGCAGGTCATTCACTAGGTCCCCCCGTGTGGTTCTGGGATTTTTGCTCACCGTTCTTGTGATCATTTTGACCCCACGGGGTGAGATCTTGCGTGGAGCCCCAGATCGAGGGAGATTATCAGTGGTCTTGTATGTCTTCCATTTCCTAATAATTGCTCCCACAGTTGATTTCTTCAAACCAAGCTGCTTACCTATTGCAGATTCAGTCTTCCCAGCCTGGTGCAGGTCTACAATTTTGTTTCTGGTGTCCTTTGACAGCTCTTTGGTCTTGGCCATAGTGGAGTTTGGAGTGTGACTGTTTGAGGTTGTGGACAGGTGTCTTTTATACTGATAACAAGTTCAAACAGGTGCCATTAATACAGGTAATGAGTGGAGGACAGAGGAGCATCTTAAAGAAGAAGTTACAGGTCTGTGAGAGCCAGAAATCTTGCTTGTTTGTAGGTGACCAAATACTTATTTTCCACCATAATTTCCAAATAAATTCATGAAAAATCCTACAATGTGATTTTCTGGAGAAAAAAAATCTCAATTTGTCTGTCATAGTTGACGTGTACCTATGATGAAAATTACAGGCCTCTCTCATCTTTTTAAGTGGGAGAACTTGCACAATTGGTGGCTGACTAAATACTTTTTTCCCCCACTGTATGTGTGTTAGCACGCACCACTTGTGTGTGTGTGTGTGTGAGTGTGTGTGTGTTAGCACGCACACGCATGTGTTTCCATAGAGCAAAGACTTTGAGGCGCGGCAGCGAGGCAACGGCATCCCATATCATACACGGCGGGAATGCTTTAAATTTGACAGGGCACTGGGATGGGGTACGCCATGCAGGCTGTCTGCTCTTGGGCCTCTGTAATGCACCATAAAGTCTGTTTACCATCGCCGCTGTGAAGCTCTCGCTGCCATTTCGGCTCCCATCGGCTCCCGACATCCTAACGACCAGCACTGTTTGATGGCACAAAGCTAGACTCTTGTGTTCTTTTAAAAGGCTTCCCTTCGAGAGGTTAGCTGCCTGGCGCTAAATTGTACCATGACATTTTAAATTATTAATTTAATAAAAAGACTGGTAGCCTTCATGTGTGTAGCTTTTTGTTTATGTTGGCAAATCAATGCGGCAAAGAGGCTCAGTGTGTAACAAGTGGGGTGAGAGTTCCCTAATGTAATGTAAATTGGAATTAAAAGTTAGCGAAATGAGAAGGAGTAAGCAACCAACAGGTAGGCTGTTGATTTATCTGAATGGGGTTGGGGAGAAAGCACAGCATGTGGCCTCAATTAGCCTAGCTAGAGAGGCACTGATATTACATTTACATTTTAGTCATTTAGTGAGTGCATACATTTTCATACTGACCCCCCTGGCCACCGAACCCACAACCCTGGCGTTGCAAGCGCCATGCTCTACTAACTGAGCTACACGGGGCCATATATATGGGATTATAAATAACATTGTGGCTGCTACAAGTTAGCTAGTCTTGGCTGTAGCTGAGTTGCCTTGGCGTCTCTCTCTCCCTCTGTCTGCTCAGCTCACTCATCTCACACACACCACCCCCTCCACAGCTGCAGCAATAGAGCGCCAGCCTCTCCCTCGCGCAGCAGTGCTCAGGTTAGAAATGTACGTTTTTAAAAAGCACATGTTTTTCGAATATCTGGATATCTGACAAAAATGTATGATACTATTCAAATAGTGAAATTACTTAAAACCCCCATCCATAGAACAGACAGTGGTAAATCAGTGAGTGGATCTGACTGAGGTGAATACACACTTTACCTGTACAAGTCCTGCTGAGACTAAGGCTGTCTTAATATGGACACTGTTTACCTGGACAGCCTAAGGTGTGTGGAGGAAGTCAGATATGTGCATGTGCGCATGTGTCCATGCCTGCCTGCATTAGAGTGGGACCTCCCAACCCACCACCATCACATTGGGCACCCAAAAACCAGCCAGGCTCTATCTGCAGTGCGACGGAGTGGAGATGGCCGACGGGGGGATCGTTACTCAGGCCATAAAAGAGCCATTTACAGGATGGGGGAGCGAGTAGGGAGTCAGTAAGCACAAAGTCTCTCCTCCTGCACCGTCCGGGCCACCACAAAACACCACAACGAAACGTTCCTCCATGAATCACACGTGCAGGATACATGATGACTTAAACATGAAGGATGGGGAATGATTATAAAAAACAGACAATTTTTCTGCTGTATCATAGGTAAATCAAAGGCATTGGGTGTGTCGAAAATGGCACCCTATTTACCTACTTTATATAATGGTCAAAAGTAGTGTGACTTTGGAGATGAAATGTCTTGGCTTATTGATCTGTACTTATAACTGGGATTTATTTATTCCTTAGATATAGAAAAATAATCTGCTCAGAAAAACATCAAATCATATTATTTCCGGAATTGGACAAAACAGTGCTTCCCCTCAAAAGAGCAAACATGTTTTGCTATTCCACATATTTTTTCTCTGCCACTGAGCTTTTGGCAGCCCAGCCAGGGGACAAGGGAGGGGGGATGGGTATAGGGAGGCGGTGAGAGAGGTGGCTCTTTCTGTATGTTCACCATGTTTGCCTTCCTAATCAGTCCTGCCGTATGCCCGGGCGTTTTATTAGAACACAGTCTGTGGCAGGAACCATGCTGTGTCTCCTCTTGACAAGGCCCTCTCCCCCAGGCTACATGTCTGAAGCACACCCTGTGCAGGGGGCACACACACACTCTTTCCCCCAACCCACCCCCTTTCTCTGTCTCTCCTACTCTCTCTTTCTCTTTCTTCCCTCATCCATCCTCCCTTCATCACCTGCAATGCAGGGTAGATGGGCAAAGCTGGCACAGGGTGCAGTGTCTGCTGTATGGAACATCTGAAGTGTGTGTGTGTGTGTGTGTGTGTGTGTGTGTGTGTGTGTGTGTGTGTGTGTGTGTGTGGGTGTGCATGTCTGCCTATGTCCTTGTCAGTCTCTGTCACAGTCAGATTGTAGAGAGCAAGTGGGCCCATGGGAGATGGAGGCAGATGGGCTGGTATCACCTTCCTATCATCAGAGCGTGACACCGTCATCAATCCAGTTTTTAGCCAGTGTACACTTTCCATGTTACTCCTTTCAAGCTGTACTCTGTATTCACCATTCAAAGTGTCCAGTCAGTTTGAATCTATTCAGTCATATCAGCTGTTATTGAAGATTCTTACTTTCAAAAGTACCTATATCAAAGTTCTTGTCATTCTTATCATTGGATTACCTAGATTATCTGACGTTAACAAAAATTTCCACAAGTTCTCTGTATCCATAACAATTTTGAAGTTAACATCGCTGGTTAACCTCCCTCACAAATATCCTACAGCCCTTCCTCTCTCCACCTCAGTCAAGTAAAATGGCAAAAACCTCATAAAAAACAACCAGATATTGGACTGACCGAGCCAATAAACCACATGGCTCCGACACAAACTCCTCTAACTCCTCCGTCTTGTGGCAATTTAGCGCCAGGCAGCTAACCTCTCGAAGGGAAGCCTTTTAAAAGAACACAAGAGTCTAGCTTTGTGCCATCAAACAGTGCTGGTCGTTAGGATGTCGGGAGCCGATGGGAGCCGAAATGGCAGCGAGAGCTTCACAGCGGCGATGGTAAACAGACTTTATGGTGCATTACAGAGGCCCAAGAGCAGACAGCCTGCATGGCGTACCCCATCCCAGTGCCCTGTCAAATTTAAAGCATTCCCGCCGTGTATGATATGGGATGCCGTTGCCTCGCTGCCGCGCCTCAAAGTCTTTGCTCTATGGAAACACATGCGTGTGCGTGCTAACACACACACACACTCACACACACACACACACAAGTGGTGCGTGCTAACACACATACAGTGGGGGAAAAAAGTATTTAGTCAGCCACCAATTGTGCAAGTTCTCCCACTTAAAAAGATGAGAGAGGCCTGTAATTTTCATCATAGGTACACGTCAACTATGACAGACAAATTGAGAATTTTTTTTCCAGAAAATCACATTGTAGGATTTTTTATGAATTTATTTGCAAATTATGGTGGAAAATAAGTATTTGGTCACCTACAAACAAGCAAGATTTCTGGCTCTCACAGACCTGTAACTTCTTCTTTAAGAGGCTCCTCTGTCCTCCACTCATTACCTGTATTAATGGCACCTGTTTGAACTTGTTATCAGTATAAAAGACACCTGTCCACAACCTCAAACAGTCACACTCCAAACTCCACTATGGCCAAGACCAAAGAGCTGTCAAAGGACACCAGAAACAAAATTGTAGACCTGCACCAGGCTGGGAAGACTGAATCTGCAATAGGTAAGCAGCTTGGTTTGAAGAAATCAACTGTGGGAGCAATTATTAGGAAATGGAAGACATACAAGACCACTGATAATCTCCCTCGATCTGGGGCTCCACGCAAGATCTCACCCCGTGGGGTCAAAATGATCACAAGAACGGTGAGCAAAAATCCCAGAACCACACGGGGGGACCTAGTGAATGACCTGCAGAGAGCTGGGACCAAAGTAACAAAGCCTACCATCAGTAACACACTACGCCGCCAGGGACTCAAATCCTGCAGTGCCAGACCTGTCCCCCTGCTTAAGCCAGTACATGTCCAGGCCCGTCTGAAGTTTGCTAGAATGCATTTGGATGATCCAGAAGAGGATTGGGAGAATGTCATATGGTCAGATGAAACCAAAATATAACTTTTTGGTAAAAACTCAACTCGTCGTGTTTGGAGGACAAAGAATGCTGAGTTGCATCCAAAGAACACCATACCTACTATGAAGCATGGGGGTGGAAACATCATGCTTTGGGGCTGTTTTTCTGCAAAGGGACCAGGAAGGTGGAAAATAAGTCCTCTGTAGCTCAGCTGGTAGAGCACGGCGCTTGTAACGCCAAGGTAGTGGGTTCGATCCCCGGGACCACCCATACACAAAAAATGTATGCACGCATGACTGTAAGTCGCTTTGGATAAAAGCGTCTGCTAAATGGTATATTATTATTATTAATATTATTATTATTAGGACGACTGATCCGTGTAAAGGAAAGAATGAATGGGGCCATGTATCGTGAGATTTTGAGTGAAAACCTCCTTCCATCAGCAAGGGCATTGAAGATGAAACGTGGCTGGGTCTTTCAGCATGACAATGATCCCAAACACACCGCCCGGGCAACGAAGGAGTGGCTTCGTAAGAAGCATTTCAAGGTCCTGGAGTGGCCTAGCCAGTCTCCAGATCTCAACCCCATAGAAAATCTTTGGAGGGAGTTGAAAGTCTGTGTTGCCCAGCGACAGCCCCAAAACATCACTGCTCTAGAGGAGATCTGCATGGAGGAATGGGCCAAAATACCAGCAACAGTGTGTGAAAACCTTGTGAAGACTTACAGAAAACGTTTGACTTGTGTCATTGCCAACAAAGGGTATATAACAAAGTATTGAGAAACTTTTGTTATTGACCAAATACTTATTTTACACCATAATTTGCAAATAAATTCATAGAAAATCCTACAATGTGATTTTCTGGAATTTTCCTTCTCATTTTGTCTGTCATAGTTGACGTGTACTTATGATGAAAATTACAGGCCTCTCTCATCTTTTTAAGTGGGAGAACTTGCACAATTGGTGGCTGACTAAATACTTTTTTCCCCACTGTATTCTCTCATTCCTCTCTTCCCTGTGAATCCGTACATCTACTGGACTTCAATAAGTGCCAGCGTGACTGTGTGTTGATATCCCCCCATCCACACATGCACACATGCACACCAAACACACACACACAATCCCACATACACAGTGTTCTAAATCCGGTCTCAATGCAAAACACTCGGGTGGACCAGCAGAAGAGAAGCTTTCAGCACAGACCCACTACGGAGGAGAATAAATGATAATACACCACATACTGCAATTTGGGCCAGTTTAAAAAAGGATGGCATTGGCACCAATGTCAAGGGAAAGGAAAACATATATTTATTTACTGTTGAAAATAAGCATGTTATAGCATGTAAGGCTGTTTGCTCTCCATTTTGAGATGTAAGATGTATGACAAATATGGGACTTTTGTGTGAAACAGAGTGGTCCATTTTGTCAACCATTACGTAGGTTTCAACTTTATGGCACGTACATTAGTTTCTTAATGTACAGAACAGAGCCCTATACATACTGTACCTCAATATCTCAATAACCCAAGAACGCAAAAATAGTTGGCACATTGATTCTGTGAGACACAATTGAAGTCGGAAGTTTATATACACTTAGGTTGGAGTCATTACAACTAGTTTTTCAACCACTCCACAAATTTCTTGTTAACAAACTACAGTTTTGGCAAGTCGGTTAGGACATCTACTTTGTGCATGACACAAGTAATTTTTCCAACAATTGTTTACAGACAGATTATTTCACTTATAATTCACTGTATCACAATTCCAGTGGGTCAGAAGTTACACTAAGTTGACTGTGCCTTTAAACAGCTTGGAAAATTCCAGAAATGATGTCATGGCTTTAGAAGCTTCTGATAGGCTAATTGATATCATTTGAGTCAATTGGAGGTGTACCTGTGGATGTATTTCAAGGCCTACCTTCAAATGCAGTGCCTCTTTGCTTGACATCATGGGAAAATCAAAAGAAATCAGCCAAGACCTCAGAAAAAAAATTGTAGACCTCCACAAGTCTGGTTCATCCTTGGGAGGAATTTCCAAATGCCTGAAGGTACCACGTTCATCTGTACAAACAATAGTACGCAAGCGTAAACACCATGGGACCACGCAGCCGTCATACCGCTCAGGAAGGAGACGCGTTCTGTCTCCTAGAGATTAACGTACTTTGGTGCGAAAAATGCAAATCAATCCCAGAACAACAGCAAAGGACCTTGTGAAGATGCAGGAGGAAACAGGAACAAAAGTATCTATATCCACAGTAAAATGAGTCCTATATCGACATAACCTGAAAGGCTGCTCAGCAAGGGAGAAGCCACTGCTCCAAAACCGCCATAAAAAAAGCCAGACTACGGTTTGCAACTGCACATGGGGACAAAGATTGCACTTTTTGGACTTTTTGTTCTCTGGTCTGATGAAACAAAAATAGAACTGTTTGGCCATAATGACCATCGTTATGTTTGGAGGAAAAAGGGGGCCCTTGCAAGCCGAAGAACACCATCCCAACCGTGAAGGACGGGGGTGGCAGCATCATGCTGTGGGGATGCTTTGCTGCAGGAGGGACTGGTGCACTTCACAAAATAGATGGCATCATGAGGAAGGAAAATTATGTGGATATATTGAAGCAACATCTTAAGACATCAGTCAGGAAGTTAAAGCTTGGTCGCAAATGGGTCTTCCAAATGGACAACGACCCCAAGCGTACTTCCAAAGTTGTGGCAAAATGGCTTAAGGACAACAAAGTCAAGGTACTGGAGTGGCCATCACAAAGCCCTGACCTCAATCCTATAGAAAATCTGTGGGTAGAACTGAAAAAGCGTGTGCGAGCAAGGAGGCCTACAAACCTGACTCAGTTACACCAGCTCTGTCAGGAGGAATGGGCCAAAATTCACCCAACTTATTGTGGGAAGCTTGTGGAAGGCTACCCAAGTTAAACGTTTGACCCAAGTTAAACAATTTAAAGGCAATGCTACCAAATACTAATTGAGTGTATGTAAACTTCTGACCCACTGGGAATGTGATGAAAGAAATAAAAGCTGATTATTATTATTCTGACATTTCACATTCTTAAAATAAAGTGGTGATCCTAACTGACCTAAGACAGGGAATTTTTACTAGGATTAAATGTCAGGAATTGTGAAAAACAGAGTTTAAATGTATTTGGCTAAGGTGTATGTAAACTTCTGACTTCAACTGTACGTTCCTGTTTTCCTTGAAAACAAGCAAACAAATAGTTAATATTTTTTTCTTTTTTTACAAATCAAAACAATATAGCTAAATTCTCCCAAACCCACATTTCACTTATAAAATCACAAAGACATTTACAAACACAACAAATTAAAAAACACCTCTCGTTCAACCGCCGACGTGTTTCCATCTAAAAGTGGGAGGAACCTCCATCAGTTCGGCATAGTGGAGAGACAGCTGGAAAACAGACCCCCTGCTAGCCCGTTAATAAGACAAGCCCAATCCAGCGCTTCTTCATCAGAAGGTTCGTAACTCGTTAGGCTAATTATAACTATCACAAGTTGATTCCACTGGTAGTAATTAAGAGACGACTCGTCAAAGAGAATAGAAGATCTAGACAGCTCTTCCACACGCAACAAACTCACTATCCAGGCAATTAGCTAAAGGCTTCAGTCATACAAAAGTTATACTTAAATCCAAACTGGTTCTCTTGCAGATTATTAAGAATGTCTCACCCCATGTTCTAGCATGGCCTTTTTCCCTTTACTCAGATTACAACCTCTCACTTTCGGTTATTTGAAAATGAAATAATCTCCAAAATATCGCCATAGAAGGTTGGTTGCAATGTCAGTTTAATCCACCAGAAAAGAGAACAAATATTACAATAAATAATATGGTTAAACTCAAATATACTAATTGATAAAAAATACAATATTCTTGGAAAAAATGTTTACAAACGGTATAATCTTTGTAAAGGATATCATAAATAGGACCGGTGGAGTTATGTCACACATGCAGCTAACAAAAACATATGGAAATGTCTGTTCTTCTCAAAATTACAACCAACTAATTGCAGAATTACCAAAAAAATGGAAGAGGCAAGTGGAAGGGGGAGAAAGTAAGGAACTTGTCTGTCGGCCCTGCATTAAAGACCAAAATTGGTTAAAGAAAATGTTGATAAATAAAAAAGTATACCAGTTTAATTTTTGACAAAAAATTGACAGCTGTGCCATATACAGTGGGGAAAAAAAGTATTTAGTCAGCCACCAATTGTGCAAGTTCTCCCACTTAAAAAGATGAGAGAGGCCTGTAATTTTCATCATAGGTACACGTCAACTATGAAAGACAAAATGAGAAAAAAAATCCAGAAAATCACATTGTAGGATTTTCTATGAATTTATTTGCAAATTATGGTGGAAAATAAGTATTTGGTCAATAACAAAAGTTTCTCAATACTTTGTTGTATACCCTTTGTTGGCAATGACACAGGTCAAACGTTTTCTTTAAGTCTTCACAAGGTTTTCACACACTGTTGCTGGTATTTTGGCCCATTCCTCCATGCAGATCTCCTCTAGAGCAGTGATGTTTTGGGGCTGGACTTCAGACGGGCCTGGACATGTACTGGCTTAAGCAGGGGGACACGTCTGGCACTGCAGGATTTGAGTCCCTGGCGGCGTAGTGTGTTACTGATGGTAGGCTTTGTGACTTTGGTCCCAGCTCTCTGCAGGTCATTCACTAGGTCCCCCCGTGTGGTTCTGGGATTTTTGCTCACCGTTCTTGTGATCATTTTGACCCCACGGGGTGAGATCTTGCGTGGAGCCCCAGATCGAGGGAGATTATCAGTGGTCTTGTATGTCTTCCATTTCCTAATAATTGCTCCCACAGTTGATTTCTTCAAACCAAGCTGCTTACCAATTGCAGATTCAGTCTTCCCAGCCTGGTGCAGGTCTACAATTTTGTTTCTGGTGTCCTTTGACAGCTCTTTGGTCTTGGCCATAGTGGAGTTTGGAGTGTGATTGTTTGAGGTTGTGGACAGGTGTCTTTTATACTGATAACAAGTTCAAACAGGTGCCATTAATACAGGTAACGAGTGGAGGACAGAGGAGCTTCTTAAAGAAGAAGTTACAGGTCTGTGAGAGCCAGAAATCTTGCTTGTTTGTAGGTGACCAAATACTTATTTTCCACCATCATTTGCAAATAAATTCATTAAAAATCCTACAATGTGATTTTCTGGATTTTTTTTCCTCAATTTGTCTGTCATAGTTGACGTGTACCTATGATGAACATTTTAGGCCTCTCTCATCTTTTTAAGTGGGAGAACTTGCACAATTGGTGGCTGACTAAATACTATTTTTCCCCACTGTAGATTGCAAAATAGTTGGGAAGAGATTTAAATGTACCGATTCCATGGCACATGGTTTATGAACTGATACACAAAACGACGCTGGATTCAAAACATATAATTTTTCTGTTTAAATTATTATACAAAATTCTTGCAACCAATAGAATGTTATATACAGTATATGAGGGATACAACCATCCCAGCTCTGCAGATTTTGCTGCGAAGAGACAGAATCATTAGATCATTTATTTTGGTACTGTCCATATGTAGCTTGTTTTTGGTCGCATGTTCAGGAGTGGCTGAAGAATTGTAACATTTACCTGGAGCTAACTCTGCAAACAGCACTGCTGGGTGATTTAAAAAGTCATAGTCAATTTATCAATAATATAATAATACTCCTAGCAAAAACGTTTATCTTACATTGACAATCTATGAGAGTAGAAAGGTTCAGAATTTTTGTGACACATCACAGCACAGTTGAAAAATATATGGCAATTATAAATCCAAACTGGATGGTGTTCAGAGCTAGATGGGAGGGGTTGAGTGGAGCTGAAGGGTTAATAACAAGATAACTAATGTAAATTATACTGTGTCCGTAAAATTTTTATATAGGTTCAGAACTTTTGTGAAACAGCACAGTTGAAAAATACATGGCAAATAGAAATCAAAACTGGATGGTCTTCAGAGATTACAACTATCACACGTTGATTCCGCCGGTAATAATTAAGAGACATGCTTTAAAGTTGTGTATAACAGTCTTTTATTAATGATAGCACAGTATGTTGTCATCAAGGCCATCCAAATCAGAAAACAAAAACAAAGATGGGAGCATTCTGTCTTTAATCCAAGAAGGTTTCCAACAATTTGTTCATCAATTGGCACAGAGTCTGTTCATCTCTGATTTGATTTAACCAAAAATGACTAGTTATACTGTATTCAATGTCTGTCGAATTAGCTTTTGACATTGCAGTAGCATGTGTTGAGTGTTGTGCTGCTGCATGGTGTGAGCGCACTACAGGAGATGATCAATATAGAGGAAGACAGGAAGCTGTCTGCTTTGTCTGTGGATGTTTAGAACGTTGTAAGAATATTTAGAAGTGTCGGAGAGGATGAAAAGGCAACGTTTTGAAGCCCCTTTGCTTTCAGTTTCATACCCCTCAAGTGGTAGGGTTAGCTGTGTGTGTGTGTGTGTGTGTGTGTGTGTATGTGTGTGTGTCTTCATGTACGTGTGTGTGTGCGTATGTATATGTGCATGCATATACAGTACATCCATTTGTGTGCGTGCGTGCATGCATGTGTGTGTGAGCACGATGGCGAGCCCACCTGTGAGTGTGTGTTTTCAGGAGGGAACTGTAGTGAGTGATCAGGCAGCAAAGGGCTGGGGCTGAGTCTGTCTTTTTCAGCGCCAACAGCCCCCTTCAGGCCGGCTGCTCACATCAAAGAGAAGCCTTGTATCTCAGAGGAGCTTAGAAATTCAGCCCCAGGCTTGGCGAGGCCTTCACAGCACTCGCCTAAGGGGCCTGAGCAGCCAACCAAGGGCCAAGAGCACACTCAGACAAGAGCAGTAGATAACCACACTAGGGGAGCGCCAAGGAGCCAGGACAGCGAGCCGTGCAAAGAGTATGTAGTGTCATCCTAGAGTTTGCTAAAGACGGTATAGGGGAGAATATAAATGTTTCTTGGTAGCACATAACTAGTGGTTTGTTGCTGGAGCATGATTTCTCACTCTGAGATTGCTGAACATATAAAAAAAATGATGTGTTCTGTGAATAATTTAGTTCATAAATAGATAATATTAGCCCATTATGAAAGTACATTCATATTCAAGTGATGAGTTGGGAGAGGAGGGTGCTTTTCAGAATCTATGTTTAGTTTTCAGTTGGCAGCAAATGTCTATTCCCTTCATTACTCTTACAAGCAGAGGCTTGTAAAAATTTTTTTTGTTTTAATTTAAAATACATTCTGTCATAAAGAACAGTGGCGTCATATGCCCATAGGGGGCACAAAGGCACCTGCCCCCTCAGATTTGTCCTGTTTTGAAATTTGTCAGATGTTAAATTAATGTTAATGTTAAATTAATTACTAATACATTTTTAAGCCCATGTTTTATCATAATTATTTATAAAAATATCTGTCAACGGTATTTTGGGGAGGGGGCACACTGACTGGAACAGGCAATGAGTACCCTATTCTCAGTAGTAAGTGGTTCCTTCCGAGGTGCACCACGGAGCGAGAAAGAGAGTGCAGAGTGACACACAGCATTTTATTTTATTTTAGGTGCCAGTGATAGCTGCAGGACTTGCAGGAGGTATGTTTGTAAATTCATTTGATCAAGCTATGTAGCCTATTGATTTCTTCTTGATGAATACATTTAATGTTTTGTTGTTCCTCTGTAATACTAGCCACCTAGCAATTTCATGAAGTTGGCTTTAGCTAGCCAGCTAGATATGTTCCCAATCTCCCAACCTCATAACTAGAAACCAAGCCATTTCAGACTATCAATCCAGAGACGAGCTTGTCTAACTATCTTAGCTGGCATGCCTGCTGGTGTCACGACCGTCTACGGAAGGAGTGGACCAAAGCGCAGCGTTTGTAGCGAACATGACTTTATTAACGTTAAAGTGCACGAACGAGAAAACAATAAACAATGACGGATAGTGAAGTCCTCAGTACACAGACTGAAACATGGAACAAAAACCCACAACCCTAAGGTGAACACTGACAGTTTAAATATGGCTCCCAATCAGAGATAACGAGCCGACAGCTGACACTCGCTACCTCCGATTGGGAGTCACATGATGAGACAATACACTACAACCAAAACCAAACACAACCAAATGAACACACCCTATACCCAACACAACCAAATGAATACACCCTGGCTCAAACTACACAGTCCCGGAGCCAGAGCGTGACAGTACCCCCCCCTAAAGGCGCGGACTGCGACCGCGCCTCAATACGGGCTAAACAAGGGAGGGCTGGGCGGGCATACCTCCTCGGCGGTGGCTCTGGCTCCGGCCTTGATCCCCACCTCCTCTCCAACCCCCCAAAGTACCCCTGGTCCTGTCTAGCCCCGCTGGCCGGAGCCGGACTGACGACACGCGCCCCTGGCTTGGTGCGTGGAGGACGAACGGGCCTTACCAGGCTGACGACGCGCACCACTGCCTTGGCGCGGGGAGCAGGAATGGGCCGGACCGGGCTGACGAAGCGCACCCTTGACTTGGTGCGGAGAGCGGGACCGGGCCGGACAGGGCTGACGAAACGCACCACAGACTTGGTGCGGGGAGCAGGAACGGGCCGGACAGGGCTGACGACACGCACCACAGACCTGGTGCGGGGAGCAGGAACGGGCCGGACAGGGCCGACGAAACGCACCCTAGGCTTGATGCGTGGAGCCGGAACGGGCCTCCCCAGGCTGACGACTCGCATCCCTGGCTTGGTGCGAGTAGCAGGAGTGGGCTGGATCAGGCTGACGGCTCGCACCCTTGGCTTGGTGCGAGTAGCAGGGACGAGCTGAACCAGGCTGACGACTCGCACCCTTGGCTTGGTGCGAGTAGCAGGAACGGGCTGGACCAGGCTGACGACTCGCACCGTAGGTTTGGTGCGAGTGGCAGGAACAGGCCGGGTCGGGCTGGCGACGCGCACCGTAGGTTTGGTGCGAGTGGCAGGAACAGGCCGGGTCGGGCTGGCGACGCACACCGTACACTTGGTGCGGGTGGCAGGAACAGGCCGGACCGGGCTGGCGACGCGCACCGTAGGTTTGGTGCGAGTGGCAGGAACAGGCCGGGTCGGGCTGGCGACGCGCACCGTAGACTTGGTGCGGGTGGCAGGAACAGGCCGGGCTGGGCTGGCGACGCACACCGTAGGTTTAGTGCGTGGAGCAGGAACAGGCCGGGCTGGGCTGGCGACGCACACCGTAGGTTTAGTGCGTGGAGCAGGAACAGGCCGGGCTGGGCTGGCGACGCACACCGCAGGTCTGGTACGTGGAGCAGGAACAGGCCGGACAGGGCTGTCGACGCACACCGTAGGCTTTGTGCGTGGAGCAGGAACAGGCCGGGCTGGGCTGGCGACGCACACCGTAGGTTTAGTGCGTGGAGCAGGAACAGGCCGGGCTGGGCTGGCGACGCACACCGTAGGTCTGGTACGTGGAGCAGGAACAGGCCGGACAGGGCTGTCGACGCACACCGTGGACTTGGTGCGTGGAGTAGGAACAGGCCGGTCCATACTGGGAACACACACCACTGGCCTTAACCGGGGATCAGGAACGGGCCGGACCGGACTGGTAACACACCTCAGTCTCTCACGCCGTGCCTCCACTACTTCCCTCCCTCTACTCGCCAATGGCTCCCGTAATCCGGTAGCCTTCTCTCCACGTCTCCCTGTGGCAGCCTCCTGCTGCCCAGCCGCCCAAGCCATGTGCCCCCCCCCAAAAACTTTTTGGGGTTGCCTCTCGTCCTTCCGACGATGGCCCTGCTGACGCCGTTGCTCCTCTCTCGCCAGGGCCTTGATCCTCCCCCAAGGTCCCTTGCCCCCGAGCATGTCCTCCCAGGACCACGATTTGCCCACCTGGGCCATCGCCAGCCTCTCGATCTCCTTACCCGGCGCTTCCTCCCATGTCCAGTCTCCTTGCTCCTGGACACGCTGCTTGGTCCTTCTTTGGTGGGTTTTTCTGTCACGACCGTCTACGGAAGGAGTGGACCAAAGCGCAGCGTTTGTAGCGAACATGACTTTATTAACGTTAAAGTGCACGAACGAGAAAACAATAAACAATGACGGATAGTGAAGTCCTCAGTACACAGACTGAAACATGGAACAAAAACCCACAACCCTAAGGTGAACACTGACAGTTTAAATATGGCTCCCAATCAGAGATAACGAGCCGACAGCTGACACTCGTTACCTCCGATTGGGAGTCACATGACGAGACAATACACTACAACCAAAACCAAACACAACCAAATGAACACACCCTATACCCAACACAACCAAATGAATACACCCTGGCTCAAACTACACAGTCCCGGAGCCAGAGCGTGACAGCTGGCAAGGCTGGTAGACTTTAGAAAAGCAAAGCAATAACTAAATGTACTGAATAAGACTCACATTCCTTTCAACCTTTTACCCAGATTTTTGCAGAGATGCAGAGAAGCATATTACGTTTTTTTTTCAAAGAACCACCAGTCAGGAGGATACAGACAGCTCAAGAGGTAAACTTAGATATACAGAAAAATACTTGGTTTAAATGTAATCTGGCACCTTATGATAATATCATGATATTTTGTGTATTAATTATGATATGATATGTTCCTGTATTGATGATGTGTGTTATGATCCCATGTACTGTGTTGTAATGTGAATGTAATATCATAGGCATGGTAGTGCAGTATACAGTATTAAGATATGTGATTTACAACAGTCAGAATGGCACCCTCATTAAAATGACAATTAAACAGGTAAAGAGATATGCTTGGATAACATATGCAGACAAATAGACATATTTTTTACATAGAATTAGGCATAATGATTATGGCTGTAGATTGCAGGAGAAAAGCTGTTTCAGGTGTTTGAAAATGCCAAATTCTCCAACCACCCCAACTCCATTCTTACGTACTTCTTGCCCCCTATAAAATAATGGGTGCCTGACACCCTTGCTTACAAGGAATTCTTAATTGCAATAATGCACTTTAAAAAAGCATTCCTAACATGGAACTGTATGTACCATTCAGAAGCTCCACAAATAAAGTGCTTGAAAATTGAGAAAACCAACCGTCGTTGTGCTCAGTCTTACCATAGCATTGGGAGTGTGTGTGTGTGTGCGTGCTTGCGTGTGTGTTAAACCAACCAAACAGAAGAGGACAGGTGTTCCCTTCAATGCCTGATCCTTCTCAAGGTTTGTTCAAAGGAGTTTTGCCTTACCACTTTTTGGAAAGGTTTGCTGAATTAACAGAGAGAATTTACAGTATAGCACAAAGAGCTTTACATTGTAAATGTATGTTTTGAGACCACGTCTTACCTGTAGACGGCCCGCTTGTCTGACTCCAGCTGGGCCTGGGGGTCAAGGGTCACACTGACAGGAATGTTCCCAGCTGCTGAGGATGCTGGGATGTGGACCTGCTGGACCTTGGAGTTCTGTTGGGTGATGCCTGTCATCTGAGGGCACAGCAAACAGAACCACAGTGAACTACGATACATAGAATGGTAGCCTGGTCCCAGATCTGTTTGTGCATCAGCTAACCCAGAACCACAGTGAACTACATAGACTGGTAGCCCTGGTCCCAGATCTGTATGTGCATTAGCCCTCTTTTGACTAGGCTTTTGACTTAGAAGACTGGGTTTGTGTTCCACTATCTTATCTCTAGCGTGCAGACACACAGCTTATCAGATTCTGTGAACTACATGAGAGTGGATAGACAACTGGCTTGATCTTTCTACAAGGCCTATGACAGATGAGCGTGTTACTGTGATGTGATGGTCTGGATGTGTACAATGCCTCTCTTCAATTGTGTTGGTCCCCTACCCCCACCTCTCTCTCTTTCTTCCCCTTCCTCCTCTCTCTCCCCTACAGCCTTTGGAGAGAAGGAAATGAGGCCCCTCCTCCCCCCTCCACTCCCCCCTTACCCCACCCCCATCTGTGTTGGGAGGAAGCTTCAAGTCTTAATCCCAGCTCCAAATGGGAAATAAATTAGCTTCTTCACACTTAACTAGCTCTCATTTGCATTTTGTTGCCAGCGCTGACTGCGGCTCGGGAAATCTCCCCTGGCACTAATCCTCTGTGTGCAAGAAGAGAGTAGTAGAGAGGAGACAAGGAGGGGAGTGGTGAGGTGCTCTGGCAAACCTGCTCTACTTCCTTCTCTAGGATGCTGCATAGCTAGGATGAGGTTGAGGTTGAACTGTTGGTCTAAGGTCATATTGTCTCCTAATGACGATGGTTGAGATTGAGGTAAGGTAAGTCCTAGTTCACAGGAGGCTGCTGATGGGAGTACGGCTTATAATAATGGATGGAATGGTATCAAACACGTGTTTGATGTGTTCGATACCATTCCATTTATTCTGTTCCAGCCATTACTGTACTTTGAGCCCGTCCTCCACAATTAAGGTGCCACCGGCCGCATGTGTCCTAGATCTGCAGTTTGGGGTAGCCTCTACTTCAAACTCTTATAACAATGTTTGTTTGGAAGTTCATTTGACTAAAGACAAATAAGAGACTGAAATGTTTTGTGTCAGGATTTTTCAATTGATTAACTGAATTTCAATCGATTTCTTGAATGAACAAATTGGACCCCAACTCTGAGCTGACCACTAGTGGTGTACTGACCTGTTGGCTCTCCTGGTACGATGGTGGAGGAGCACTCTGAGTGGCCATCATTGTCAGTGCTGGTGCTGGGGACACATGTTGCATCATGGGACAGCTTCACATGGAGACCTGCAGGGGGACACAAACACACAATGTGTTAGGAGTACATTATATGCAGTTTTGTAGAGTAGTGAACTACATGTAAACTCAGCAAAAAAAGAAATGTCCTCTCACTGTCAACTGCGTTTATTTTCAGCAAACTTAACATGTGTAAATATTTGTATCAACAACTGAGACATAAACTAAACAAGTCCCACAGACATGTGACTAACAGAAATGGAATAATGTGTCCCTGAACAAAAGGGGGGGGGGGGGGGGTCAAAATCAAAAGTAACACAGTATCTGGTGTGGCCACCAGCTGCATTAAGTACTGCAGTGCATCTCCTCCTCATGGACTGCACCAGATGTGCCAGTTCTTGCTGTGAGATGTTACCCCACTCTTCCACCAAGGCACCTGCAAGTTCCTGGACATTTCTGGGGGGAATGGCCCTAGCCCTCACCCTTCGATCCAACAGGTCCCAGACGTGCTCAATGGGATTGAGATCCGGGCTCTTCGCTGGCCAATGCAGAACACTGACATTCCTGTCTTGCAGGAAATCACGCACAGAACGACCAATATGGCTGGTGGCATTGTCATGCTGGAGGGTCATGTCAGGATGAGCCTGCAGGAAGGGTACCACATGAGGGAGGAGGATGTCTTCCCTGTAATGCACAGCGTTGAGATTGCCTGCAATGACAACAAGCTCAGACCGATGATGCTGTGACACACTGCCCCAGACCATGACGGACCCTCCACCTCCAAATCGATCCCGCTCCAGAGTACAGTCCTCAGTGTAACGCTCATTCCTTCGACGATAAATGTGAATCCAACCATCACCCCTGGTGAGACAAAACCATGACTCGTCAGTGAAGAGCACTTTTTGCCAGTCCTGTCTGCTCCAACGACGGTGGGTTTGTGCCCATAGGCGACGTTGTTGCCGGTGATGTCTGGTGAGGACCTGCCTTACAACAGGCCTACAAGCCCTCAGTCCAGCCTCTCTCAGCCTATTGCGGACAGTCTGAGCACTGATGGAGGGATTGTGCATTCCTGGTGTAACTCGGGCAGTTGTTGTTGCCATCCTGTACCTGTCCCGCAGGTGTGCTGTTCGGATGTACCGATCCTGTGCAGCTGTTGTTACACGTGGTCTGCCACTGCAAGGACGATCAGCTGTCCGTCCTGTCTCCCTGTAGCGCTGTCTTAGGCGTCTCAAAGTACGGACATTGCAATTTATTGCCCTTGCCACATATGCAGTCCTCATGCCTCCTTGCAGCATGCCTAAGGCACGTTCACGCAGATGAGCAGGGACCCTGGGCATCTTTCTTTTGGTGTTTTTCAGAGTCAGTAGAAAGGCCTCTTTGGTGTCCTAAGATTTCATAACTGTGACCTTAATTGCCTACCGTCTGTAAGCTGTTAGTGTCTTAACGACCGTTCCACAGGTTCGTGTTCATTAATTGTTTATGGTTCATTGAACAAGCATGGGAAACAGTGTTTAAACCCTTTACAATGAAGATCTGTGAAGTTATTTGGATTTTTACGAATTATCTTTGAAAGACAGGGTCTTGAATAAGAGACGTTTCTTTTTTGCTGAGTTTAGTTCAACTAGTAAGTTAACTACATTTTGCAGTAGATTGGTGGTAGTGTAGTTAACTACACACTACTTTTTTTGCAAAAACAAAAGAAGATATGGGTGAAGTAGGCAATCATTTACTTTATTTTTCGGCATCAGACCTGCCTAATTTTCACTTGAAATATACTGTAGTTTTTTTGTTTAATAGGTTAAATTACACGTTCTGTTAACATATGGCCCCATAGTGATCTGTTCTTACAATTTGTAGTCATTGACATTTCAGATTTACATATGATAATTTTTCACAAAGTAGTTTGGATGTGAACTACTTTTTGAAAGTAACTTTAGTTAAGTAAACTATATTTTTTCTTAAGGGTAGCTTTAGTGTAGCTTATCTTCTTTCAGAGTAAAGTCATTGGTAGCTTGATAAACTATCTTTTCAGATTAGCTTCCCCAACACTGATTATACTGTATGTAAACGTCAGGTGTTGTGTTGTGGTAGAAGTGGCCTCTAACTGCTGGTACAGGGTCAGAGCCCGTATTCATAAAGTGTCTCAGAGTAGGAGAGCTGATCTCTAGTAATGCTTTTTAGAATAGATCATAATGGATAAGGCCTCGATTCAATCCATATCGCAGAAGTTCAGAGCTATAGCGCGTTTTAAATTTAAAGGCAATGAATCCAGTCTCCGCGTTCATGGAGACTTTCTCTGTAAATGCGGCATACAGTGGGGAAAAAAATTATTTAGTCAGCCACCAATTGTGCAAGTTCTCCCACTTAAAAAGATGAGAGAGGCCTGTAATTTTCATCATAGGTACACGTCAACTATGACAGACAAATTGAGGGGAAAAAATCCAGAAAATCACATTGTAGGATTTTTAATGAATTTATTTGCAAATTATGGTGGAAAATAAGTATTTGGTCACCTACAAACAAGCAAGATTTCTGGCTCTCACAGACCTGTAACTTCTTCTTTAAGAGGCTCCTCTGTCCCCCACTCGTTACCTGTATTAATGGTACCTGTTTGAACTTGTTATCAGCATAAAAGACACCTGTCCACAACCTCAAACAGTCACACTCCAAACTCCACTATGGCCAAGACCAAAGAGCTGTCAAAGGACACCAGAAACAAAATTGTAGACCTGCACCAGGCTGGGAAGACTGAATCTGCAATAGGTAAGCAGCTTGGTTTGAAGAAATCAACTGTGGGAGCAATTATTAGGAAATGGAAGACATACAAGACCACTGATAATCTCCCTCGATCTGGGGCTCCACGCAAGATCTCACCCCGTGGGGTCAAAATGATCACAAGAACGGTGAGCAAAAATCCCAGAACCACACGGGGGGACCTAGTGAATGACCTGCAGAGAGCTGGGACCAAAGTAACAAAGCCTACCATCAGTAACACACTATGCCACCAGGGACTCAAATCCTGCAGTGCCAGACGTGTCCCCCTGCTTAAGCCAGTACATGTCCAGGCCCGTCTGAAGTTTGCTAGAGTGCATTTGGATGATCCAGAAGAGGATTGGAAGAATGTCATATGGTCAGATGAAACCAAAATAGAACTTTTTGGTAAAAACTCAACTTGTCGTGTTTGGCTGTTTTTCTGCAAAAGGACCAGGACGACTGATCCGTGTAAAGGAAAGAATGAATGGGGCCATGTATTGTGAGATTTTGAGTGAAAACCTCCTTCCATCAGCAAGGGCATTGAAGATTAAACGTGGCTGGGTCTTTCAGCATGACAATGATCCCAAACACACCGCCCGGGCAACGAAGGAGTGTCTTCGTAAGAAGCATTTCAAGGTCCTGGAGTGGCCTAGCCAGTCTCCAGATCTCAACCCCATAGAAAATCTTTGGAGGGAGTTGAAAGTCCGTGTTGCCCAGCGACAGCCCCAAAACATCACTGCTCTAGAGGAGATCTGCATGGAGGAATGGGCCAAAATACCAGCAACAGTGTGTGAAAACCTTGTGAAGACTTAAAGAAAACGTTTGACCTGTGTCATTGCCAACAAAGGGTATACAACAAAGTATTGAGAAACTTTTGTTATTGACCAAATACTTATTTTCCACCATAATTTGCAAATAAATTCATAGAAAATCCTACAATGTGATTTTCTGGATTTTTTTTCTCATTTTGTCTGTCATAGTTGACGTGTACCTATGATGAAAATTACAGGCCTCTCTCATCTTTTTAAGTGGGAGAACTTGCACAATTGGTGGCTGACTAAATACTTTTTTCCCCACTGTATGTGAAATTACCTTTAATTTTCAATTGCGCTAAAGCGCTGAACTTCCATTATATGGACTGCATCGAGCCCTAAGATTACATTGACAGGGGGGACCAGTCCTAGATCAACACTCCTCTGAGAAGCTTTATGAAATATGCCCAGGTATTTACTTATCCTGCTAATCAGCTTTAGTTGGTGTTTTTTCTTGCTACTCTCACTACCTTGCTTGGTGCGTTTCAATGAGCATTAATAAAATACTTGATTGTTTTGATTTAACAGGGTGATAACACATTTTATTAAAAACATTTAAAAGCATTTAATGACTTGAATAAATATGCTTATGCAGTAATTGCCACATTTTGACAAAGGTAAGCAGAAAACTCATTTTCGCAAAAATGATTAACTTGCTGTACAGTATGTAAAATGTATCTTGTGTTGAGAATGACTGAGCAGCAGTTGTCTGGTTTATTAATGAACAAGGCAGCCAAAATTGGATTAGTTTTTGAATTATTTGTGGGCCTGTGTAATCTGATGGAAATATGTGTTTCTGATATGGTCATACCTTTGGCAGGAGGTTAGGAAGTGCAGCTCAGTTTCCACCTCATTTTGTGGGCAGTGTGCACATAGCCTGTCTTCTCTTGAGAGCCAGGTCTGCCTACGGCGGCCTCTCTCAATAGCAGGTCTATGCTCACTGAGTCTGTACATAGTCAAAGATTTCCTTAATTTTGGGTCAGTCACAGTGGTCAGGTATTCTGCCACTGTGTACTCTCTGTTTAGGGCCAAATACCATTCTAGTTTGCTCCGTTTTTTTGATAATTCTTTCCATTGTGTCAAGTAATTATCTTTTTTTAATTATTTTTTTTGGTTGGGTCTAATTGTGTTGCTGTCCTGGGGCTCTGTGTGGTCTGTTTGTGTTTGTGACCAGAGCCCCAGGACCAGCTTGCTTAGGGGACTCTTCTCCAGGTTAATCTCTCTGTAGGTGATGGCTTTGTTATGGAAGGTTTGTGAATCGTTTCCTTTTAGGTGGTTGTAGAATTTAACTGCTCTTTTCTGGATTTTGATCATTAGCGGGTATTGGCCTAATTCTACTCTGCATACATTATTTGGTGTTTTACGTTGTACACTGAGGATATTTTTGCAGAATTCTGCATGCAGAGTTTCAATTTGGTGTTTGTCCCA